CGGTGATGTGACAATACTCCTTAAAATAATTTTGTATCACGTTGACAGCTTTGTGGCAAACCAATTTCACGCTGTAACTACACGCAAAATTCCACGAGGGGTAGCGAACACTTGCATGCACTTTTTTTTTATTATACTCAAAAATAGGAACTTCATTTCAATTTTTTCACTGGGACAAAATGATAAAATTTACAAAACTGCTGGATATTAATGGACACTAAACGTCACTTGGAACTAGATTAATTTTTTTTCTTTAAGCTCCGCTATTCTGAACGCCAATATGGAACTTTATAGGCTCTAAGAAGCTGCTTTTCGAAAGCCGTACTGACAAAACACGAATCTTCCTGGTTGACGATTCAAACCAAAATCGCACTAGCACTACGGCTCCAACACGAATAAACAATTTCGTGCAAAGCTCATCCCCTTTCTCTACACTAAGTTGACTTAAAACGCTTATTTCATGGTGGAAAGCAATGGCCGCGAATTTCGTTAATTTTCATTGGTTTGCTGACTCTGTAACGCTCAAAAACGCTAATACAACAGAAATTTACTTATCTCTTCCCCAAGTAAGCTTAATTCGCAGTGTAAGATTTGAAACATTATATAACCTCTACATTTTCCTAAGACTGCAGCTTTACTAAGTTAAACATTTATCAACGTAAACAAAACGTTATCAGTTATTGTCGAAACCCATTAACTTTTAACACACTTGTCCAATGCAAAGAATAGGCATTATGAATGATAAGGGAATTTGACACAAAGAAACACCTGCAAATTTTCTTAACATAAATTTCTTAGCAAACTAAATAAAACCAGTGATTTCGCACTCTATCTAGCCCACACAATTAAACAAAAACGAATCATCTTTGACGAGATCGGACTTTGTCATAAAATGTAACGACTTTATACTTTTTTATCATCAACAAATCACTTATAGGTACACCTTATATCAACTGAATCATATACCTACTAATGGGAAAAAACCGAAAATGGTGCCATACTAGGATGAGCTTTACAATTTAAAGGCTCCACGTGTATAACAAAACCAATATTTTAATTACAGAAATCAATTTTCTGATGACTTTCTATTTATGAATTTGTGTTTCGTAATTAAGTACGGTCTCAGTTAACGAGTGCAACAGGGTATACATCGGCATTATTCGCGTTCAAAGATCAAATTTAGCCTGTAATCGGCCACCTTATTAGCGGGTGGCTCGTTTTCCAGTGCCTTCTCTAATTTCAAGCGCGCCTGTCTGAGCGCATCGCTCCTCATTTACGACACTCCTTTTGTTACCAAATTATCGTGGGAAATTTGATATCTATTGGAACATTTGGGTTCGCAAACAAAACGCGACCAAAGAACCGTTCTAATTCTTTTGGCAATTTTGTTTACTGTAAAATCTGGAGCAGACAGTATACAGATCGTGTTACATCTTCATTAACATTTCAGTTACTTTTTTGTTCCTAAGAAAATAATGTAGGTATAACGTTTAGGTTTTTTTAAGTTGGGAACAGTGTGCTTAATCCGAATTAATATTAAAGTAGGTGCAACTAACAAATGGTGAACTACAACGCGACAGGGGATAATAGTATTTTACAGCATTTCAAACGGCTACTAATGCATGTTTTATTGAAGAAGGATTACTAATGTAATCCTTGGCCATACACACTAGTTCGGCGGAGCTCTATTTACATTTGTTATTTTGGTAATTGTAACAAAACATACAGTGTTAAATCCTATTAAGTAACTATAGCTGTCAAATGAAAACAGGGGAGTTTAACTGCTTTGTTTACTTCCATATAATATTTATAAAGGGAAATGTTCTATACTTATTTGATATAAGTAATTACGTTTGCGCAATTAATCTCTAAAGGTCCGATAATATACTGGAAGCTGTTGACGTCATGAAACAATTTGTGCTAAAAGAAACGATGATCAAGAATTCCGTTCCTCTGTGTATTGATCTTCAGGTCAATCGTTTCAAATGTAAATGGGACAATAGCGATTACCCAATCCACCCTTCCCTATTGTGTTTTTCTGCGCCACCAACTTCTGTCTATGCACACAATGCCTAACGGAGCGAAGAATAATTGATAACTATTTTATTTTGATGTCTCATTTACATATTGAAATGTAAGTTCAAATTGGCAGCAATGTATTGATGGATGATTATTTCAGGCTTTCTCAAGACATTAGATAGGTACAGTTATGTTTAGCCGTATGTTAATTGAAATTATGTCAAGTGGGTTTTCTAGAACTGATGGAGAAGAAAAGGATTAGTTTTAACGATTTAATTTGCAGCTCCGTAGATACCCATCATAAATTCGTGAATGATTATTGCAGTGAATAAAAAGTAGTTTAAAAGTAATAAAAATATATTCAATAGTTCTGCAGTTGCGGTTAATCGCAAAATAAGTAGGTACTTAACTTAATAATTAGAATTAGAATACTATAAAGACTGCTGAATATTGATTGTTATAGATTAAGTTCAATGTTTGTATTTAACATTTTTTTATTTCATTAAATATTGTTAGAATTTCAAAAACCTGCATAACAATATGCATGAAATTACATTCTTTTGAATTTCCAATTCAAAATAGATCAACTAATTCAAAATTTGACAATGACATAATATTTTCTGCAATCAAATATAATGGAATTGAGTATTCAAGAAAGTACATAAAGGACTGGTAAAAAGGCCGATTTATGAGGGGTGTACTTTTAATACGATTTAATTCGTAATTCGACTCGAAAGATTAGAAGATTACCCGCACCGACATGGAATTTTGGAAAATTCCAAAATTCACTAAACAATTAGGGACCTGGAATTTCCCTGGCGAAAAGCCCTGGACACGTATAGTCGATTGTTATGCGTCTTTCCGGATGGTTTAAAAAACTTTTTTTGGTAAAAACTTTCGAGCTTAATTTTAGACCTGGAGAAAGCTAGAATTAATACTAAAACCTAAAAACATCATTTTCTACTATCTTCAGTTTTTCGCTAATAGCTCCTAAACAACGCATGCTAGCGATGACATCAAGAGACAAATTAGGTAAATATCATTAAATTCTGTGTCGAATGAGCCAACTTTAAAATTGGACCAATTAATAAGGTAGTAATCGACGGTGTAACGGTTTTTTTTACTATCTATGGATTCTAATTAATCTTAATACTTAGAAATACTTTATAATTTAAATATTTTACGGTTGAAGGACGACAATTTTTCCCATATTCGCTAAAATGTACCATTTGGCGACCTTCTGTCGTCTGTAGCATCCAAAGTACTGCTCCCGTCAAAACATTCTTGTAACCAAAGCTGTAGAGAATTCAATGGCGAGTTCAAAGAACGCCCAAATTTTAAAATTTGACCAATTTTAACAGGGCCGTAGCCCAATTGATTTATAAGAGCGAGCCAATAAATCTACATAGCGGGCGAGCAAAATAATAAGTTGCTGTGTCCCGCGGAAATACCACCCCCTCTAGAAACTCTTTTCCCTTGGAAAATACAGTCGCATAATTTGGTAGCATAACGCATATAAAAAAATATGCACATTTGCAAAAGCTTTTGAGCAGTTTATCTTTCGCCTAAGAACACGTGCTAAATTTAGTTACTTTCGTTTCAGTGGTTTGGCAAAAAGTGAGACAAGTGGATTGACCATCATAGAGATCTGGGTTCCTAGAGATCCAAAGAGGTCATTTGTAGGCCTCTCTTATACTCCAGGTTGCAGGTGGTAAAAATGATAATAATGTATGTAAGTATATCATGTATGCACCTACAACCTGGGTTGTTGTAGACCTTACTCATTGTAACAATAGAAATCAAACTTTAAAATTGGACGAGTTTTCTTTTGCACAATTTTTGAAGAAATTGAAAATCCAAGGTTTCGGTCTTTTTCTCTTTGAAGACTGAAAAGACCAAATAAGCCATTCTCTGGTGAGACTGCGAATAGTATTGTAACTTATTGATACGCAACACTGTTGAAAATGAATATCATTCACAGCAGTCGAACAACCAAGCACTGCAACAGCAACGTTTTTAAAAAAAGCTTCCTTTTGATTACATGAAAATTTGAAAACATTTTGAGATAAACTCCATTTTGAAAACCAAACTGGTCTTTGTCTTTTGTTTTTGAGTTATGGGCAAAATTTGCATTTCTTTGTTTATTAAGTTATCGGAAATGTGTTTTATTACAAAAGTTTCTTTGCAATGATTGTTGCATAATGTGCTGTCTTCAAAATAAGTATACGGGGTGTGGTAAAAAAACTTATTGGACATAACCTCACTTTTTGAGTGGATTCAATTCCAAAAAAATAAGTGTTTAAAAAAATTCAAAAATTCATAAATTGTGTTTTTTTAAATTTTTTATTTTGTTATATGAACCTTTTTAATCTTTTATGACTTTTTTTGAATCGCGCGAATCTTTTTTTTTCAATATCATCCCTGGTGTGCTATAGTTTTGAAAAGACAATTTAGTGTTCTGTCTGTTTAGATTAAAATATATAACTTTGTTGATAAAGTCCGAAATCGATAGCGACTAGCATTCTAAAATAAAAACAAAATTAGTGCAATATTTGTCGACAACCATAGACCACACACTAATTCAATATGGAGACATTCATCAACAATGCAAACCCTGAATTGCGCCCCTGGTTGCGCTCCATGACAAGGTCCAAGTTTTTCTGGTAGCTTATTTACAATTTGTCAATAGTTTTGTTTTTCTGTTACAAAAAGACATTTTCCTTTTACTTTCGTTCGCGGATTTTATTATTTAATCGTGCAATTGTCCCATAACACTTTAGGTTCAGGGTCCCTCAGTAATCGCGTGTCGTGCGTAAAAGTGTTGGGAGTATGGATGAGGAGAAAAACGAACGGTTCTTGTTGCCCTTGTTCGACGGGTCGCTTCAGCGCCTGGAAGTTTCGGATGCAGGTGCTGCTGGAGGAGTGGGATCTTGTAGCGTGCATCGAGACGGAAAGGGTGAATCTTGCGAATAGGACAGAAATCAACGAAAATTTTAAGATTTAATAATTTGCGTCAAACACAATTAACAAACAATGAATTACCTACCTTTTGTTTTGAATTATTCTACAATACCTTAACCTTCTGTAAAGCAAAAATTTCAACAAAACATCAACAGAAAAATGTGCAAACTCTCTCCAATGTTTGTTGGCATAGTGAAAGAGTTGAGTTTATGTTTTATCGTATAGATCAATGGCAACCGTTGGTGCAAAAAACGTTGCCATGAGATCTAAGGTAGGTATATGCTTAACCCTACAGTACAGTTAAATTTGACCGGAAAAACGATCATTAGACGAGCATGTTGGCATTTATTTAGGAATAAATATTTGTCTACTTCAATAATTGATATTTTCTGCGGGTTAGTGCGCAACATTTCACATGATGTTTTGTTTTGTTTTAACCTGCAAACTGCGTGAATTAGATCAGTGAGGTTTCTAATAAAGTTAATCAAAATTGTTAGCAAAACATGTCTGCTATTCAACTAGCAGACATTGGAGTGGTCCACAAAATAAATAAATATAATCACTAGCACGATTTGTTAGTTCCTAGATGCATCTTCGGCCTTGCATGGATCGATCTCAAGTGAAATACTTTGGTATGGTGAGCCAGGTCCAACTCCTCTTGTTTTTGGTGGGTGAAATGGTCCCAGATACAGAAGATAAAGGATTAGTAAGCATAAGAGTGCAACCAAAATGGAAAATATTCCTATTAGGGTCTTCTGCACATTTGCGTAGCTATTAAAGCAATCCGGCATGTCTTTATCAGATAGACTCATGATTTTTTTCGTTCGTAGATTTCGTGGTGTTAAACATCTGCAAAAAAAAAGTTGGTCAAAGTTTGTCAGATGAATCTAAACTTGGACTTCTATTTGTAATATACCTAAGGATAAATTGAATCCAATTTCTGGTCGGTTCAACGTAAAAGAAAAGTTTGAGCTCAGTCTACCACACTTCCGATAGTGGAAATTAAGTCTGTCTGTTCAACTTTAGTCCTCCACGTTAGCTTCTATAAATGTGCGCGATCGCAAATATCGTAACAAAACACCATACTACAAGACTCCACTGGTTGAAGTCTGATTGATTACGCCGAGGCTTTCCCTGTCTTTCTAACATTGACCTCAATATTGCTTCGAAGTTTAACCAGCAGTCTGTACGCCTCTCGTATATTACTCCCGAGTTAAATAAAAGTACTTGTTATTTTCGATCAAGTTACCGAAAATTATTGGGGTATCTTATGATTTTATAAGAATTGCGATCAAATGCTTTAGTAGGTATAGGGTAAATCGAGGAGAGATGGACCAGTAGGAGAGACGGACCACCAGCAGTATCTTGTCTGTTGTTGCATCAATCCTTGTTACGGCGGCGTAAAATTATGAGGCAATGTTGCCGTTAATCAGTCCTACAGTTACACGCGCGTGGGTGCAGTACTTTTTAATTTATTGGGAAATTACTTTTTTATGGTCCTCGAAATTTTTCAAAGTGTTTTTCGTTGTTGAGTTATTTCACTTAAGGTAAGTTTTAAGTAGAAATTTAGACCACTCATAGGCAGATATGTATTCCGAAATGCACTTAACCTCGAAAACGCTGTGTTCAAGTAATTGCATTTCAACAGGATTTACTGGTCCATCTATCCTTCACTTTTAGGAGAGACGGACCAGTACACTATAGGTGAGATGGACCTATATCGTGTTGTTCCAGGATAATGCCGAATGAGTATACGCGTAAGCAGAATACGCCTAAAAGGGGTTGTTGGTCCGCAGAAAATTTAACTGATGCCGTTAATGCGGTAGTGTACGGTCAAATGGGTGTCAATGAAGCAGCAAAAGCGTTCGGCATTCCAAAAACCACATTCAAACGCAGATTTGCAGCTAGTAATCTGGATAAAACCGACCGATTGGGCCCTGGTAGTGTACTTGGTAGAGAAGCAGAAATGAAGCTCTCTACCCACATAAAAAAAATGCAGAAAAGTGGTTTCGCACCCACTAGAGGGGAAGTGCGCGTTATGGCATATAATTTAGCCGAACGTCTTGGAATTGAACACAAATTTAATCGAGAAGAGGGTGAGTTACATGAACTCTTACTTGAAATTTTAAAACTTTGTAACAAATTGTTGTGCACATTTTTAGGTAAAGCTGGTAATGTATGGCTGCTTCAATTTTTGAGACGAAATCCAGATATTACAGTTCGCAAAGCTGAAAATACCTCAATAGCTCGAGCGTTGGGAATGTCTAGAAATATTGTAGAGAAATATTTTAAAGAACTCGATGCTGTACTCTCTCAAAATAGTTTATTTGACAAGCCTGGCAATATATACAATACAGACGAGACAGGACTACAGCTGAACACGCGAGCAGGACAAGTGCTGGCTCAGAAAGGATCTAAAAGTGTACCTTCAATTAGCACGTGCGAAAAAGGTGAAACAATTACAGTAGTTGCCTGCTGTAATGCAGAAGGGGTTTATTTGCCTCCTTACTGCGTGTTTAAGGGGAAAAATGCTAAAGCAGAATGGGCTGACGGAATGCCACCTGCCTCACGTATTCGCATGTCAGCAAAGTCGGCATACGTGACGTCAGACATTTTCCTGGACTGGCTACAAAACCACTTCTACCTCAGAAAAGTACCCGGGAAAGTCTTACTAATAGTAGACGGACACACTTCTCATACAACCAATCTTGACACGTTGCAATTTGCCGAGGACCACGATATAATTTTGTTTTGTTTGCCTAGCCATACAACACATTATTTACAACCGCTGGATAGGGCATTCTTTAAAAGCCTGAAGGGGCATTATTATGAATCGTGTAGGAGGATGATCAAATGCAACCCCAATAGAAAATTAAATCGGTTGCAATTTGGTAAACTTTTAGGGGAGGCTTGGGGCAAATCGGCTACAGTCAACAATGCCGTATTGGCCTTTCGGTCAACAGGAATTTGGCCTTACAATCCGAATGAAATTCCCGATCACGCTTTTCTAACCCAACCTCCAAATGAGGCTGCAATACATGCAAGAGAAGAAGAGGAACAAACTGGCTCTACAGCAAAATTAAGGGAAACTGAGACCCTTTCTCGCGATGGTGACTCACCTCAACCAGGCCCTTCCGGAATGCACCTTCCTCTCTACCATGAATCGCCTCAACCAGGTCATTCAAAAAAACAGTTGGGAAGTGTTGAAGAAGAAGAAACACCTGGGAAGCTACTTCAAGAACTTTCACCTGTACCCCAGATAACCCCAGCTATCAGAAAAGCTCGTGTGAACCTAATGGGTGACTTAACTTCACCCAATCACATAGCCCTTGTTCGTCAGAAAAAACAAAAACAAAGCCAAACACCTCATCCAAAGGGACAGAGAAAGGAAAAACCTTCCAAAAACAAATTACCGAAATCTACAGATCAAAAGTTGCAGAAGAAACGCAGACACGAGTCTACTTCTTCAGAATCTGATGGAAACGTAATATTGGATGATTCATCTAGTGGGGAAGAAACGTTGGATGATATCGAAAATCAGTGCGTCGGGTGCCTCGAAGACTATCGCCTTACAAAGAAAAAGGAGGAATGGTTACAATGCATTGTATGTTCCAGATGGTTGCACATCCTACACCAACACATGCCAACGCTGCGGTGCCGCCCCCACTTTAAAAAAAGGGACAAAAACCCTAAATTAATGGATGGTCCATCTCTCCTTTTCATATAGGTCCATCTCTCCTATCCCCACTAGGATAGATGGACCAATTACGATTTTTAGTTTTTTAGAATTTATAATTATTTGTCAAGTTATATTAACCATTAAACTTTACCAAAAGGACCACGAATGTTTATGTTAACGTTGTACTGTTTTGTAGACTTATATTCTTATAAATAAAGAAGTTATCGAAAAATGTTTAAAAGGTGGTCCATCTCTCCTCGATTTACCCTATACTTATACAGGGTGTTACATGACCGTATGTAACAAAAAAATTGGGTGATAGAGAGGATTACGACAAGCACTTCTTCCAAATAAACCGCGGGTCCAACGTGTTTCGTTTGGGAGCCACCCCCAAACAAGTGGCGAAATGTGTATTTCTTTTTAAATTAGGTATCTAGGAGTTTTTATTTATTTTATTTATTTATTTGTTGCCCCCTGGTTGCCCCTCATGTTCTAGGCCCTCAACATGCTTACGCCCAATGACAGAGTGACCCGCATAATGCTGAACTTGAACAGCTTGAACATTAAAATCATGAATCTGGAATTAGTTTTTGAAAATTCGAAAAAAAAGTTCCACTGCAATTCTTGGGCGGACAACGAAAATGAAGAGAATTCCACAAAATTTGTTGTGTACATATTTGATGAATTAAGGAACAAAATTGTCGAACAGTTTTTTAACATAAATTTTCAAACAAAAGTTATACTATTTGAAGATTGGGCCTTTTGGTTACAAAGCAGTGGTGTAGTGGAGGCACTGCTTGTGAGAGGGGAGCGGCGCTCCGGCACAGGATAGGAGACGGAGATAAGATAAGTGATGATAACTAATGATATTTGCGACTTAGATAAGCCTTACACCTTTAGAGCAACAATTTATTCAAAAATCTAGGAACTGAAATTGTTTCAAAACCCATTTATTTTACTGCAAATTTTTTTAATTTTCCTGGACCCCACTTTTGCTTGGAGGGGGGGGGGTGTATTCGATACCCTTGGATACCTGCATTTTATTGGGTGGCGTTTACATGACAGCACGGCGCGTAGGAATAATTCGCGATAACAACACGTGAAAAATAAACGTATTTAATAATGCTTACCAAATGTTGGTGGGTGATGGCCATCACTTCTAACAAATACCTACATAATAACAACATCGTAAACTAAATGAAAAAGAGTTTGAAAAGCTTAAAAGTCTCTAGAACCGTTGAGTCTGGTTTCTTCACTCAACGCTAGAACTGTTCATAATTGTCTCTTACAAGTACCACGCACGTTTCACCGCTAAGCACATTCCGCCATCATTCCTCTCTCTGTCTGTCATTTCTGCAGAAACCGCGCGCGCACTTTAATTTAAATTTTCGTTTTAAAAACCAACTCTAACACATTTTAAGGGCTCCGGCACTGCTAAATTTGGCTACACTGACTACACCACTGTTACAAAGTGTCCTCCGCCTACTAGTGAGTGATCTAATTTCTCATATAGTTAATTGAAAATATTGCAAACAACAAACAATAACGATTTAAGTCGATACTGATAACAATTATTACCTTCAACCTTCAAGTAATCATAGGGAGTTTGTTTAATACCTGTTTATATTATTTATTTATTTATAGCGGGAGCTCGGATAAGTTGCGACATGATAAACAAAAACGGACCTTGATGTTCCCAGCGTTTTTAAAGCAAAAATAGCAACATCGACATGATGAAATGCATCCAATTCTTGTCTTTGGGAATGAAGTAATGTCACTTCTACGGTTCTACACATCGCTTCGTTATTTACGATCGTAGCGTTGAGTGAAAAGTAATTTCGTAGCTATTTGTTACGCCTAGTACTTAGGCAGCCTTAGTTACTTCTTCATAAAGATCTTTTAACAATCGACCTCGAAGTGTATTGTGGCGATTAACTCTTCAAAAGGTCGATCTACAACACCCGAGCTTTCCGTGGAGTTCAAAATCTTGAAGATTGGCAAATTAGTAGAAGTAGTCAAAGAATACCTCGAAGAATACTTAATAATTACTCTTTGGTTTCGGTGTTAATATGAAGAAAGATTCTTTTAAAAGAATACCTACACATTTAGACTACGTAAGTAGCGTCTAATAACAAACTGACAGTCTTAGGGTTTCACATTTCGACCTAAATATTGTTCATAAATGCTTAAAATAGAAAGAGAGTTGTAGGTATACAGGGAATTTTAGCACCCGCACGTTAGTAAGGGTTTGCATTGGGGTAAAAATGACCCCCACTTTTTCTTTACGGAAATACACGTTTTGAAGCACCAGCAATCCAAATCAAAGAAAATTTCGATGATATCGGTCTGTCGGTCCGTATGTACTCTCATTTCCGGCTAAACCGCTGAACCGATTGGAACCAAATTTAGTACAGATTGCATTGGGGTAAAAATGACCCCCACTTTTTTTTACGGAAATACACGTTTTGAAGCACCAGCAATCCAAATCAAAGAAAATTTCGATGATATCGGTCTGTCGGTCCGTATGTACTCTCATTTCCGGCTAAACCGCTGAGCCGATTGGAACCAAATTTAGTACAGATGAAAAGACATAAAAGGGCACAATCGAGCATGCACGAGTGTGAGGATCGGATGGTATCTGTGCTAGCCACAGCAATTTTTTTTTAATGTATTTCTACATAATTATGGGCAATGAATACTTTTTTAAAAAATTTGCTTTGGCTAGAACAGATACCACCCGCACATCTGGGCATGCGCGATTCTGCCTTTTTACGCCCATGAATATGTGTACCTACCTATATTCTTTCTATTTTCAAAACCAAAAGTATATTTAGGTAAACGTAGAAAGGTCGGATAAGTTTATTTTTATATATTGCTTCTCCACGTTCCCAAAAGTACTTAGGGGGCCAAGATTCCTCTGTTTCGCCTAACAGCCTCTTTCAATTAAAACTAGAAAATGACAAGTGCGAAGCGTAATCTGAACTTTACATTAGGTTTTGCTTTGAAAAAAGGAGAACGAACATAAGTTAATAAGCTTAAGATATCTACCTGATATTATCGTAGCGGTGCAAAGATCCATTCAGCTGCTGTAACCATAGGATTTCGCACTTGCAATCCCAAGGATTATGTTGAAGATCGACAAACTTAACTTTCTTAAATAGATGTAGGTATGTAGAGTTTAGAGTCCTTATTCCGGTACGTGAAATATGCATTCTCTTCAAAGTTACTTCAGTGTCATTTGAAAGAATTCCAAAAGCCAGATTAGGCAATGAACGTAGTCTTTTAGAATCGCTCAAGTGCAGCTCTTCTAAAGATTTCAAATTCAAAAAAGCGTAATGCTCAATTTCTTCTAACCTCTTCAATCTATTTAGCTTCAATACCTTCAATGACTGGTATGGCAAATGTTTTCCAGATACTGTTGTAATATGAGTTCCTGACAAATCTAAATGTTCTACGATCGACGAGACTAACGGAATCTCTGTTAGAGGATTGTCTGACAAACTCAAATATTTCAAATGACTACCCTCATCGAAATATCCATTGGGCAATTTAGAAATTCCAACACCATCTAAGTTTAATTTGGAAATATTGCGTGGAAAGCCCATACTCAACTGGAAGAAACTGCTGTGTTGCATTAGAGTGACACCCAAATAATTAAATCTTAAGTCTAACTCCTCCAGATTCTTCAGTGGTCTAAAAACATCTTCTGGCAATGTCGAGAGTTTGTTAAAACTTAATTTTAACACCGTTAAATTTCCGAGTCCCCTGAATACGTTAGCGTTAGATAAATAAACGATTTCGTTATGACTCAGATCTAAAACTGATAAATTTGGAGTGTTTATAAAAAAGTCCTGAAACAAATACGCTATTTTGTTGAACGATAAATTTAGGAATCGTAACAGTACACTTTCAAAATTATTATGATCGTGGTCCAATGTTGAAATTAAATTCCGCGACAAATCTAAGTCTTCAACGCTTGGAAGGTGTGTGTCCTTTGGAAATTCGGTTAAGCTCATTCTCGTACAGTCGGCACTGTGAACTGGGAAGGGCGTGTTTGGTTGAGCCTGATATCGGCACATACACTTTAACTTTGATTTGGAAAAAGAGCATAATTCTTCACTGGAGAATAACTGAAACTGTTCACTCAAAAAAAGCGCAAAGATCAAAATACGCACGGAAATTGTCGACATTTTGATTTGAACTGTATTATTCAATACAACCGATACCTACTCGGTCGAGGAAATTAAATTTCTTGGTAGCTGATTAAATTGATAGCTTTATCATCAAAATAGGTAGGTTTATTGTCCCTTATCGTGTGTATGATTTAGATAATATTAATAAGTGAAACAAATTGAGTTAAATCCCTCATAACAAAAATGAAAGATTGATCATTGATACCTATATAGGTATATTTCAATGCATATGGCTTTACACAAGGAAGCTTAATTTCTATACTATGCAAGTATACGAGTATGTATTTAATTTTCAAACGTTTCGCAACTATTGTAGTTAAGTCTTAATCTTATCTACAAAGTGGAAATATAATATATCGTAGCCATACACAAGGTAGACCAAAGGATAGGTACCTATGTACAGAAGATTACAAGGACGTTCTAGGACTAATCTACCCTACACACAATTTGTTATTGCTCTACAAAGAAACTTCGACTAGTAACGGTCTCCTATATCAGAATTCTCTATGTTGACAAACACGCTTGACAGCACTTTGAAAAATTTCAAGGTAGTCCAGTCAATAGTCAATGAACAATTTGTTTGGGGTGAACAGGCACTTAAGTAATTCCTTCAGAAACTTGTTCAGAGTTCTTCGGCAATGCACATACTAAAATTCCTGTCACCTTGGTGGCGAGCCGGAGGGCGGGGGTGGAGGGAAAGGTACAGTTTTTGGGTTTTCCGCTTGTTTACTGAAAACGGTTTATCATAGGAGAAAATGTTCTTATATTAAATGACGAACCATTAAATTCTCTACAATTCTTTACACTTTTTTCGAATTACCAACCGTATTTAAATTTCACATTCTCGAAGTCATTTAAAAAAGTGTGCGACCTGCTTCATTGACTGGACTAAGGAGGATTATACGAATATTTTTAAGATTTGAACAACGATTCTACGATTTTCTGAGAGGATTCAGAAGCGATTCCAAGTTGACTCTCAGACTAGTAGAATCTATGGCGACTCTAAGAATTCTAATGGTCCAATAGAAATTAGAAAAATATTTGACATTTTAAAAAGAGTAGCATAATCCTAAAAACCTTTTGGAGTTCTATATGTGTCAAATATTGTGTAGGATTCTAAAAAGATTTTAAAATAAGGATCTAGAATAGCTCAAAAATATTACAAGAAGGGAGTAAAGAATGTTTTGAGTGAAGAATGTTTTGATTCCAAGATGAGTTCTAGAAGACTTGAAATATGTTACCTATGCTGAAAACTTGAACAGTATCTACTACTTAAATGTTTTTAACGTGTTTATAATTAAAAATACTTGCGAAAGTTCTAGCCGCTGATTTGTTTGGTTTTGGAATTTCGACATGGAAACACATAGAAAGTTGCAGTTACATTAATCAATTAATTTGAAGGGAATTCAATGTAAGTTAGTCTTTAAATGTATTTGTCCTTTCTTCTTCCTTCTTTATCTATTTCAAAATTAACGTTTGTAAACAAAAAAATTGTTTGTCTTAACAACAATAAAGATTATTATTATTTTTTTGTTTTTCTTTTAACTATCGTTTAAAATGTCATATCGGTACCCACCGATAAGTCGTTGACTTGGTGGAACCGTCAATTATGTTTTATTTTTGGAAAAATGAAAAAATGAAATTATTATTATTATTACATGGCTAAAGCTATCCCCATATTGAATATCATGCAATTCGGTTACAAACTAACGGAAATGTATTATTTTAAGGTGATTGATTAAATATAAAGCCCTCCATATCTGGCGCCCTGGCGAAACGCTTAACATACCGCACAGATGTATATAGAAAAAAGTTTTATGGTAGGCCCCCTAGGCACATAACATCCCTGTTTGAGAGGTCTTTTTCTTATAATGTTTGTAAGTTATGGAATTCTTTACCAGATAACGTCAAGAACATCTCCTCCTTACCTATTTTTAAATCCGCTAGTAAACAGTACATATTACATTACAATCTCAATAAGCCACATCGACTACCACTACCTCTTCTCAATTGTGGGCAATCTGGACGTTTTGTGAACCAACGTAAATTTTATTTCTTATTCTTCTTTCTTTCTTCTGTTGCAAATGATATGTAGCAATTATTAAAGTAAACTTCTTGAATGTTTTATTTTATCAAATTCTTGATTGACAAAATTATAATAACAAAACGCAACTATCCAGGTAACTAACTTTTCATATGAATTATTTAGACATTATGCAGCAGGCATACTTCTAATTATATTGTTAATTTTATTTTTCTTCCTTCCCGTTGCTGATTTTGGTCCAAGTGGAAGACCAGGAGCGGTGCTTGTGCCTGTCCCTGAACTAGCACCTTTTGTCATGCTAAGTATCAACAAAGAAATGTTATTATTTGCTATTTGCTCTGTTGACAATAGAGAATTAGAGACTATTTTTTTTATTACCTTAAACGTATGCGCTTTCGAGAACTGTGACCATTGAGCGCCACGATCAAGTTTTGTCAGAGCAGATATAATAGTACCAAAGACTGGGTACTCTTTGATAGTACTTATATTCCAGCAGTGTTATCCATTATTTACCAACCATTTCTTTAGATTTCTTTCAGGAACTGTATTAACTTTCCAAAGTTATTTTCTTTTAGCAGCATAGCAAGTTCTCCCTCAATTTTATGTTTTACTGTATACTCATTTAATTACTCACATTCTTCTACTACATGCTTTACAGTAAGTATAGGTACTTTTTCTTTACATTGTGGGCATACGGCAGCATCTCTTCCTAAGAGCAAATACGAATGTGTGACCTATTGCTGCCCATATCACTTCATTCTCTCTGGCAAGGGGAGCTACTAGTATAGTACTTTTTTTATACACTGTCGCAGTTGGGTTGTATTTTCGTCCCAGTTACCTTGCCATTTACCTACTAATTATAACTCTACGAATGTACTTCCTCAGATCTTCGTGGGTGTAGATTGTCATCTGTTGCACATCGTTTTTATTTATTTCGTCTGTTTGGGGAGTGACTAGATAACGTGAAGTCACATATAAGGATTTGATTGTAATGCCCCTTTTTCTGAGTGTAGTTATTTTTTGTAGTATGGTTTTTACAAATTCGTTAATTGAGAATGTGTTCTTTAACATTGCTTTTATTACGTTTGATGTAAAACATATCATTTTCTTTGTAGTTAGTTGATCCGTGTCAATTTCTTTAACGATACCTATAAGACTAGCTGTCAGGATCGAGGTTCCATCAGGGAGCTGCCATGTACGCGTACGTTCTTTCGCCTGAATGTGGCAGTAGCGTCCGTCGTCAGTAGATAATGTCCTTTTATTACTATTTCATATCCTTCACTAATGTAATATTGCCAGTGTCTATTAATTAGTGTGGTTGTCTTCTTCTGCTATTTCCTCTATTTGTGAAGAGTTAATTTCCCAGTCATAATTATCATTTGGGGCAATATGGAAGTCTATTACTAGGCTCTCAGACTCCAGTTGTTTATGAATTTTAATTAGCGCAGAGATAGTTCTTGTTTGGCTCCATTCATACTTATCAAGAATTTCTGGTGCTGATATGCCCTGTCGGAGATATAGTAATTTACTAAGGATTTTGGCACCATACTTCAAATTTGTCTCCAGAAATCGTAGTTGAAGTGGTGGACATTTTGCTATTATATTGAGCGCTTCTATTGGTGATTTTCTGTAAGCACACACAACACTACACTGCCATATTCAATTCGACTTTGAACAAGAGAGCTTAGAATTTTACGTAATGAGTCTCTATTTGATCCCCAAGTAAAGTTGCAAAGAGCTGTAATCTTATTGATGGTAAGTTTGCACTTAGGTACCTACTACATTTTCTATGTGGGCCCCAAGAATTTTTGTTCTTCGACATTTGGTATCCTTTGGCCATTAAAGCTCAGTGTTGGCTCGTTATGAGGTTTCCTGAGTCTATACAAAAGTGCATACACGTTGTCTTTTTAGACGAAAAAGTCAACCCTCTTTTTTCTGCTTCACACACTACACGATTTACCTACATCATTTTGCATTATGTTTTGCATATCCAGGATATTTGTACCGGTTACCGCTATTGCTAGATCATATACTTACCTACATGCAGCATGGCTTTACTATTTGGATGTATGTCATCAGCTATACCGTTAATAGCAATGGCAAATAGAGTGGTACTGAACACAGGCCCTTGAGGTATCCCATTTTTTTCCTCATACAGTTGGGAATATAGGTATGTTATTCCATACGAACTTTGGAAGTACCGGTTTTCCAAAAAGGCAAAAGCTCTGAATAAGTTTATGCATCAGCCTCCCTATGATGTTCCACATATTTAGGGTTTTAAGTACGGTGTATATGTGTACGGTAGGTATATAATTTTAAGTAAACCTCTCGCCAGGAAAGATTGCCGGTTACAGAACACTTGATCCCGGTCTACAATCTGTTTTTCTAAAGATGTGAGCGACTTCCGGGATAGTACCTATCGTCTCAATGTTAAACAAAAACACTTTTCGTTCAACATTGGCACCATCCTATTTCGGAAGTCGCTCGCACCTAAAGAAAAACATAGATTGTAAATCGACACAAGGTGTGCTCATGTGCTGTGACCGGCAATCTTTCCTGGCGAGAGTTATATGGTGTAGGTATCAGAGTTGGACTGAGTCAAGCATAGAGTGACCCAGTGACCCGGTGACCCAGTTAGTTTACTGACCCAGTGACCCGGTGACCCAGTGACCCGGTGACCCAGTGACCCGGTGACCCAGTTTGACCCGGTGACCCAGCTTGACCCGGTGACCCAGCTTGACCCAGTGACCCAGCTTGACCCGGTGATCCAGCTTGACCCGGTGACCCAGTGACCCATCTTGACCCAGCTTTACTCAGTGACCCGTCTTGACCCGGTGGCCCAGTAATTAAATTATTGTTAGGTTTCATCCAAAACAATTTCAAGTAACTTTTAATTTTAAAAAAAACTTCCTCAATAATATTCGGCAACAAGCACGTAGCCCAATTTCATTCAAGAGAACTAATACCTAAAAAAATCAAATGCATTTGTTTATAGTTTGTAGTCAAGTAGTCAATGAAAGTATTTAGAGAAAAGATTTATTTGGATTAAGCTAACTAGTAGAAAAAAATTAAATGTGAATGAACACCTGTAAGCAAACTGGTAAGCCCTGAAGCAAAGAAATAACATTATTCTAATACCATTCGGGACATGGAAAGTTTTTTACGGCAGAATTAAAGCAAACATCACAGAAATGGCAGTTGTCAAGCAATCGAGTATTATTTTCAACAAACCAGCATTTCATTTATTTCATAATCTGTACACTTGAACCGAGGGCACTGACTTAACTGCGTTATTCGATCAAACTAGATGACTGGGTCGAATTGGGTCCCCGGGTGAAATTGGGTCGCTGGGTCAAACTGGATCACTGGGTCAAGTTGGGTCACTGGGTCAAACTGGGTCACTGGGTCAAACTGGGTCACTGGGTCTAACTGAAAAGAGTATGACGTGACCCAGCGACCCAATTTAATTTAGTGACCCAGTTGACCCAGTCCAACTCTGGTAGGTATTATACTGTTCCAGGTGGGAAGCCGAAAGATGGCAGGCGGCCATTAAGACAGAAGAAATTTTAGAGGAAGGTAATATTGGTATAATGCTGGAAACGGAGAAGTGGCGAATTATAGAACAATTGATAGTGCAAATAATAGGCACACGGGAAAGGGAAGTGAGAGCGGAAGTGGGAAACAGACAGACATAAGAATTTATTAAGAGATCACTCGCGGAGGAATGCCACTGGCAATACCCGCGAAGGGGGAAATGGTTTAGCGGATGCAGGCCCCAGACCTACGTTATAGTCAGGCGGAGGTGTGCGATAGGCATTTCACCATCCCAAAAAAAAAGGGTATACACCTGTATCCCATATATGATTATCCATCTCTATTTTTCATTTCGGAAGTCATATTCTGTATCATGGTGTATACAGGGTGGTGACTTGCGTAACGCACCATAGGGATTTCAATGTAAAATTCATAACATGCGATTAATGCGTCCCCAAATTATTTTAGAGCAAAAATGTATTAAGGTTTTTTGTAGAAAAAATTTTTTTACGTCAATCAACCGTATTAGTTTTCAATTTTTTGCATAATAAAGACGGAAAATTGGAAAAATAAAACCCCCATCTTTTTCAATAATCTGCGATGCCATGGAATTTTCTAAAACAAAAAGATATCCAGTTATCAATTAGCAGCAGTTCGAAATGGATTTTATGATCGACTTGGTTACTGTCTTGCAGTTAATGGTGACTAATTCGCACATTTATTGTAAATTGTTATATTAGGACCCTCGTGTTTAGTAATTTGGTCTTTCTTTATGTTGAATTCGCTGTTTATAATACGTTTATTTCATACTGTCCGGTAGATGTTCGATTACACTATCATTTTGAGTCCGGTAGGTGAGTTATTACAGCATCCGAGCCGGTAAGTGTCGCTAAGCAACACTTACCGGACTGTTATTTGTATACATCAAATTTGACATCTTCACACAATTAATTAAAAACCCCAACATAAATTTGGCTGTAATTCTTTATTTCAAACATTAACATTGATTGTAATGAAACAATTTGTATTGCCCTCAACACTACGCCTGGGTTATTACTGAATGTCGAGTTAGTAATGTTTGATTCCTTCTGCTGTAAAACTTCAATGAAATTTTCGCCGCCTTGTATCAGTTGTATCATACGGGCAATCTTAACTTTTCCTTCTACCGAGCCTTCGATGTATTTTTCTGCCGTCGATGAGCTTTTCCATGCTCCATGACGCTTTAACACCGAAACCCAGGCAATAAAATCTCAATTCAAAAACTTACTGTGTCCAAAAAGTATGCCAACATGACTTTTTCCTCTACTTGTTTCGCCCCATGTTCGTTCCTCAATTGGCAAAACACTTAGTACTCTTTTTCAAACCTTGCGCCCGACTTCTTAGGAACCAACTTTTCGGTTGCTTCATGAGATTTCGACAGGATTGTATCGGGAACATTGGAACATCCCACAACGTTTATAACGTCAATTTTTCAGTGAAAAAAATTCAATTGTCAACAAACTACAAACTATAGCAACGGCCGTTGTCACAGAAACAAGGTAATGCGATTTTTACAATATGATGAAATTTTGTAATCTTTGAAATGAAATAATGATACAAAACAGACTTACAGTATGAAATAAAATACGTTACGATATACGTCCGGTAGTACTTGTAACAGTACTCGTTTAAGACATTCTTGACTCGGCTCCTGACGTCGCCTCGTCCATAATGTCTAACTCGTACTGTTACAAGTAACCTACCGGACTTATAACGTAAATAACTATTTGATAGAATTTGATTTGTTTTATAGCAGGCATTCCATGGCATGACGGATATTGGCATAGTTTTGTATTATAAAATTCCATGGCATCACAGATTATTGAAAAAGATGGGGGTTTTATTTTTCCAATTTTCCGGCTTTATTATGCAAAAAATTAAAAACTAATACGCTTGATTTACGTGTCTACAAAAAACCTTAATACATTTTTGCTCTAAAATAATTTGGGGAGCCAATAATCGCATGTTATGAATTTTACATTGAAATCCCTATGATGCGTGACGCAAGTCACCACCCTGTATATGTTATGTTGTCATTTCCGGGAGCGGTATCTTTACACTTGTTTAGGGCCGTTTTCTTTTTGGCGTAAGAGAAAGATAAATTGTAACGCAATTATTATTTTTGTTATTATTATTATGTCAAAAGGGCCTTCCTTTGATAAAGAATCCAACTGCAAAATTTCATCGTAATCCATGCATTTTTGAGATATCGTGGTAAAATGGACGGACAGATTACGAAAATTATAAACTCGCTAGGAGCTCGTTAATAAATTAACAATTAAGTAGGTAAGTACATACATTAGCATTGTAGTCAGAGCTGGGTCGCGCACCCTAAAAAACCGCTCGAGCGACGAGCCTCAAAAATGCTCGAAAGAATCGAGCTGTGTTGCAAAGCGAAACCGCTTGCGAGTTCCGAGTACTCCTAAAAGTGCTCGATCGGTTTATCGCGACGGGAAAAACGCTCAAGAGCAGAAAAAGCGCTTGGGAGCGGAAAAAACGCTGACATTAAATAATGAGAGCGAAAAAACCGTTCACGAGCGGAAAACCGTTCGCGGGTAGAGTAAACGATCCTATATCGAGCACCAAGTGGCCGCTCCGAAAAGTGCTGTGTATCGCTCGCAAGCGCTTTTTCAAGCAAAACGCTCGCGAGCAGTACCCAACTCTGATTGTATAGTCCGAGTCGGATTTAGCATAGGGCCTTGTGGGCCCAGGCCCATAGCGACAAATGTTTAGGGGCGGCAAAAAAACAAATTTGGGAAATAATCCTACAGTACTATCGTATGTGTGTAGATCCGGCCCTGGTTGTAGTTATTTAAAAAGTTAATACAATATTAGCATATTAAATGATTGATACAAATAAAAATATTTAAACAATTGATTAAAAAAAGTTATTTAATTAAACAGTAATATTAATATTAGATGGTTTTTAAATTTTTTAACCAACCGTGAAATTATCGCAACGGTTTTGACCATAAATTACGTATTGCTCACAATCAACAATGAAGAACAAAACTTCAGAAACGGTGACAATTTAACTTTAACGAAGTTGCGTCTTGTTTTAGATCAAATAATTGTACGTAGGTATTTATCCATTTTGGTGCAAATATGCCTACATGTTTTCAGCTGGTAATTTTGGCGCCCCTATAATCATGCAATCCTAGACCTCACCCCACAGTAGCCCATGCGCTAAATCCGGCTCTCACAAACAGCATTTCTTTCTTTCAGTTATAATTTGTGAGTATGTAAATATTTTTGTCTTTTACAATTTATTTAGTTTTATTCTAGTTTATAAGTGGAAGGGATAGGTATACATATACCTGGTACCTATACTCTGCGCAAACCCTGATGAAAATTATAGGTCTATCTTGTTTTCCTTATAAAAACAATTTTATTGTTAGTTGCACATTCGAAATTGAAATACCGCTAAAAGTTGTAGAAATATTTGATAACCATTTAATATGAAATTAAAATGGCTGGAAGTCAAACAGTAGTTATATAAGGCAGGGCAAAAAATATAAAACTTGCTTAAGAAAGTAACCGTATTACTAAAAATATAGCAAAATGTTATTGTTGAGGAAAGTATAGATTTCAATAAAAAGTTATGGCCTCCCATTCAGATTTGTGTTTTCTGATACAATACACACTCAAATTAGCATTTTGTTCTTAGTTTCCCACACAATAATGGTTCAGCACATCGTTGGATAGCCTGTACTATAGGTGATTTTTTCGATATACAAGCAGTACAGAAAATACACACATAGCTCATATATCCTGTCATCTCCAATACAATTATACTAAAAATTGTTGCTATTTATATAATGTTTTCTTAACTAAATAGAATTTTCCTACACAGGGGAAACCTATATTATTCAGGGGGCTCACTGACCAAACTTATTTAAGCTAACTTCTCTGTTGCAATTCACTACAGTTCTCCCATTTTATAGCAAACAGATTATAAGTTTAAATTAAAATGAACAGTTTATTGCAAATAATTTTAAAAGGTGATAAAAAAATATTTGTATACCTCACAAAGCAGTACAATAAAACAAAAAGTTATAGATCTGCATAAGAACATCTCGTTAATACAATGCGCAAAAAGTAACAACAAAACTCAAACAAATACCAACAAAATAAAACAATTTGTTAGTAAAATCCGAGAATTTCTAGGATGAGACGAGCACATTTCCTCTGGTTTCCGTTTTTGTCTCCTTTTCGCCTTCTTGTTTTAGATCATCTTGGCCCTGAATCCTAATGTTATACCTTTCTCGATATTCATTTATTTCGGTGCCCTTTTTCACAAGCTGCTCATTTACTTTTTCTATTAATTCCGTTAATCTGTCCCTATTGGTACGCAGAACTGGTTCAACATCTTTCACCTGTTTCTCTACTAAAATACCGCCTATCATTCGATAGCACTTTCTGTTGGGATCCGCATTTTTCAACGTTTCAATAACCAACCTGAAAAAACATCGTTTTAGTGTGCACATCGGTTTCATGTTTAAATATTATTGGAGTGCTATATCAATAGCGTAGCATGAGAACGCGAAAATATGAATGAAAGAACATGTGGTGTTTATTACCTACCTGTGTTCATTCAGTTCCATTTCAAATTCGCTCAGTTTTGAGGCTAAACTGCGTTGTTCCCCACGTAACTGCTGGAAACCGAGCATTATGTCTTCCGCTGTGGGTCCACGGGTGGATTTTTTCTCTGTTTTTTTTAATTCGTTCGACATTTTAAAGAACTTGACTTTTATTTTCAACTGAAAAATGAATCCGACATTCCTACCACATTCTACCAACACAAAAAAAGATTCAGCAAATCAGCAATACCACCTTGAACTATGTCAATTCCAAGTATTTAATATACAGGGTGACACATGGCATTAATACAATAACGCTAGCATCCACACTTCAATAGTTAAAATCTACCAAGCCTACTATTAATCAATATATTAAATCATCTTATAAAGTCAAATATCAAATTTAACAAGCACACCTTAGTCTTGTGATAATCGAGGCCGGGACATTTCGCCGAATGCCCGCAACGCCGACACGATTTTTTGAAGGTCCATATCGCCGACTAGGGACACTTCGCCGACGGACACTACGCCGACCGTGCCCACATCGCCGACAAGTGAACAAGGGACACTAAGCCGAACGTGACCATAACGTCGACACATACAACACTTCTTAATCAAGCTGGACGGTGTGCAACACCAAGTAGCTTTTGACGTTAGGTTATTGTAGGTTCAGAATATTTTTTTTTAACTTTTTTCGAACTACAGACTCATACGAAAATTCTTAATCAAACTGGACGGAGTGTGAAGCAAAGCAGCTTTGGATATTAGGTTATTTGTAGGTTTAGGACATTTTTTTAAACTTTTTAAAATGCAAACTCATACACTGGACAGAGTATGAGGGGCCTGGATTTTCGAACAGTCGGCGTTGTGGTCACGTTCGGCTTAGTGTCCCTTGCACACGTTTCGGCAATGTGGGCACGATCGGCGTAGTGTCCGTCGGTGAAGTGGGCATGGTCGGCGTTGTGTCCCTTACACACTTGTCGACGATGTGGGCACGGTCGGCGTAGTGTCCCTAGTCGGCGATATGGACCTTCAAAAAATCGTGTCGGCGTTGTGGGCATTCGGCGAAGTGTCCTAGACCCAAATGCGACCGTTTAGTGCAGATGCCGAAGACATGATATTACACTATTAATCATTGAATGTCATGTCACAATTTGTATTATTATTATTCGATTTTTTGTTTCTGTACCGTTATCTGAATCATGTTTGTTTGTTATACTGTACAGGTGATTATGCCGTTATTGTGTTTTATTAGGTATTTTGGATGTATTCACCTGGAAGGGGAGGGGAGTTCTCTTAGGCGATGTTGCTGTGTATGAGGATGTATTCACCTGGAAGGGGAGGGGAGTTCTCTTAGGCGATGTTGCTGTGTATGAGTAGTCTCCGTAGAGTAGGTACGTACCTAATACAGCCCTTTTCTTCGCTGTATCTGCTGCCTGCTCGTCTCATGCGGATTGCAAAACTTGTATCTGAGCAATATATGATACTTTAGGGGCCCTCTAATTAACATTTCCTCTATTTAAAATATGTTTTGCACTACAGAACACCGCACTTTGTTGAAAACTAATTTCCAATTCCACAAAAAGCACTAACATTTCAATGAAAATTCCCGCGTGACGTCACCCATAACTCCGCCCACATACGCAATACCATATCTTTTATTTATTGTATCATGCAAACAAAATAGCTGGCTGGTGTAATAAACACAAAGTAAACAGTTTTTGTGCAGCGAGAATATGGCTGTCACAGCTTCAATGCGCAGAATTGCTCTTGATAGGATATTATCCTTAGACTACGAAAGAGAGCAGACGGTAGAGAGTAGCCATTTACAAGACAAGTGAATACAAATTTTTAGTCGCTGCAAATTAGGCAAAAATGTCGAATAGTTTGATAAGATTATTGACATTAAAATCATTTGCATCTAGAATAATGAGGCCGCGAAATGCGCACTAGCCGAACCGATTATTGAAGTTCGAACTAGGGATCCTCACTATCTAACTAATACTGTTGAATGTTATATACAAAAAATCAAAACATTTATTGCATTACATTTACAAATCGCTTACACTCATAAAAAAGCTACATTTTTAAAAAATACTTTACAATACTGACTTGCAACAATGCGTTGAGATTCCGATTATATATATTTACATGTGTATAAGACATAGCCTAAACATATATTCCGGTTTATTGTACTAAATACATTTAAAGGCTTCTTTTGCACTCTTATTATATAAGAGATCTATTCTTTTGTTTATTATATAAATTAATAATTACAAATTAAACTAGTATGTATATAAATTTGTATAAAAAAATTGCGTAGAAAATTTCACAAAAAATAATAGAATGCACACACATATCACAATGTTGTCATAAATATTTTATAAGTACACTCTTTCGATATTACAAAGCCCAAAACATAAACAATGTAATGAGTCGATATTGCATATGTCAAGGGTTTCTTCAACAAATGAACTATTCCATTATTTATGTGTTGAACCTTGTATAAGGCTATCCTATTTATTACTATGTACAAATTGATGTTTATAAAACATAAAAAATACTTACGCCAGTTCCCTTGCTTGAGTAAAAAAACGAGTCGTATAAATACTGAGCATATAGTTAAAGCTAATTGTGCGAAGAGTTGCATGTCTTGAGTATTTTTGTATCATGGTGACTATCAAAACTGATGTTTTTGAAACCTAAAGGCTAAAGCATTTGGATTGCTCAGAGCATAACATTCATTATTTGTCTAAATGGCACACTAACAGCTGAAAGGCGGATGTCGAGATTTGATGCAGATTTTACTGTTATACAGCACTACAATATGTCACTTTAAACAACACTTGCTTAACAAACAATATGTAAATAATTTAGTCAGAAAAGATGAGACATCATTGGGGGGGGGGGGGGGGGGGGGATTTCTAAAGAAAATATAAAAAGCACTTTTTGTGGTTAGATAGATAATTGCTTGGTACAAAATTAAAAGTGGTGCTTATTCTGTTTCTTTCTACACACAGTAAGTCCTAGAACAGTCGAACATTTTGGATATTTATTATTATATTACCTATATTTTTTTCACCTCTATGGCAAAAAGTCAAAAATGCATTGGTCATCATATTTTTTTAACTTCCGCTTTGGCCGGAAATAACCTCAACAATTTTTTGAAATAGAACACCCGATACATTGTTTATATTTGAATGCGAACTGAATAGCACGTTCAAAAATACTAGCAATAATGTATTCAAAACTAAAAAATACACGAACTGATCTATTTTTTTGCAAATATGTGAAAATGAACATTTCAATGTTTTATAAGTGGCAAGATTTAACATCCCAATATAAACTAAAAAATGTTATTCCTAAACCATTCCTTAAAGATATGGTACAAGTGACATTCAGTTGGAGAGATCGCAGTCTGTCATAAAAAATTATTTTGATGATCTTGGACTTTACCTAAACTTCTTAACTTTAGGTTTATTTTTTTGGAACCGTTCAGTACAAAATAATCATATTTTTTGATATTGGTAAACCATATACAGTGCTATTTATTAAGAAGTAGACATAGGGATTTATGTGCATTGTTTTTCCTATGTGTACTTTTAAAAGACAAAATCCTTCTGAAGGGCGTCTAATAATCACAGAAAATAAATCTCTTAAGCCCCTTAAACTGTTATCGGCACTATGCTGATTGACAATATCAATTTTTTCTTCAGTTGAATACATTGCGCCCGTATGAAAATAGCCATAACAAGGAAGTCAAAGCAACAATACTCAATTTAATTAATATTACAGTCAGATCTTCTTTATTTTAAGAAGTTATTTTGGTTGCCTACAAGTAGTCGCCCTTCGGAAGTGATGTTGTCGTTTAAAAGTAGACATAGGAAAAAAGAATACACGCAAATCCCTATCTACTTCTTTGAAGGAAACTAAAATGACAACTCCATCAACCCCCTAGGCCATTCTTACTCCGTTAAGTCTGTACAAAATACTATCCATAAGTAAAAATAATAATTGCATAGGGCGTATCAATAATTGCCAAATCAAATACTTGAAGATTTTAAAAACAAACTACTTGCAATACATCTCATGAGGTGGGTTTTCATACAGCCGAGGTCCTACTAGTAGAGGGAACCAAAACATTTTTTTTTCGTAAAATATACAAAGGTCCAAACTGTTTCCTTATGCAACTATTCATTTATTCTGAGCAACCATAACATAAAAGGCTGCAAGTTGGAAAAAAGAAGATATAACGCAAGTCAAAAGTATAATGCATGCATTCGTAGAGAGGGCCAACAGGAACAACACCCTACAAATGGTCTCACTGATTGCATTTATTTCAATTTCTCAAAATGTAGCCTTGCTATTAAACCAAAAATGCCATTTATTTGTCTCATTTTAAAATATAAAATTCAAATAAAAATATTGGCTCAAAACCTGCAGATTATTAGTACCTACATTACCATTTTCCAAAATACCATAGCCCTTATGAAACCAACAGATTTTGTATATTTTGATAAATTTCATCACCACTTTAAGTATAACAATTCAACTCTTCCTTAACGTAATAAAATTGATATGTTGCCCTTAAATTAATCGATCATACTCTATGGGTCATACAGAAGTCTCAGAGTTTAATCTCATAACAAATTTGTTACTTTTAGGGTCGACAACTTCTTCAGTTATATTAAAATGTGGCAACTGCTTAATCGAACACAACAAAGATACGTCATTCTGCCTCAATTGGAAATGTGTGTTGTGATCGATCGGTCTCGATAGCAACTCTTCACATATTAGAGCCCACGTTTGTATATTCTTTTGCTCTTTTTCGTTTTGCAAAACCGGCTCTGTAGTTAAGTAGGCATCGAGGAATGCGCGAGGTGTCAAATCGTGACTCAAGCAATTGGCAAGGTGCATTAAAATACCTTCGACGGAATGCCTGGGTTGTTGACGAGTGATCCTCAAGTACTTTTGAAGCGCGCGCGCCATTGAAGGAAAAATAGCTTGAGCTGCTTCTTGAGGATCCATCGGAATTGCGGGTGCTTGATCATTATGAAGCCGCTTAATGTGAGTAAATGCCTCTTCTGCAGCCGTGATTAAGCGAGCCCTCCTCTTTTTAACCCTCCTTTCGTACTCGTGCTCCTCGTAAAATCTCTCATTGTGGCTGGAGTCACGGCGACGCGCATGTGCCGCTAGCATTGCCCGAGATTGTGATTGTTGAGAAGCGGAGTTATTAATACCGTCAACTTCGTAAAACTTAAAACTAGAGGAAGCTTTGCGAGATTTCGATACAGGAATGCGTTCCAAATATGGATTATAAATGGGAAAATCTGTATAGTACTTTTCCAATACCCACATTGCCGCTCTTTGTATACTCAGCTGGCCAATAGCGTATGCCCGGCTGCAACCGTCAGGGCTCCTGACGATTTTAATGTAATACTTCGGTCGTAAATGCCTAATTTCTACTAAAACTACTGCAAGATAGTGGATGAACAGAAGCGTATCGGTTAAACTGCAAGCATACGCGACTAAGGCTTTATAGTCTACAGATTCTTCAGGCGTCGTGGCTGCCCTTGCATTTTCTGTTACCTGAACGATATAAAATAACCAGTAGGCGAAAGTACAAACTAAAATAAACGCGAGCACCGCCGCTCGAAATAAAAAAATGCGAGGAAGTGTCGCATTGAGTTGCCGTAAAAACACAGCCCAAGCGCCTGCTGCCAGTATAATCATCTTAAAAGCTAAAGATACCAACTGTCCCTTACATTCCGCTCCGCAAGCTAGCAATTTATCACCATTTTGCAGTCCAATTGGCGAAGATAGGGCAGGAAAAAATCCAATCTTTGGTAATACGACCATCGCCAAGGGACTGATAAATGCTGCTATTGATAATATTGCAGTCATAATTGTGCCGATGTAACGTTGACAATAGAAGCCAAGACCGGTGTCTGGTTCACCGGGCCAGTTACTTACATCTTCAGTTGACTGCGACTGTTCTGATGTATTACCAGTGATTGCCGTTGTATTTTCACCCCAATTGTCATCTTGTGGAAGGATCTGTACTTCGATTACCTCTTGACCGTCTCTATTATCGGGTGACAAAGTAACTGCAGTCTGAAATGGAGCCATATCTTCCACCTTTCTTAAAGATTTATTGCTTCTAAAGTAACATTATTGTTAGTATAGCATTTGTACAAGAAGTAGGAAGTTACCTAGTGCTCCTATGCGAGTATTGTCTGTGATTCGAACGATCCCTATGTCCTCTAGAACGCCTTGATCTAGAACTGTTCTCTGATTTTACGGATTCTGTCTCCATATCTCGAGCTGTTTCGTTACCCATAAACAAACTAGATCTGTTCCTTGCATTAGGTGTAAATAATAATATTGACTAGACAGAATCAAAGGTTAAAATGGGTTCATTGACATATGACATTGGGATCTTCTTACACAATTTTCCTTAAACAATTTTTTAAGGGAACGATTTTTAACTGTTTCCAAACATTATTATAATGGTAGCTGCCTAACGATCTTGAGGTAGAACAAATATACCTTTAATTACTTGCTAATTATCCACTAAATTGGTATGTCTGGTATTTTTGTAAAATTATTAACGGTAAAAAATATAAAGTTCATTTATAAAATACGTTTATTTGCAATCACGCCTACCTGGCATGAATTAATTGAACCGACAACATTCAACATGGCTACTGTTTTATACCGGGTGATCAATTGTAATGGAACTGAGAAATTACCTGTAAAATAAAAAAAAATTGAATTTCGGGACTTCCAGCAGTGTATCTATACATAATTATTACCTGAATGAAGTGATAAGTTCCGTATTCTACATGAACAAAATTAATTTGATTTTGATATATGCATTACCCACCAGCGAGTCGCGAGCGAATATTGAATGGGCCCTAATGGGGGATTCGCCATTGTATAATATAAACAAAATGAGTCCTCATGTGAGATCGAAGAGGGCGTATTTTTGTGTGTGGCAGATCAGTAGGTACTCTATTAGCGAGTGTTGACTCCACCGTCAATGAGATCTTGTCGGGGCCTACCATACTCCCTTTGTCGATGCCCGACGTCGCGTACACTCGCAATTCGCATTTGGGTGAATTTCAATAAGAACCTACCACAAAATAGTACCTATAATTTTTGGGGCACTTCTCATAGCTCGAGACACGAGAAAGAGAGGCCGCAATTCAAAACTTTTGGGCCCCTGAAAACCGCTACCCCTCGATGACGCTGCGCCTTGCAAAAGGTGATTAATTATGCCACCAGGAAAAATGAAATTCCGTCACGCAGAAGTTGTGCGCGTCTACAAGATCTTTCCGACGACGCCAATTTGAAAACAATCGGACCAAAACTGTAGAAGAAGATAGAAAAAAAAACTAAAAAATCACCACCACGTTAGTAAAACCACACGCTCGGTGATAGCGCCCAGATCATGTAGCCCCGTCCCTTAGGTTGTTAATTACACGGCCCCGATAGGTACACGTAGATTCCTCGTCTTTCTACAAGCGTTCTTTTACGCGCCCTCATTTGCTGCCAGCCAGCCAGCCGGCCAAAGTGAAATTTATGATTCCTAAAAATTAAAATACTTATACCTACGCTTAAGTTACGGAAAATATAAATTCGAAAAACGGCCAAATTTTGAGAAAAGGTTATAACAATGAAATGGTTAAAGTTAAAGAGTATACCACGTTAAATAAAAATTAGGTAGGTACCTACTCTTCAAAGCACTTTTCGATTCTTTAATAGAATATGGGGTGTACCATTTAAAAACAATTTTACGGTACACTGTCTTATAAGTTATAACGTAGCGTTGTGTCGTAAAATTCATTGGTGCCAAACTCTCTGATCACTATTTTTACTCTAAGGCGTTCGTTTATTGGTTCACCAGAAAAAGTGAACTCTGTATCTTTTTTTATTACAAAACAGAGTGAAAGGTCTAAAAGTGCAAACACTCGTCATATTTATGTGATGAGAGGGTGCAGACGAAACGCCTATCATGTTTATTTTTCGCAAACAGCTGTTTTTGTTGTTTATTAACATTGTAAGATTAAAAATTTGAATTTTCTGATTGGTTACAATCACTGCAACTGTATATGGAATAACAACATATGTATAAATTGTACGTCGACAAGAGAGATACAGCATAAAAGTACGTAGAATCTTGAATCAGAACAAGTGTAACTTAACTGAATCGGTCCATCTAAAGTCACTAAATATAGAAAGTACCGCAATCCATTGGCTCGTGTGTTAGAGAGAGAACGCATGATTTTTGCCCAAAACTGGCGGAAGTTACCAGATTCTAGTAACTTTAATGTTAGGGATTGTTCCACCTGTTTGGAGATATCTGCATATATTTTTATAAAACATGACAGTACTATAAAGTTAGGTTATGTAAAATGACAGCTATTCAGATTTTATTTGTCAATTTTTTTAAGTTGGCAGCAAATTTGCCCAAAAATGGCGGATGATTGCGGTACTTTCTATATCTAGTGACTTTACGTCCATCCATGTTAATATGTATGATCTATCATCTGGCTCCATCCGCTATTAATACTCCAGTGAGCACGTCACCTGTCGCACCGTCCGCTCTTGCTCAGCTCTACATACAGTGGCACCACGCTCAGAAAGTCCCTGACAGGGCGTGTCCGAGGGCGCTAGAAATTTAAACCGTACATTCTGGTGCAAAATTTAAAAACACTAAGGGAATTACATACCTTATCAGATCGTAGATCGAAGCTATATGCGTCTTGAAAAAGACGGGTTTGAATAAAAGTGGAGACGGAAAACGTAAATTAAAGCAAACACAAGAAGCAAAGTGTAAACTAAAATAACGTGAAGCGTCAACTGTCAAAATGGAATAATTAATAATTATGGCGCGGAATGTATCGCGTCGTTTTGCAGACTTTCTATTGGCCAGCCTGAATTATTTCAAAATTAGTTCGCATATTTTCTGGGGCTTTTCTGAGCATGGTGGCACTGTATTTTCGTGATTCAGTTTGGTGTGTCGGTATGGTAAACACTACCTATGCCAACGGAAGTGGTTGTATTACATTTAACCTCTTTTGCACGAAGAAGGGGAAAACTACAAATCTGTCTCTGCTAGGAACAGGGGCGCCAGATATTGCTGGGCACCGTTCAAGTTAATTATAAATTAAATATAATTATTAACGTAAAAGATATAATTATAAATAAAAACGCGATCATCATTCCTGTAACCATTTGAAATGCCTGGTGACTTAAAAACAGGTAATTTTATGATGCAATATTCGTGTAAATTATGTTTTGTTAAATTTATTCCAGAAAGTATGTATACCTCCGAAAAACATGGCAGCGATGAAAATGGAAATGGTAGCGAATCGAAGCCGTTTAAAACAATTTTACAGGCCATGCGGGCACATGGTTCTGAACCGTTTCCCGTTATATATGTTGATGGGAAAGAAGAAGGTATAAAATTTGAACCTGCCGCTAAATCACAATTGAAAAAAATCCAAAAAATCTGGGTTCGTGAACAATATAAACAGTCTGAAAAGTTAAAAAAAGATGAGGATGATGCTGAGAAGCGTACGAAAAATCTTGAGGAAGCTAAGAAAATTGTCATCACTGAAGATAAAACATTGCCAGCTGCTAAACAAATTAAAATATTTCAAGGTGGGTCTACTCATGTTTGATATTTGATAAGAAATATGAGATGTGAATGTCATTTCAGTCACTGCATTTAAGTTCACCATTGGGGAATTCCATGCTAATAGCAAAGAAGATTTCTATGCAATTGCATGTTTTTCTTGAATATAATATACGTAGATATGTCTACTTAATCTCCCTCGGTTCAACCCCTTTCACATTTTGCAATTAATCTGATGTTAGCAGCTTTTATTGTACTTAATTTGATCCCTAACATTAAAAGTTGTTTGTAGGAAAACAACATAGAAGTATCAGAATAAAAATTTATGGATGGGTTCACCGCATCCGGCGCCAAGGAAAAGCCTTGATGTTCATCTCTTTGCGTGACGGAACTGGTTTCCTTCAGTGTGTATTGACCGATAAATTATGTCAAACACATGATGCACTTGTTCTGTCCACGGAATCATCTGTGTGTCTATATGGAACATTACTGGAAGTACCTGAAGGGAAGAGTGTAAGTTGATTTAACACAATGTCTTTGTGTGATTCTGTGTTGCTCCAGGCACCAGGCGGTCATGAACTAAAAGTTGATTACTGGACAGTGGTAGGATTTGCCCCAGCTGGTGGTGCAGATTCTATTTTAAACGAAGAAGCTTTGCCCGATGTACAAGCAGAGCAAAGACACATTATGATTCGAGGTGAAAACACTTCTAAAGTGCTTCGAATGCGATCTGTTTTGATGCAGGCTTTTAGGTAATAATGCGAGCTGTTTTGTGGCAGTTTTTGTATCCTTAATCTGTTTAATAGGGATCACTACATCGCTCGAGGATACTGTGAAGTTACACCACCCTCCATAGTTCAAACACAATGCGAAGGAGGGTCTACTCTTTTTAAATTGGACTACTTTGGGTATGTTTTTTATTAACTGCGATAAAATTGCACCTAACTACTGCATTTTAATAGAGAAGAAGCTTATCTGACTCAAAGTTCTCAACTTTACTTGGAAACTTGCCTGCCATCTATGGGGGATGTCTTTTGCATAGCTCAAAGTTTTAGAGCGGAACAGAGCAGAACAAGAAGACATTTAGCAGAGTAAGTTACCATTGTTTGTAAAGGTGACCTTAGTTGTTTGGTTATAGATACAGTCATGTGGAAGCAGAGTGCCCTTTCATCACTTTTGATGATTTGTTAGATCGGCTCGAGGATTTAATTTGTGATGTCGTTGATAGAGTTTTAAAGTCACCTATGGGAGAGGTTGTGTACGAACTCAATCCCAACTTCCAAGTACCTACTAGACCATTTCTTCGCATGAACTACAGCGAAGCTATCGAATATTTAAAGAAGAACAACATAACCAAAGAAGATGGAAGTTTCTATGAATTTGGAGAGGTACCAGAATTGTAACTAGTGGATATGTTATAATGTGTTATTATAGGACATTCCAGAAATGCCAGAAAGGAAAATGACTGATCAAATTAACAAACCGATTATGTTGTGTAGATTTCCAGTTAATATAAAATCGTTTTATATGTCCCGATGTCCTGAAGATAAGGGACTAACAGAAAGTGTAGATGTACTTTTACCTAATGTCGGAGAAATTGTAGGAGGGTCTATGAGGATCTCTAACCTAGAAGAACTGCTTGAAGGGTATTGCTGTCAAAATTTATACTTTATTGTTGCAATTCTTCTTATTATAGGTATAAACGTGAAGACATAGATCCAACTCCTTACTATTGGTACACAGATCAACGTAAATACGGTACTTGTCCACATGGAGGATATGGTTTAGGTTTAGAACGGTTTGCTTGTTGGTTACTGAACCGGTACCATATACGAGAGGTTTGTTTATATCCTCGTTACTTAAACCATTGCAAACCTTAATATGCTTTGTCTGTAATTTGTATATTATAATGCATTTATTGTGCTTTGTAATGCAACTTTTCTCTATTTGAAATAAATGTAAAGGGATATTTAGTTTTTTGTTTATTTGCGGTAAAATTGAAAATGTAATTAATGGTCGTTTAATTAAGTAATATTGTATGATGTATATACAATGGTAATATTAATATAACCCAACATAATTTATTACTTTACCCTAGGCCGCTAATCTTTCAAAATATATTAATAGTGGACTAAATTGGTAAAATTATCACCATGACCGACAATGGCGTAGAACCAGGTGAAATATATATCACCCGATGCCGATAGTACTCATTGAGAGCTATCACATACTAAAATTACAACTGTTATGAGTGGTTATTAGCGAAAAACGAAAAAAAAAATTACAAGAGTGAAATCATGTTTTTTCATAGAAAACTTGCAACTTCTCAAACAAATGTATCATTTCTTTGTAAGTTACTCTCAAGAACTAAGCGAATGATCCTATGCCACACCCGGTAAAATTGAATTAATAGATTGTTGCTAGCTGCTTTATTAACCCTTCAGTGGTGACGCACGGTCTCTCAGACCGACGACAAGTATTTTTCAAATTTTTGGAAAAACGGTGCAGCGCATGGCACTCCTAGTTCTGCTAGCTTAATATTTTGCGTGTCTGAGTTTAGTACCAGACAAACAACTTGATGAAGCAAGCCGTTCTTTGAGAATTAACCCTTTCGGTCTGTCAGACCGACGTCACCATTGGTGTACCTAAAAATTCAAGCTGCCACTGCACATTCTTTCAAACAGAAATCAAGAACAATTCGGAAATTTGGGTATATTTAGTGCCGTGAGTAATTGGCCGCTTTCCGGTACATCGCCGCCATTGATGCTACGAAAATTCTAGTCAGCGCAGCATTGCAACGCGCATCCCCCCGTAAGCTTAGTATTGTGTATAATTCAATTTAGTTATGTTCAGTGGCGGTCCCAGGGCCCCCCCCCCCCCTATTGTTCATTTTTTTCATCAGATTTCTTTTATTTTTTTCCGTGTTGGGACAAAGTTCGGGTTTGGGCCCCTCCCTTTACCAAATCCTGGGACCGCTACTGGTTATGTTACAAGAATAAAATTTATTTTTTCGATTTATATGCCTTTGTTTATTTATTAGCCAGGTTGCGGACAGCATTTTCCGTTATGTTAGACGGCCATTTTTCCTTATAATATAAGTTTATAAGTATAAAACATTTTTATAGCAAAGTGTGCTGGGCGTGTTCAATTTTGCTTATAAGTTTGAAGGAGTCTTAACCTCACTTTTATTTTACATTGTGTTAAAATGTCCAAAGTTCACTACTATGCTCTTAGACAAAAAGAAAAGAACTACCGCCAACATAAACACTGCACAATTGTAGGTTAGCAGGAAAATGTTATTTATGAGTGATTACGTACTGCGCAGTGACACATTATAAGAACTTCATTTTCATTGGTTCCGCTATTTATAAATATATCGTACAAAAAGCCCTCATACCGTAAATTATTTCTACAAAAATTTATATTTCTTATGTTATAAGAATAAATGGCCGTCTAACATAACGGAAAATGCTGTCCGCAACCTGGCTATTGACTGAACTTTTTCCTTTATTTTAAGCCAAGTTACATGCGTAGTAACTACGAAATCAAGCCAAAATCAAATTCGGTCTCTCAGACCGAGGTCACCACTGGTGTTCCAAAATTTCACGTCACCACTGCAGGGTTATTAAGCAATTTGGTTGTTTTCTTTTTTTTTATTGATAACAGATCCTGTTTCTTCGAATTTAACGACCAAATCTTGAATAAAGGCGTGGCTTACATTCCCCAGGGATGTCTCATTAAACGTTGCTGTTTTAAAAGATGATCGATGTTCGGAGCCATAAATGAATATTATTTCCACACGTTCAGCTCAGCTCAGGTTGAAGTTCTTTTTTGTCATAAATCCCTCAATGTCCACATTTAGTTTTTTTTTGTAACTTATTAAATTTTTGTCTTAATGAATATTGACTTTATTGGTACCACTGGAAAGCATTTTTCAGTAGCTTTCCAACGATATGTCACAAGTATGGGGTTGTCATTTAGGATTTTTGAAGGGGGGGGACTTGGGCTTAAGGGAGGTGAGGGGTTGTCACTCATAACGTCATTGTGGTTCCCCCTCGAAACGGTTTTGCGCGATTTTCAATATCTTCTTTAGTTTGGAAAATATGGCCGACTGCAAGTTTTAAAATTGACACCCTGTATATGTAAAGTACAAATGTCCTACTTATACAAGACGACAACATCCGAGTTCCCTTCGTATAATTTCGATTTGTCATGCTTGTTTTGCAGGTTATGTTTATTTTTGTGAGGGTGCACGATACAAATAAAAATGAAATTTTCATACAAGGTAAAAATTTCAATAACTTCAAGTACCAAATGTAACTTTTATTTATGTTGCAGTTTAGTAATTTACTGGGTACAGTCTATCGCGAAGGTAACTTACTGTTCTCTTCTGATGGCAATTCGGTAATCAGCCCTGTTGGGAATCGGATCACCATTTACGATTTAAAAAAGTAAAGTGATTGCGCTTCATTCTACGACTGTTACCATTTTATTTGCAGTAACAAATCTTCCACACTACCTGTTGAAAGTCGTTACAATTACACAGCTTTGGACTTAAGCCCAAATGGTTGTACGTTAATCGCTATTAACGAGCAGGGCGAAGCACATATGATTAGTTTAATATCACAGACCATAGTACACAAATATAGATTTAAGCGAAAAGTAAACACAGTAAAGTTTAGTCCGGATGGGAAACACTTTGCCGTTTGCAAGGAAAATAATGGTTCTATTTAATTTGTATTTAATTCGTATTTGTAAATGGTATATTTGCAGTATTCATTTTTAAAGCTCCTGGGCCCTTCACAGGACAATATAACTCTTTTATAATGGAACGTGTGTTTCATGGAACATTTGACGAAACTACCTGTATAGATTGGTCTCATGACTCAAAAATGTTAGCAGTTGGCTCTAAAGATAAAAGTACAAAATTGTACCCATTGGATAAGTGAGTTACTTATTTTAGGTACATAATATTTAGTGTAAATAAACGTAAGCTGTGTTGCAGATGGAAGAATTTCAAAATGTATACTTTGGGTAGTCACACGGATGTTATTGTTGGTTGTTTCTTTGAGAAGGATAGTTTTGACATTACTACCATCAGTCGTAATGGTCAGACATGTATTTGGGAATGTTCCGTGGAAGCCAAAGATTTAGTGGCAGGTTCCGATCCCCCAAGTAAGAAACGAGTGAGTATTTTAATACGTAGATATTAACATAAGGATAGCCTACAGAAAACGCCCAAGTACGTTTTTTGTGACAATTCAACTCATGTATAAAAAATCGCATAAGCCGCAGTGAAATTGTCACTTTGACAGCGGCAAAAGTTACCTGCAACTTTTCCAGCGACAATTCAACTCATGTATAAAAAATCGCATAAGCCGCAGTGAAATTGTCACTTTGACAGCGGCAAAAGTTACCTGCAACTTTTCCAGCGACAAATGCACTAGTGGTTTTTCACTTATTCATTTTGGAACAATTATCGCATTATCCTTTCCCATATGATTAGCTTGACGTCTTCAATAATTGACTAGTTTGGTGAATTTCTTGTTCGTTAAATTGTCCTGCCGAATTACACTCGAGGTTTGTATTTAAACCGAGTAAATTTGGGTTGTTGCAATTCAAATCTGTTTCCTTTTAGCAATTGGACTCGAAAAACTGTCAACCTAAAAATGCTCCACCTGCGGTGTCGCATTTTTATTAGTTGACAGTTTTTCTCGTCTAATTGCTAGGCAACAAATTTTCATTACCTAAACAACCCAAATTTACTCGGTAAAATACAAACCTCTTGTGCAATTATAAGTGACAAATGCACTAGTGGTTTTTTCACTTATTCATTTTCGAACCAATTATCGCATTATCCTTTCCCATATGACTAGTTTGACGTCTGTCAGTAATTGATTAGCTATGTGAATTTCTTGTTCGTTAAATTGTCCTGCCGAATTACACTCGAGGTTTGTATTTAAACCGAGTAAATTTGTGTTGTTGCAATTCAAATCTGTTGCCTAGCAATTAGACGAGAAAAACTGTCAACTAATAAAAATGCGACACCGCTTTGCTATACAGTCTCTCCTTTGCCCTCATTATCTTGATTTGTAAATCGTCGTCTCTTCGGTCTGGAAATTCTATAAGACTTTCTATTAATTGCTCGGCTCTTTCCCCTTTCATTAATTCCATCGGTGTACAACCTGTGCTTTCATGGCTCGTGACATTTAACCACTTCTCTATTTGCTTCACATAATCTACCCAATTGCCGTGGTTCTGGTTACAATATGATCGGAATAGCCTTCCCAATTCCCTCATCGCTCTCTCGACTGGATTGGAGGCTGGATGGTATACTGAACTCATCTTCACTTGAATGTTATTCTGCTGTAACACTGTGGCCCATTGTTTAGCGGTAAATTGTGTGCCATGGTCCGATAGGATGATCTCTGGTTTTCCTACAGTAGGGACAAAATCTTCCAAAACTTTCTTAAGTAATGTTCTGGTGTTTATTTTCTTTACAGGATATAGTTTTATATATTTGGTGAAAATGTCCATCATGACGTAAATGTACTCTACTCCTCCTTTCCCTCTGGGTAGTGGCCCAAAGTTGTCAACTGATACCACTTCTAACGGTTTTTCTACTAATACATTTTTCATCAGTCCTTCCTGTTTTCTGTTTGGTATTTTCGCCTCCTGGCACAAATCACACCCTGACACATATTTCTTCACTTTTCCTTCTAAGTTCGGCATGTACCAATTTTCGGCTAGCGCTTCAGTTATTTTTCGGGTTCCAAAATGTCCGAATAAAGTATGATAGATGGCTATTAGCTCTTCTTCTATATTCCCCGGAGCGTATACAATCCACCAGTCTTCTGTTCTATTCGCTTTCCTAAACAATAATCCTTTGTATACAAGATATTTTTTCTTCAGTTCTTCAGCTTTCCCTCGTCTATTAGTTTCTAGTTCTTCCTTCATCCATTTTGTATGAGTGTCAGACTCCTGTCGGTTTTCTAGTTCAGCAACTAAGGCTTTCAATCGGATTTCATCTTCGTTTTTCTTTACCTTTCCTACGGTGATTCGTTGATTAAGTGTATTTTTCCTTCCATAGCGTGATAGGAAATCTGCTATCTTGTTCTCACTTCCCTTGCAGTATTCTATTTTCAAGTTGAATTCTTGTAAATTCACTGACCACCTCTGAAGTCTTGAACTCAGCGATTTACACGTCAGTAAAAAGGACAGTGCTTTATGGTCTGTAAACACGATGACTGGATAACCCAATATAAATGTCCTGAATTTCTTGCATCCAAACACGATTGCTAATAGCTCCAGCTCAGTGATGCTGTAGCGTTTTTCTGCCATCTGCAAACTTCGACTGGCGAAGGCAATATTCTTAACTTCTCCTTCCTCACTTTCTTGGAACAGGTGCGCTCCCAGAGCGTTTATTGACGCGTCGGTGTACAGTAGGAACGGTCGATTAAAATCGGGGAATCCCAATATCATATCTTCAGTAAAGCACTGGGTCAACTTCTCAAAAGCTTGCTGGTGCTCCTCTTCCCACTTCCACGTTGAATTTTTCTTTAACAGCTGGGCAAATTGAGATGTTATTTCGGCGAAATGGTCCTTGAATTTGCGATAAAAATTGCATACTCCCAGGAATGACTGGAGTTCCTTCTTATTTTTCGGAGGCGTACAATTCCGAATTTTTTCTATCCTGCCCGGATCCATCCTTATTCCTTGATTCACACTGACTATGTGTCCTAAAAATCGGATTTCTTGCTCCATGAATTTGGATTTGTGAAAGTTAACTGTCATGTTCGCTTCTCGCACCTTTGAAAATATCAACTGTAGTTGTCGTGCGTGCTCTTCTAACGTCTTTGACGCGACTAAAATGTCGTCTACATAAACAATGGCGAATGATAAAACTTCAGGACCGAGAACCTGGTCCAAACATCTGTTGAATACAGCTACGGATACATTGAGTCCGAACGGTAGCACCTTGTACTGATAACTCCTCCCATTAATCATGAAGGCGGTGTATTTCCTGCTGCTCAGGTGTAGTGGAATCTGCCAGTAACCTGCAGTTAGATCTAAGGAAGTTAAATACTTGGGGTTATCGAATCTTTCCAAAATTTCGTCTAAATTCGGTGGAGAATTCCGATCCTCTTCAATTAGGCGATTTATTTGTCGCGCGTCGAGACATATTCTCACGGCTCCATTGCTCTTTGGCACAACCACTGTTGGGTTAACATACGGTGACTCCGACCTTTCTATTATTCCGTTTTCCAACATTCTGTTTATTTCTACATCGACGGCTTCCCTACTCGAAAAGGGGATAGGGTAACTTTTCCTAAAGAATGGAATGTCGTTTTTTATTCGGAGTTCGCAGACGAAGTTCTTGACTAACCCCGGCTTGTCGGAGAAGATGTCTTCATATTGATCTAGGAGTCCGTCTATCATTTCTTTTTCTTCGCTCGTTTTGCTTTCCAGATTTATAAGTTCAAGTTTGGCTGACATGTTGTGCGAATTATCTTGATCCATAAACTTAACGTAATAATCGGCGTCTTCTACCACAAACTTCATCTCCTTTCGGCTAATGTCTAATAGCGCTTTCCTTTGTGTCATCCAATCCATCCCGATAATCACCATCGGTTCCATCCTCTTCACAATTAGGAACTTGCAGTCATGAACGCTTTCTCCCATTTCTACTCTTATCAGAGCTTGATGCTTAACTTTGGCTATTTTGCCTGTTACCCCTTGAATGGTTATCCCTTGCGCTGGAAGTTCTATGATACGAGGGTTTTCGTCACGCAACGATTCATAAATATTTTCAGACACTACGCTGACTTGGCTTCCTGTATCTATCAAAATTTCTTGAACTACCCCCTCCAACTTCTCTAGAACATACGGGTAGTACGGGGTGTCTTGTTCAGCTTCTTCTTCCGGAGATTCTTCATCACTCGTCTCGCTTTCTGTGATTTCTTCCGGTTGAAGTGGTATTTCTTCTATCTTGACATTAGTTGGTTTTGTTGCGTTAACTTGGTAAAATGAACGTACTAAATTTACAGCTTGCATTTGCTCCTCAGTAAGTATTGGTCGCGGGGCGCGCGGAGCTTCCCGTCCCGTCGATCTTAGTTTTCCTGGTTCTGTCTTGATGGACTCGACCCCCTCCATGAGTAATTAGGTTGTCGACTAGATTCTTCTTCTCTCCTGTCATAACCACCTCGGCGTGATGGTCCATATGTTCCACGTCCTCGCATGAAGCCGACATTCCTACGCTGCTCTTGCTGACGATGATCAGACCTGTCGTTATCCCTTCTGTTATTATTGCTGTTGTTCCCATATTGCCTTCTACCTTCATTTGGATCTTGGACCCTTTCTAGCAACTCAATCAGTGCTTTGATGGTTTTAGGTTGAGCGGCATACAGAATCATTTGGGTTTCTCGTGGGAAATGACTCACAAATGTGTCGATCATTTGACTTTCCTCTATTTTAGGCTCCATATGCGTCGTTTTGGCCACCCAGTACCAAACGTGTTCGACGTAAGTCCCATTTCTTGCCTGATACATCTTCGGAGTGTTAAATCGCAGCTTAATCTTGTTCTGGGTTTCCCTGGACCAGAATTGTTCTATTAAGGCGGTCTTGAATTCCGCAAAACTCTTTCAATTGGCTCCGTAAAGGTCTGCCCACGCTTTTGCATTTCCCTCCAGGTAGTCGTTGGCTAGAATCAGTTTGTTCTCATCGGCGAGGTTCAAGTTTATCCAATAGCTCTCCATAGACTTGATAAAATTTACCGGATGAACATTCCTAATGTTGCCGTCGAATTTTCGCGGCTTCTGTCCCAGAAGAGCTTCAGCGCGATTGATAATTGTCGTCCTTTTGACTGAAGAACTGCCTAAACCTTCTCCGGTTATTTTCTCTTCCATCCTACTAATCGCCTCTTCGGTATGGGTGATTCTTCGTTCACATCCCTTAATATTTTCTGTATTCTGGATTAATTTCCCGTCGATGCTGTTGATCGCATGGGCGGTTTGACGACGAATCGAATCGGTATCATCTTCTAATTTTCGTACCCGGGTCTCTTGCACCTGGATGTGCTGTCTTGAATCTTCCCTTTGTCTTCTTATCTCCTCGTTGCACCTTGTCATGGCCTCTTCTTGTTTTTTATTGAGTCTTCTTTCTATTTGTTCGACTTTGTCTTCAATTTTCTTTTCTATTGCTTCCTGGCCCTTCTTGACTTCTTGTCGTAATGCTTCCTGACCTGTCTTGACTTCTTGTCGTAATGCTTCCTGACCTGTCTTGACTTCTTGTCGTAGTGTTTCTTGGCTCATTTTGGCTTCTCCTTGACCAGTCTTGACTTCTTGTCGTAGCGTTCCCTGACCCGTTTGTATTGTCTGTAATGTCTGCATGATCTGTGACAGCATCGTCATGTCAATATTTGGGGTGGGTGTATCCACAGCCTCCAAAACGTCTTGACCCTCTGGGCTGAATTCAAACTCTTCGATCCCGTCTTTGCTCATGTTGTTGTCGTCTGCTTTGGTCGTGGGTAAATCTCTCGTTGGTTTCTTGAACCCTGACCTCAGTTCCATAAAATAATAGACTCCTCTTGTCTTTGTGTTACGCCACTGGAGAATAATAAATTTGCCTTCTTCTAGAGCTTGAGAATCTTGCAGGTTGCTAATTCGAGCCCCACGTTCTTGCGTCACTTGTAACCGGCTGGTTACTTTCCAACTCTCTTCACCGTCTCTTCTTAAAATCCTCTATTTGGGGGTGGTTCTTCTTATAAACATTAAGGGTTGTTGGGCGCCGGCTAGCTTCAGTCGATAATTCTTCTGGCCTCAAGGAAGAGGAAAGGATAAATGAATAAAAATCAATAATCTTTATTAAAACCTGTTGGGTTCTTTTTATCTTAGAAATCGCCTTTTATCTGTAAGTAACACATATTAAAAGAAATGGGGTTGAGGCGGGGTACACTCCTGTGAAAATAAAGTTAACTCATTCATACATGAAAAGTCACTGCATATAAAGGAAAATATGTATTTATTATGTGAATTAAATCAAAGTATTTACTCTCAAAACCGCCGAGTACAGAAAGAAACTTAATTCGTGTTTCATAAATTCTTATTCAATTTTAGTCGAAAGTCCAAACAAAACTGCTGTAAATGCGTATAATAACACTTTCAGGTTCGAGTCGTTTAACTGAATGCAAATAGTGCTGATAAGCACTGAATTGAACGCAACACTAGTAGGTAATTTAAATCGTCTTTACAAACATACCAATTTATAATAGCGTAATAATAAAAATACTACAACGAAATAATGAATAGACAACGAGGCAAACTACGACGAAATAATAAATCTACAACGAGGCGAACTACAACGAATTATTGTCTACAAATACCTCGAGTTCATAAGTGCACCAGGACTTGGAGGTCACTTTGTCGCACGATCGATGTGGAAGTCGAATGAATTCAGACCGCCCACTGCAGGTTGCTGTTCGCTTTTGAGCTGGACCAATCACAGGCAGGCTGGTTTATCTCGATCTCAGTTTGGTACTCTCCAGCTGGATTGCGCACGTACCGACAACGGAATCCTTGTCTTCTGTAATTTCGTAAATTTCCAATTTTCTTCGGCGCGCTGGGAAGAAACGTTTTCGTCTCCTACGCTGGCTCGATGGAGATTATTTCACTCGGTTCTTTTGCTTGCTTTTCTTATAAAAGTCGCCTTAACGCTTTATTAAACTTCGCGCTTATAATTTGCGGGCGCGACTTACATAGAGGTTGCTCCGTGAAAAGGCGGCGGGCAACTCCTTCTTGGTGCTTGAAATCCCGGTATTTATACTTCCTCACTTAGTATCCACTGACCTCAATTCGCTTTATCGCGCAAACTCGCACATGTATAAATAGTTTGAACGCCCGTGACTTAAGCTTTTGACACTTTGGCAGCGGTAGAGAATAGACGGATTTGAATCGCTCTACTAGCTCTCAAGCTCAACTAATTATTTACAATGACTCGGACTTTGACCTCAGCGTTAATACTCGCTATTTCTATGCAGTTTTATACCCTAATTTACCTATTTACATACGATGAATGCAATTCTATTTACGTCGCGATATTTACTTATATTTAATAATTCTCTTTCTGCGTCATAGCGGCTATCTTTGAAATGCATACTCAGCTACAATAACTTAAAATAAACAATTCTCCTTTAAATGCATTCCCATTCAGTCACATCATTCATACTTGGGAGTCATGATTACATTTAGACTGGACACTTGAATCACATAAAAATAAACGTTTAAATAAACTGTACAGAAATACTGTTACACTCGGTAACTTCAAAACGAAAGAAGTGCTACTAATATCGGTATAACACAGTTAATTTGAAGGAAACAATGTAATCGAAGCAATCAGAAAGTAATGTAGACAATAGCGGGTCTCGATATCGATAAAGTCGAATCTTTGGTAGTGACAAAAACAAAGTACGTAGTATCAGATATAACGGAGCGATTTACAAAGGGTTTTCGTTATACTTGCTCTTGCAGTTACGAATCTTCAAATCTCCAGGTATAAACAACTTCCATGAAAGTAGGCCACAGGTAGAATCACATGTTTGGTTTTACTGAAATGGCGGGGAAATCTGCCGGTAATGTAGAAACTCATCTATCAATTGACGCGCCAAAACCAATACTTAATAAGGTAAAAATGCACTGTCATCCACATACGACCCTAAAAAATATACGTAATGAGAAAAATTCTGCGTATTATTCATTGCCAAATACAGATCCGTAAAAACGATTCAATGGAGCCACCACAGACATCAGAAGAAAGAGAGAAAGGTCTTCAAAGATAAATATGGTAAAGCCAAAACAATAAGCCCGTAGACGTAAAGTTAGAAAAGTATTGGCGTACTAAAAGAAAACATTTGCATCTAATCAATTCGACGGCAGAAGCTTTACTGAAGAGGAAAGAAATACAACTGCGCGAGTAAGGTAAACTTAAAGAAGGGATAGCAGTAATTGCACAAATGTGCAATGTGTGAACTCTAGCGGCAAGACAAAGAAGTAAGTAAAACACTAGAAAGGCATCACTAACGGCGGTAAAAGAAACCTATATTAAGGTAATAACAAATTTACTACTGGAATTATCTTACATCTAAAACTAGCGGATTACAAAGAAGATAGCTTAGTTACTGCTATAAATCAGTAATATCAATTGGCAAAAAAATAACGTTACAGCATGATATAGTACCCATTACCTACACCTATGCGTAATGGATAAAATGAGAATAGATCATGTACCTACGTTTAGGAGTCGTAGAAAAGTATGGTACGCAATTCAGTTGAAATTTACGTATTACAGGTTCGTAGGCATCGTGCGTACCTATAATACTCACTATTACAACCTTAGGACGTAATATACTTTTCTATTACTGTGATTGTGATTACACAACAGAAAATATTTGAGTCATGAGTAATTATCACACACTTGATTTTAGCGAAAAGATATTGACTTGGAAGAAGACGAGATTGACACAGATAAAGTTATAGAGCAAACTGAAGAGGAAATTACAAAAGCACTTATGAATGTTAAGATAGAAGAAAATGATGACTCCCAAGGCAAAAATAAATTATATTATAAACGATTGGCCCGTCATTACCTAGGAGATGAAATTAGGAAAACTAATCGAGATGCAGTTTTAACTGCGGCCGCCTACCATAGGCAAACCAAAATTTTAGTCGTTGGTAAGTTGAAATATCCCACGAGAGTAGGTAAAGTTGTTTAATAAATTTTAGGGTTCTCGACCGGCGCGTTTGTAATTCATGAGCTGCCCGATATGAATATGATTCATTCTTTAACTATCTCGGATCAGAAAATATCAGCGATCAGCCTCAATTGCACAGGTGACTGGATAGCACTGGGTTGTGCAGGATTAGGACAGCTTCTTGTCTGGGAATGGCAGAGTAAGGCAATTGAATTGCACAGCGTTGTTTTAAATTATTTTGCAGGCGAAACCTATGTTATGAAACAACAGGGTCATTCTAATAATATGTCGTGCTTGGCGTTTTCAACAGATGGACAATTGTTAACCACTGGAGGGGAGGATGGTAAAGTAAAATTGTGGAACATTAATTCGGGATTTTGCTACGTTACGTTTACCGAGCACACAAGCGCGATATCTGCTGTTACTTTTAGTGGAAATCGTAAGTTTGTCGTTTCTGCTTCGCTCGATGGTACTGTGCGTGCCTATGACGTCGTGAGGTATTTGTGTCATGATGAGTAGCATAATATTTAGAACAATTTGTGCAGATACCGAAATTTTCGTACATTTACTACTCCTCGTCCGGTACAATTGGCGTGTGTTGCAGTGGACAGTAGTGGGGAATTTGTAGCTGCAGGAGGGCAAGATGTGTTTGAGATATTTCTTTGGTCCGTAAAAATGGGGAGGTTGCTAGAAATTCTTGCTGGGCATGAGGGGCCGATTGTAAGTGTCATTGTTCTTTTGCTGTATTCTTATTTGGTCTGTTTTTATCTTTCCTATCCATTCTTCTTTACAAAAAAACTGTTTATATGTGAAATTACTTTTGAAACACAAAATTGTATGTGCAGGCAAGTTTAGCGTTCAGTCCGTCTTCTATTAGCACTGTGTTAGCCTCTGTGTCCTGGGATAAAACGCTTCGAATATGGGACGCTATCGAAAAGGGATCTGCACATGAATCCGTTAAATTAACTGCAGATGGACTATGTGTAGCTTTTAAACCAAATGGAGAAGAAGTCGCAGTTGCAACATTAGATGGGCACATCTCGTTTTTTAATGTTAAGAGTGCTACGCAATTGTCGAGTATTGAAGGCAAAAACGATTTAGGTAGTGGGGTATCTGATACGAATCTGATTGGCGCTAAAAAGGTTTTGCAGGCGAAGTAAGTAGGCACACTTTGTATAAATCTATAATAAACATTTTGTAGGGCATTTACTAGCATTTGTTATTCGGCGGATGGGGAGTGTTTATTAGCCGGTGGGCATTCAAAAAATGTATGCATTTACAATGCAAATGAAGGAATTATTCTTAAAAAGTTCGAAATTACTCAAAATCGTTCATTCGATGCCGTCGACGTGAGTTGGCTTCTTACTGTTGAATGATTATTCACACAAATTTGTTTTAGGATTTCATTAACAGGAGAAAATTAACTAACTACGGCAATATTGATTTAGTTGAGGAACGCGATGAAGGTGAGGGAGGAAACGTTGCGTTGCGTCTTCCAGGTGTAAGAAAAGGCGATATGGCGGCAAGAGCTTTCAAACCTGAGGTGAGCCATTCCGGATAAAGTTTTGATTAGTGATGTTATTGTTGTAGGTTCGAGTATATGCTTTACAATTTTCACCTACGGGACAAATTTGGGCGGCTGCAACAACAGAAGGTCTCCTTGTTTATTCTTTAAATTCTGGGTTGGTTTTTGATCCCTGGGGGCTACAGTTGGGTGTAACGCCTACTGCTGTTAGAGAGGCAATTGCTCGTGACGATCATACCAATGGTAAGTGGAAGTTCTTGCTTTTTAGGGGAATTTTTTGAAAGAAAAGAATTCCCCTCATGTGATGGTTTTGTCCGTCCGTCTGTTCCTCGTCTAACACGTGGTTGTAAACGTTTATGTAAAAGTGGTTTTGGATTGACTAAAACCCACACAAACCACATTAATTTATCAAATCATTTTTTTAATTTGTCACTATTAGAAATAAGAAATTTAGAATATAACAAATTAAAAACTAAAATTAAACTTTTTTTTGGAACGGGCATTTTATAGTTTATGAAAATTTGAGAATTTTAATTTTAAGAATACATATGTAGCAATTAATAAGTATTTTGACAAAGATATCCGTTGACAGAGGAAAGATGTAGAAATGTGCAACTTAAGGGCAACTTTTTAGTACAAGAAAGGTCGTATAATGAGTGGAGCGTTACTGAAAATGTACAAAAACTGCGAACTCACTATTGGAATACTGCACTACAACACAAAGTAAATTCGTTTCAGTTAACATTCATTCCTTGAATTATAGATATAAAATTTGCAAGTAGCCTTTATAATCATAATATAAATGTTCGCGGTTGGGCGTGATTCAGGGACAGACGTAATTAATCCAGACGTTGCAATGTTATGTTGTACTGTATTGAAATTAATTGAAATTAAGCCATTCAGATGTCAATTCTTGATCATTGAATTTAAGTTGAGAAAACGTGCGAACTGCTAACGTTATTAATATTAAATATAACGGGAGGGATTAGTTATCTCCTTTTGCTTGCTTCTCTTCAAGTTTTGATTCTGTAAAAAGCAGGACATTACACCTCCTAATACCAGTTCCGTGTTCCCGTGAATATTCGGGCTCGAGTACTGTCATAAATCGCTCGTTCGGAAGTAGACCGAAAATTAAGGGCTCAGGCAACGAAAAAAAATAGGCAGCGTACATAGTAACTAAACCATAAGCGACAAAATATTCGACAATACAGGCTGAAAGTACGTTGAAAACTAGTAATAGTCACTCGTCTGCCAGTCGTAAGTGGCAGCATTAACTTGGGGCTGCGCTGAAAAAATGATTCTTTTGGGGATCAACTAAGTTACTAAACTATAAGGTCCACGGAAAAGATTTATATCAAGAAATCCCATCTTTTCCATAGTTTTCAAATAGGTATGTTATGCCACAGGATTTCAAGTGCAGCGTTGGTGGCGACAGGACCCCCTTCAATGTAGGGAAAAACACCCCTGAACTAAGTCATGAGGACCATAAATTATACAAGTCATACATCAAAAAATGGTCTCTTTTTATCACTATTTCAAATATATCCTGGCAGACGATATTAAGTGTACCATACCATTAGTAACGACAGACGTCTTAGAAGTTAAAAAATTCAGGTACGGTAAATCCTAGCGAGTGCAAGTGTGTGAGAGATAAGCGCGCGAGAGCATAACGAACAGACGATGTGAAGAACTACCACCCAGAGGTGGATACTGCTCGCGAGCGAAAAAGCCTCCAAGCGGAGAAAGCGCTTGCCGGCGATCCACTCGCGAGCACTTTTCGAAGCCGCTTGGTGCTCAATACTCGAGCGTTTACTTAAAGTGCTCGGCGCTCGGGCGCTTTTTTTCTGCCCACCATTGTTTTTCCCCTCATGAGCGATTTTTTTCACTCGTGAGAGCTTTTAACCGCCCTCAAGCGCTGAAGCGTTTTTTTTCCGCTCACGACCACTTTTCCCGAGCGCTCGCGATAAAGCGCTTGGGAACTTTTCAGGAGTGTTCGGAACTCGCAAGCGGTTTCGCTTTGCAAAACAACTCGATGCTCGCGAGCATTTTTGAGAAAATTAGAGCGCTCGTCGTTTGAGCGTTTTTCTAGAACGCTACCCAACCCTGCTACCGCCCCATATTTACTTTGTGCAATTTTGCCAAAGTTTTATGAGCGGTTGTATCCTGCTCTAGCCCCAAGAATATCAACAATGCAACATGGATTTATTTAAAAAAAACGCTTATTGTATCCAACTTAGCTTCTTTTTTTAGAAATTGTTGCACCTGTTACTGGTGCACGCGGCGGACAGATTGACACAATCCATACGGACCTTTCTAAAGCATTTGATAGCGTCGACCATCAACTACTTATCAGGAAACTTGATCTTTTTGGACTCGGTGACCTCCTTTTAAAATTATTCCTATCATATTTGTCTAATCGTCTGCAGCGGATTGTTTTAGTGCCATCTCTTGAGTTCCTCAAGGTTTCATCTTGGACCATTATTATTCATAGTGTTTGCGAATGTTCTCCTGGGCACTATTACTGTTAAAAAGTATTATGTATTAGCTGCGTGTTAAGATGATACATTGAAGAACAAATTATCACATACTTACTAATGATTTATTATTGCAGCTCTAATGATGGCAATGAAAATTAACGAAACCAGTCTAATTCAAGAAGTAATCGAACAGGTCCCTTACAAGGATGGTGTGTATAAATTGCATTAATTATATTTTAGAAATACAACAATTTTGTGGTTTTTTAGTGGAATTAACAATTTCAAATCTAAGTCAGCAGTATGTGGAGCGACTTTTGCACATAATAGCCAATTTCTTGGATAATTCCAGACATGTCGAGTTTTACCTGCAATGGATTGAATGTGTATTTAGCCTACACGGACCGAGCATAAAACCGCAACAAAACTTTCCTGCATTGCTCGCATTGCAAAAAAGTCTTACTAGAAAATATGAACAATTATCAAAACTGTAAGTATTGTATATTTTGGATTTGCTTAAAAATTAAACAACCTTTAGATGCGATCATAATAAGTACACCATAGAATACATTATCAAACTGGGAGATCATCAAAATAATGAAATGACGGAGGTAGTTCAAGATGGAAATGAAAGTGACGATAGTGAAAAATTGTTTTATTCGGATGTAGAAATGTAAATAAAGGAACTATTTGTATTATACCACGTTTGATTTCGAAAACAATAACATTGGCCAAAAAATTGCCACGAATATTACAAAAATTGTGGGGAAAATTATACGAGACATATGATCAATTTCTCTCCATAAAACTTTTTCTTTACCTTTATCCTGAAAAATAACAATTATTAGAAAATACTGAAATATATTAATGTTACATTTATCCAACATAGTTTTGGCCATTGCTGTTTATTTTGCGCAATTTTATTGTTACAATTGCACCACGCATTTGCTTCCTAAAACAGATAATTATTTAAAAACATTTAAAGCTATATACATACCAAAAGGTGTGTTTTTGATAAGCGACTTTTGTAATTTTGATAACGCTTATCTAAAACTTTAACAATTACGAACTCGGTTAAGGCTGCAAATACCAGGAATATACATGAAGCCATCCACAGATCGAGTGCCTGCATAGGATCATGAAAACTGTAATGTTTTAAATAAAATTGCTGCCAACCTTAATATAAGCAACTGGTGGAATGTCCGATCTTAATCCTGTGAACATTGTAACTAGAGTTAACATGCAGGTAACTACCAAAGTGACTCGAGCCGGTACTGCGTCTAATCCCAACCAGAAGCTAAACCACGACAGCATAACTACTAGCGTGGACGGAGCAAACGTTTGAATAAGGTGATGGCCAATTTGTCGCTCGAATCGGAAGTAGACCACCAAACGTGAAAAGTTGCCTAAAAATAAAGAAAGTATATGGCAATATCAGCTCTACAAATAAACATAGATCATAATATGTATATAAGGGGGGGGGGGGGACAGATTTACAAAGCAGCCGAATAATTCAAATGCTCAAAAGAGTGTAAAGGCAGAATAAATCTCCTGAAAGTCAAATAAAAAAAACTGAAACAAACTAAAAATTTCTAATTGTAGCAAAATCTACTACATGTTTTAATGATCCCAAAAAGTACTGCACCTAGAGACAATATATTATTGCGTTCTAAAATTACTATACCTCGTTCAACTCTCCAGATGCAGTATGGCGCTTATGGGGAAACAGGGTCGCTTGCGAAATTTATTGTGCGGATAAATTACTGTACCGTTTTACAATACTCTCAACCCGCCAACATGGTGTAATATGCACTTTCTAATTACAAAATGATGTAATATCCGAAAGGCCTAAGTAACGGATTTTAGTATAAAAATTAAATTTGAAAGTTCCAAATGACTACAAATTGACGACACTGGGATGACTAAAAAGGGCCAAATTATTTGAAAATGATAAAATAGAATGCAGGATGCGTTTAGTCCATAAGGCCCTGTACTGCATTTGAAGAGTTCACCTATTATAGCTTTAGCAAAACTGTGTGCATTCATTTTTATTTAAATAACCATTTAAAAACGATTTCGCCCGCGCAGTGGGTCATTCAGGGTGTCATTGGATTTGACCCATTTTCAATTGGCTTGTTACATGTGGTATGTTAACTGTGCAAAGTTGGAACCAAATCGGTCCAAGCCTTTGACAGTTATCATGTTCACGGACACCATCGACTCCCCTCTAAGATTGCATCGCTTTGCTCTGGTTCCTCCTCCTGTTATTTTTTGCTTGTAGAAAAAAACACATTGTGGCCTTTTATTTTAAAATTTTCTGATTTTTTCGATATATTATAGCGAATATTGCAGAAATCCCGATAAATATCACGGCGCCATGAAATATTAATCATCGGCGATAAAGAACGAAAGCGGATGTGACAGTTATCATGTTCACGGGAAATATGATGTGTTTTGTTCTAGAACATTCGGGGGCACTGGAGAACACGCATAAGGAAATCGAATAGCCAGCCCTGCAAGACAGTTCCAACTTCGATCTGCTAATGTTATGTTATAAATTTTAAGTGATAAATAATCATTACTGTTATAAATTAATCCATTTTAAGAATGTTGTCAATTTAGTGTTAGTTAATTGTAAATAAATAAAACCATGTAATTAAATTTACGTTACAATACAACATTTTTGTTTAAACCTTTTTAGATTAAAGTATACACTCATATTGAAAATGGCAGATATTCAATAATCACACTTTTGCAATACAAATTTCTCTGTATCTAAGAAAATATAGTCCTTCTGAAATGGACAATTTTTGTATTTTCTCCGCATCTCTTAAGCGAACGAATATTTTTAAATTTTTGATGTATCATTTTAAATATGATCCAAAATAGCAATTACAATTAAGATACCTATAAGTGTCAACAATGGGACTCACTGTACATTACCTCCTTTTTCGGACGTAAACACGTTCAATTCCTTGAGTGCAAGAGGCTCTCCAATATGGTATTGCAGCAGTTTCAATTCTGGACTTATACTAACACCAGCATCGCCCCATTTTAACCTCACTTTGTCAAATCTATAAGCAACTAAAATAAAAATTATTGGCACGATTTACATTGTTCAGTAGCTAACGTACGTGAACGTTTTTGCTAATTGAGTGCAAGATAGTTCTAAATAATTGTTAATTTTAGACAGGGAAATCATTGACGATAAAATTAAAGTAAAGATTGATCCCTTAGTGCGCCGCAGTCCCTATGATTTTAAATTGCATATTAAAGCAAATAAAAAAAGCCTCTGTATTCCATATTAAAGCTATAAATACAGTTTGTGTAACTGTGTCCAAGATAATCTATCGTGGAGATCTCAGAAACCATAGAAGATACAACAATTATCAAACTTGAGAAAAGATGCGCAATTAAACAGTTATCATACTTTAAAGAAAACCAAAAAATTTCGATGCCTTCTGAAGATCTGCCAGAAAAACCGAAAATGTTATTTGAACAGATACAGAACAAAAAACACTTTCTCATTGCTGAGATGAGAGATTTTCAATACGATTCGTTTCGAAGAAATCATCAACTTTATTTTTTTTATATGGTCTCCAAAAAAAGTACACACTGTATATACAGGGTGGTGACTTGCGTAACGCATCATAGGGATTTCAATGTAAAATTCATAACATGCGGGCTCCCCAAATTATTTTAGAGCAAAAATGTATTAAAGTCTTTTGTTGAAAAATTTTTTTTACTCCAATCAACCGTATTAGTTTTCAATTTTTGCATAATAAAGACGGAAAATTGGAAAAATAAAACCCGCATCTTTTTCAATAATCTGCGATGCCATGGAATTTTCTAAAACAAAAAGATATCCAGGTATCAATTAGCAGCAGTTCGAAATAGATTTTATGATCGACTTGGTTACTTACTGTCTTGCAGTTAATGGTGACTTATTCCAACATTTATTGTTTTTAGTAATTTGGTCTTTCTTTATGTTGAATTCGCTCTTCTAAATATAATACTTTGTGATAGAATTTGATTTGTTTTATAGCAGACATTCCATGGCATGACGGATATTGACGTAGTTTTTGTATGATAAAATTCCATGGCATCACAGATTATTGAAATGATGGGGGTTTTATTTTCCGTCATTATTATGCAAAAAATCGAAAACTAATACGGTTGATTGACATAAAAAAATTGTTTCTACAAAAAACCTTAATACATTTTTGCCCTAAAATAATTTGGGGAGCCAATAATCGCATGTTATGAATTTTACATTGAAATCCCTATGATGCGTTACGCAAGTCACCACCCTGTATATTATGAATATGATATACAGCATACAAAAAAAAAAGGTTGGAAACTTGGTTCCAACTGAGCAATCAAATTTAATAGATAGTCTGAAATTCATGGAATAAAGACCCTTACCCCAATACGAAATTTAAAATTCTTGGAACCGTTTCAGCGCTAAGGGATTATGAAATTAGCAAGTGAAGAAATCAATGTCTAAGCTCAAACCAAACGAATGAAATATCTAATGTCATTAAAGTAATTTAATTTAAATTGGTAACGATTTTTGATTTTCTTTTCAAGGGCGTTATTATTCCTAACTGACCTTCCTCTGTAACATAAATTTAAATTTGACCCTTATTTCATTATTTTGTCTTTGTTTGGTGAGAAAATGATCGGCTCAATTAAATCACTTACAACTCTCTATGTTCAATGGACATATCTGTGTGTCCATCGGATAATGTTGAAACTCCATTTGACATGCCACAATAGCATGCATTCGCGCAGAATAACTCACAGTTTTATTACGAAATAAAGTGAGTGATGAAAATCTTTGAGTCAATGTTGCGATTTCTAAAAATACAGAAGTAAATCCGCAGCTGGAGACACGAAATGCTTACCAACAATTTTTGAGTTCAAGAAATACAAGTCCGGCTGCCACAAATTTTCAAAATAGTATGCGGGTAGCGCTACTGCATCTTCGCCTATATCAAACAAATCGTCTGGAATTTGAAGACGGGGATCAGTCCATTCTTGCTTTAATAGCATATCCATTCTTGAACATGAGAAAATTATTTGCTCTGCTGTATTCGCGGCACTTGTAACCTTACCGAAAATCCATGTCTTCCACATTGATGGAATTAATATCGAGAATTTTCATACTAAATTGTACATCCAAGGGCTGTTGCTTGTACGTTGGCGGTCTAACTTCTGAAATGCAATGTTGTTACCACTAAATTTTTATTATATTAACAAACCTTTTACATAATAATCTGGTATTATGGTTTTAGGCGACTGAATATTATTAAACCGTGGCTTTGGAACAGCTGCAAAAGTTGTATCGATGTGGCTAAAAGTAAATATGTGCAACAGACTGATTTTGGGGTAGGTATTTATCTAAACCTAATAGTTAAAATCAAGATATACGGATACATCACTATGGCCCATGTAACCACTATAGCAAACAAGAACGAAAATAAGCGGTTTTGAAAGCAATTTACCAATGATCTGAAATGATGCAATTAACAAAACTTTGTTTGAAATTAAATAATTGATATCTCCGTTTCCGTCACTTCTTAATAATCCTTAATTTCTGTTAGTGTTCATGACACATAAGACAACGAAGTAGAGTAAACTTTTTATTTTACCGATTATCTCCTACCCTATTTAAATTTCTGCAGAACATCCACAATGAATATATTAACAAATGCCAATTACAGAGAATCTTGCATTTTGTAATAGTTCTAGCATGTATTTATTGGTTACAAAAAATGTTATTGTACTCAGTTACAAAATATGTTACATATCACAGGAAATGATTCATAGTACACATTAAACACGTCTAATTTCTTAATATATCCAATTCCTCTGGGGTAATGTGTAATCTTAATTGTTTCTCAATTAGCAAATCTTGAATTTGTGCTAATTCCGCCGGAATATAAATCGCAGCGTCGATGTATAACGACTAAAAGTCTTAAATTTATGAAAATAATTACACAATTAACTTACCTTTAGCCAAGGGCACTGTTCTACAGCAGCGTAGTATGCATTTCTACATACGGATAAATCGAAATGTGCGTGCAAATACTGAAGATAGAGTCTCCATGCAAGTCCGCATCGCCTTGTACACATTTCGGAACTGGTCACACGTCGGAAGAGCGAAATCATTCTGTGCACTTGACTTGGGTCTTCTGTCATTTCTCTCCCTAGAAAAATTAAATTGTAATGGTAAGAATAAAAATGGTATTTATAATAATAAAATTTATTTCTTTTTTAACTAATAAGTGTATAGGGATCAAGTTGTTAAAAGTAAAATGTAAGCACAAACATTAAACATAAAAATAACAGAAATGCAACGAATGCGCTATCTATTCATGTAAAATCTGATTACAGGAAGAGAGCTCAATACTAGCAATTATGTGAAAATCGGTTATCCTAAACCAAAGTTACATTTCAACTGCTTAAAAAGATGTGTCCCTTCCCCCACCCCACATATTTCAAGTATTGCGTCAAAATGGTACATGATTGCAATGCACATATTTTTTATGCATGTTTGTTGGGTATATTTTACGAAAAAAATCATTTTTCTACTGAACCCTTAGATCATACATATTAACATGGATGGAGCGATGCAGTTACACTATGTCGCCAACATGTTCTGATTAAAGACTATACGTACTTTTGTACTGTATCTCTCTTGTCGACGTACAATTTATATGTTCTTATTGCATGTACAGTTGCAGTGATGGTAATCAGAAAATTCAAATCTTTAACCTCACACATGTTAATAAACAAAGCAACATTTATTATTTAGAGTAAAAAAGGTTCTCAATACAGGAATAAATACAACTTTATAAGACAATTTAATGGTACAGAACTGTATTAAAAGTTTAGTTTCATACACAGTGTGTAAACCGATGGGGTATACAAGCGGGAATTTTTTTTAAATATTGATCTATGAAAAAAATTTATTCTTCATATTTTTTACTTGCTTTGAAAGTACCAATAACGTTTCGATTGTTTGTGGTTTGATAGCAATACGCTATCTTGATTATAATGTGATATGATGTAATAACTTTCAATAAAAAAAATTTGTTTTATTATTTTTCCAGATTTCTATAAATAAATTTTAGATTATCGAAACGTTATTGGTACTTTCAAAGCAAGCAAAAAATATCATGAAGAATACATTTTTTTCATGAATCAATATTTAAAAAAAAATTCTCTCTTGTATACCCCATCGCTTTACACCCTGTATAACCATGTAAAGTCAAGCAAGGTTAAACAACAAAAACATGTTTGCGAATATACGACGTCAAACGGTCAAACGTCCTTACAATCGCCAAGCGTGCGCAGTTTTACAATCAACCCGGCAAACTTACTAATAGTAAAAGAGGATAGGCATAAAAATGCGCATTGGAATGTTGGCGACGGTTGTCTTTTAGTAGAGCTTATGAGATAGCTCTATCATGTATATATGATCTAAGACTTAACCATGTATCGTACTCCCTCTAGCGGCAGCCCTACAAACTTGAAAATAATTTCCAGTGATTTCTCTTGACCTCTTTTGTTAATACCATCTGTTTCTCCAAGTGTGCAACTAACGGTTTCATAGATATGGCCTGTGACCTTTATTAATAGGAAACCCGTAAAATGCTAAATGAGATTTGATCATGGACAGAGTATATTAAGGGGGCTACGGATAGAGGATAGGCAACACACAATGGCCACTGAAATTTGCAATAAAAGTCGAAACTTTTGAGTAATTTTTGAAGCCCAAATATTAATTCTAACTAGAGGTCTTATTGGAAATTGGTAGAGATATAGAAGGTCATTAAATGTAGCGATTTATTTTTTTGATAAAATTATTTAAGTCGTGTATAAATGATAATCTTGAATTTACTAAGAATGCGAATACTGGCCTTAGTAAAAAAAATATTTAAAAAGTAAATCCGCACAATTTATTTAGTAACTAAGTGGATTAAAAAAATATATTACGAACTGCTTCAAATTATCAAATAAAACGTAATTTTTACTCAAAAGTTTATATAAAATATAGCGACGGAAGTAATGCAATACCTTACATACAATGACGATAGGCAACTCAGGTAGCACTTTTACCTGGAAAATATTAACACCTAATGACCATTATACTTATATACAATGGTTTATGAACCTATTAGACAAGTAACAAAAGAATCTCAATGCCTTCCATTTATTCGTCTATTAGTACCAACGATAAAACACCGATAATTAAAAAATATTGTACATCAATAAATGTAATATTCAGGAGTAACGTTTTAATTGTTTAGACCCGTTTCATACATTTTTTTCATACATTTGATGTAGGTGTATTGTTATCTACTTATCAAAAAATGGAAAAGTTTCCGGAAATAGCAAGCACTAGTAGTATTACAAGTGATAATTTTTTATTTGAGCATGTCGTTAGTACAAAATTGTCAAAGTCCTCGTGTGAGATCTTGTCGAAGCTACCACATTCCCTTCGTCGGTACTCGCGTCCGACGTCCCGTGCATCCCCAATTTGCGTTTGAAGTTTTACTCCACCATCAGTAAGATCTTGGTGGGGGCCACCACATTCCCTTTCTCGGTACCCACTTCCGACGTCTCGCTCACCCGCAATTCGAGTTTGAAGTTTTTACTCACCGTCAGTTTTCAGATTGTTTTCAAAATGGTGCCGTTGGAAAGATCTTGTAAACGGACACAACAACTGCGTGGCGAAAATTTGTTTTTTCCTGGGTACCAAATTAACCTCATTTTACAAGGCGCACGCCTGCGAGGGGTAGTTGACTTAGGGCGCCCAAAAGGTATCTTCCTCTGCTAATTTTGTTTCTGGAAGCTCGAATCGCGATCTCTCTTTCTCGTGTGGCTAATAATATAAATAAATTCATCTAAATGCGAATGGGGGTTTACAGTATAGTTAAATTCCGCAGTTCTAATTTAATAAGTGTACCTGAAACCATAAAACATTTTTTTGGACAGTAAAAGTTTATTTAAAAATAGAGGCTGATTAGCAAAAAAATAATGAACATGTGCGGTTTTAAAGGTTTATTCAAAACGATATGATTGTGGCGGGCTCTGTCACGTAATAAGCCCGACCAATCAGCTCCTAGAACCATTCAGATGACATAACGACTTGGCAATACTGCAGGAGAATGGCATTTATAACTTGCGTCATCTGTCACAGGCACTTGTCACTTTCGTGCTAGATGCAGTTAAACATCCCTCTCAAAACGTCAAATGTGACAAACGTCAGACCCTCGCGTAAGGTTGCCAGCTCACATCTACGTGATTGATTGTAGGTTTGTGACGTATTTAGTCTGAAGCGTTTCAAATTCGGACTAAAAACACAGCTTTTCAATAATTTATTTTGGGTTTATTTTACTCGCAAATAAAAATTGAGGACACACAGGTCTTTTTATTTTTAATATACTTTGTGGATCAGAAATAAAAAATGAAGGCGGGATGACCCCATTGTGGGTGAACGGGACGTCGGAAGCGGGTACCGACAAAGGGAATGTGTTAGCTTGCGATAAGATCTTTTTGATGGTGGCTAATACAATACTGATCTGCCACACAAAAATGCGCTCATCTCTCTTCGATCCCACACGAGGACTGATAATTTTTTAATCTACCTATGCTTTTGATAATTCCACTGTAGGTTTGACGGCTAGCCAAATAAACTATTTTCGTAAACCATCAGGCGAATGTCGTGTTGGAATTGGAAAATTTCCGAAAATCTATTAAAACATTTTTTGTAATGAAAAATGAGTCATTTATTTTGTTGTAAATTAGATCAGAATTCAGATATATCGGGCGATCAAAAATGAGTGACTGTCGAGTCGCCTTTGAAAGTTGATGTTAAGTACGATTTCCCATGTAAACAAAAATTCCAAAGGTGACTCGACGGTCACTCATTTTTGATCGCAATGTATAATTTGATAAATGGGGGAAGGTTGAAAACGCAGCAAATACCGGGCTACACTGCGGAAGCCATGCGAAATATCGAAAACTGTTCATCTAATTGAAGAAAAATACCATTCTTACATCCGCGCACCTGTGAAAATCGTTATCATATAAATTTAGAAATCTATGGGGCCGTAGTTTGATCGGATCTGATAATTGTTTAAATAAATTTGTGCTATGAACCACAAAAATTGAAGACCAGTTTTTCTTGTTTCGGAAATTGTTCCCTTCATTACCCAAGTCCAAATCTCAAAAAGTCATTATTGTAAATCCCTATATAGGAAGTAAGTAGGAAATCTTAGAAAGTAATACATTAGTAATATTTTTATATAGGTATGTAGAGCTTTCAGCTTTGATTTCCTATTCTATATTCAAAGGTTTCCAGTATTAGCAAAACTGTAAAACATCAGGAGAAAGTTAAAATTCCATAAATCAGTTACTTTTGTTGAATAGCCGCTAATGAGGGTGTGGAATCTGGTTTTATTGTAGGAAGATGAGGTCATTTGCAGGTAGCTTATGCCTGGTGAAACTTGTCGAATGGGGGTTTACAGTGTAGTTGAATTCCGCAGTTCTAATTTAATAAGCGTGTACCTGAAACCATAAAACATTTTTTTGGACAGTAAAAGTTTATTTAAAAATAGAGGCTGATTAGCAAAAAAATAATGAACATGTTGCGGTTTTAAAGGTTTATTCAAAACGATATGATTGTGGCGGGCTCTGTGACGTAATAAGCCCGACCAATCAGCTCCTAGAACCATTCAGATGACATAACGACTTGGCAATATTGCAGGAGAATGGCATTTATAACTTGCGTCATCTGTCACAGGCACTTGTCACTTTCGTGCTAGATGCAGTTAAACATCCTTCTCAAAACGTCAAATGTGACAAACGTCAGACCTTCGCGTAAGGTTGCCAGCTCACTTCTACGTGATTGGTTGTAGGTTTGTGACGTATTTAGTCTGAAGCGTTTCAAATTCGGACTAAAAACACAGCTTTTCAATAATTTATTTTGGGTTTATTTTACTCGCAAATAAAAATTGAGGACACACGGGTCTTTTTATTTTTAATGTACTTTGTGGATCAGAAATAAAAAATGAAGGCGGGATGAGCCCATTGCACGATTGGTTGCCTACATAATTATTTGCGTAGGCGCAGTTTAAATTTTGGAGGGCCTGCCCCTAGCCGCCTTAAAGGATGCAATACAAACATGGTGCACAAAAACATTCCTTTTTGAATTCAGAATCACACAAATTAGCCCTTCAAACAAAATCAAAATTTTCATATACTCATTTTCCTATTTTTCCATACATAACAACGACGCTTCATTACCTTTGGCGACAAATTTATAACATGAAATTGCAGTGCTTACCTGTAATAGTGTCGACCCATTTCTCCCTTATTTCGTACGAATGCTGATTTGCCATAATAATCAAAACCAAAGTAGGAATGGCGTGTCCAGTTTTCATAAGTAACCTATTGATTTTCCACCACGGTTGACCCATTGAACAATTTATTGTCAGTTCTTTAGCAAGCACACTCAACAAGAATAAGTTATTCGGAAATACTTCAATAGCTCTATGTAAAGCATCGTCCAGTAACTTGAACATGCCGGCTCCCGGATTTTCCATACAATTTCTAAAGAGTACAGCAACGTAAAACTCGAATAGGATCTCTTTTTGCCACGTTGCAGCCTCGATGGTACTAAGAATGTCTTCTAAAAATGTTCCACAGCTAATTGCTCCAGATGTTAAGTACAAAAACCAGCCATTACAGATTATCCAATCTGTGATCAAGTTGGGCAAAAAATGATCGACCGACATTAATGTTGGCATTTCATTGCCCAACATTTGTAACGTGACATGTTTAAACTTTAGCTTGGTTTCGTCCAACAAGTCTTGTGTCAGCTCAAAATGGCTATTAACCGGCTTATCTGATGCTAACGCTACTAGACATTTGAGCGCATTTTTTTTACCATCACCTGAAGCGGTATCTAAATATAGTTCTGTTAGAGTCCGAAACAGAAAGCATATTTCGCAACGTTGCATTTCTGTCAGAGGGGGGTTATTAGTTGCTATTGTTGATAACGTTGTGGTCAAAATTTTGACTGCACTCTCAACATTTCCCGACTGATATTCGAAAAGGGCGAACTCCTGATAGTAAATTATGTTATTTCGGTGCTCCTCAGATTTGAGTAATTGCTTCATAGAAGATTTTAATTTTTTTTTAAATCCAGACGAAATCTTCAATCTACTCTCTTTATCCAAAACAATGAGAAGCCTTTGAAATCGAAACCACCACACCGTAACAGCAATTTTTTCTTTCCCTTGTAAACAATCTGTGCAATTCATTATTGTAGTAAGTAGAAATTCTAAATATTCCTCTTGCCCTGGGAACGTTTTTAAGTATTGCGGCCCAACTGCCAGTCGCTGTGTATCTGCTAGAAAATTTTTGTTTGTCAAATCGATTGGATAAATTGGAAAAAACATTGGAAGAAGTGTTTCGGTTGAATCTAACGCCCACGGCACGTAATCCAATCCAAGTCCTTGCATTGTGCTATGACGTGATGGTAGTAATGGTGTTTTAAGTAATGTCAAAATTGTAGCAGTCAGTTTGAACATATTGCCCGGCATTGTGATTGGATGTATTAGTTCGGCTACATCTTCTGGAAATATGATCCGCTGTAACAAAAATAAATTTGTATTTTGCCTAGTTGAAAAGAACAAACCAAAGGACGTTAAACGATTAGGTTTATCAAAAAAGAAAGACAATAAGACTTAAAATAAATTAAAAATATTTTGAACAATGTTTGCTTTTACTTATGGAGGAAGATCCCAAGACCCCCAGACCTTACTTATTTTCTGATGGGCAAAACACACAAAGGCATGTAAAAAAAATTTCATCAAAATCTGTCCAGCCGTTTAAATTTAAAAAAAAATTGCGCATGCGCAACCCAACTTTTGTATTTGGGCAATCCCAATTTTTTTATTTGTTAAAATATTTAAATGAAATTTTGTATGTAGGCACCTTGAGTAAAATTAAAACTAATACTGAATTAATGAAATTTGCTCGGAAATTTGTTATCCATATCCATCCTATTGATGACCATAGGAAGTTTCTTTCTCTAATAAAGTGACGCTAATGGAAACAAAGCGACTACAGTCATGACTAATCAGTTTTCTTATCATGGAATAATTTATGCTTGGCACAGTACAGTACAGGGTGTCCAATCATGACAAATTAATTTCTCAAATTTCAGATTCTAATGACTGACGACTTCAACTAAAATATTTTCACTACAATTGAACTTCTCGTTCAACATAATAATAACAATTTTAATGTATTTTTCATTAAAAACTAAGAATAATAATAATATATTTATGCTTAGAGGAAAAAAATTGCCTGCATTCGTCACAAATTACAATCGAAATATTACACATAAAAAACTTAAAATTTAAAACTTAAAAATCACTTCAGAGCTATTCTTGATTTTGTCCAACCTGAAGAAAGGTATCCTGATATTATACACCTTGTATATATATTATACCGGTTAAAGTTTATATGTGAAAATTATGCTTTAGCTACTACTACTAGTGCCTTATTACCACTTGAAGTTTGAAACCTCTGACATGTACTTAGGGTGAGATACAGGGTTACAATTTAAAAATTCACATTTCCTAATATTATCAGACTACTTACCTGGGGATCTTCGCAATTTCCATCTTCAGTGAAGGGCAGCCAGTGACAAGCTTCACGTAATCTCTCTATACGCAACCACAATTCGTGTATCGGTAATTGAGACTTAAGAACGACCTCTTCAAGTTCAAGTAACTGCTTATCATTAAAATTGCTACTAATATTGAACTTATTTTTATCAGATGGGGCCAAATTTAACTCTAGATACAGTCTTAGTAAAGTCCACAGCTGCTCAAACAACCCCGTCTGCTTTAAGAAAAGTCCGCACTGATACAACATTCTCAATATGTTTTCCTCCAAATGTGCCTTTTGTAAAGCGGAATTTCGCCTCATATGATGCAGTGTTGCCAAACTTTTTGTGTACAACTTTAACACTGCGGGAGTATTACAATGAGACATTGAACATTGCGTCGCTTCAATGTACCCTTGCCACAAAATAATATTGGCGGGATCTTTTTCGACCAAATTTTTTAATTGCACTTGCAATTCATCGGCAGGATACGTGCCAACAGCCGTATTTAATCTCTCTCTCATTAATATTTCAGAATCAGGATTGAGAGTTAGTGCTTTGTCAAGTATCGCAAGTTTACGTTCGGCGGTGACTCTTGTACCCTTGGCAAAACTACCTTTTCTATAAGTCTTTTCAAACTTAAATATTGCATCCTGAAAATGTACATACTGTAACCATAAATCAATGTTGCGTGGATTCTCTCCAAGACTTTTATTATAGAATGCTGTGGTTTTGGACATATCAGATTCTTGCTTAAACCCTGTAAAATCTTCATTTTTTTCCACTGAAATGTTTTTTTCCAAATCTTTTTTTGTAACTGTGGCTTCATCGGCACTATTATCCTTTTTTTCAACAACTATTTGGTAATAACGTTTATATTTTTTCTTTACTGTCCGTTGAGCACTTCCCAACTTAAAAAAGGTGGAATATTTTGGAGCCGCGGGCCGAGATATTGTATGCACCGATAAAAATTCAAGATTTCGTCGTGTGTCAACATGAAAATCATCAGGTGCCTTTGCCGGTTTATCGTGACATTGTTTCTTATGCTTGCGAACCTTTGACTTTTTCGCTGGCCTCTTAGTTAGATTTGTTTCCGCCCCTGATTCGCTACTGTCCCGAATTTCGGTCACTTCTGACGATGTAAACAAATCGGCTCCAATTTGATAACTCGAATTTGTCAACCAGTCTCCATGGGACGTCGATGTTTCATTTCCATCTTTTACTTTTGCTGCTTCTTCATACGCAGGAAATAATGCCATTCCAATAATTAAAATTGTTTAATAATTTGTTAAATTGTTTACAATCTATATTTTTAACCTTATTAATACAATACATAACCTCTAAACTCTGGTTACTCCATTTAAAACGGATTTACTGTACAGGGTGGATTTGTAATTCGTACCATTTTTCTTTGTTACTTATACCACAGACAACATATACTATATGTTGTCTGTGCTTATACTGCAGCTACTACTTTAAATCAGATTCTATCTTTTTCACCTCAGTCTGAACAATCATTTAAACAGGCTGTTTGTTGATGGAAAAATGAAATAACCAGCCCTAATGATTTCGAATGTTAATGTGGTGCTATATGAAAGTGATATACAATATATACCTAGTATATAAAAACAGCTATTGAAAACTGTCCTGTTGCCTTTTGGCACGCTAAATTACATTTCTTTTTATGATTAATTACAACATTACTGTTTACCTTTCAATTCCTGTAAGACTTCTTTATTTATTTATTATATAGCATATGTTAAAATGACATTAGGTTTGAATGAGTAGGCTAAGCCGTTCTTTAACCATAAGTGACCACTTTAACCGTAAGGGTAGATAAAGTGAAACAGTTGATTGTGCATTCTAATGACATCTGTCATTCTTATTTCAAATGCACGAAATAAAATGACGTTCAGAACACATGACAATGATTTATATGGCTTCTGCTATAAAATAAAGTTTTGTATTATACACGATGATAAAGGGAAACTAACCATCTTTCACTCAATTGTTAAAACATCCCTTTATCGTCTATTAACCACATACCACAGATCTCATCAGGATATATTATTGAAATAAAAGACTAAGGAAGGAGGGTTACATATACATATTATTACATATTCAAAATAATGATTTGTTGGCGTATTAAGAGCTAATGATTTTAAAGTAAGTATACCTACTTCTTTATTTTTGTTTTTTTTTTTGTTTAGTTGAATACTTTTTTTTTCTCGTCTAGTAATACATGTAGTAATGGGGTTAAGTGGAAGAGCAGACTGTGGCATTGCCGCAGTGCTGAACTTCGCCCTTAATGTACTGCAATAAATCTTTGTTTTCTTTTTTTTTGGAACAATAAAGGCAATATTATTATTATTATTATTATTATATACATACATATAACCTTCGACTATGAAAAAAGCGGGGTTCCCATTTATGCATTTCGATGCTGCAACTTTTGTTGCTGCATTTTCAAGACGCATTTTTTGATGCGCAGCTAAAAATGCATTCATGTTTACACTGGTGCAAGTTATTTCACGCAACTACACTGCTACCAATCTTTTTTTATTTTTATGTGGTGGTGGTGGTGATAATTTGAACCTTAACCTTAAAGCCGAAATTCTCCAACTCGAATGAATTTTTTTAATAACGTCATCGAGGGATATTTGCCATATAACTCGCTTTTTATAAGTTTAATAGCGTCCATTCTCTTATTCTTGTCTTTGTATTCTTTTAATGAGGTAATATAAAGGGTTGGTTGGGCCTCGTAAAGAGTTATTAAATTTTTTGTTAGCTCCCGTGTCCAAGTAAATGCAGTTTTTTTAGAACTCACAGTAACTAATCAACGCTCTTAATAAATTCAAAAAGTAACAAACAAAAAATAAACCAACTTAAACTTAAGACTATAAGACTTCCTTCTCTAGGCTTGAAATATACGCACAAAAGTAAACAATGAAGTATAATCAAACGCACATAATCATAAAATTAACAAAAATGAAATAGCGCCAATATAAAACGAAAGACTCCAAAAAGTTACTAGAAATGCGTCAGAAAATAGGACATGTTCTAAATCGTGCATTTCCATGCGCAAGTAAAATTGCTGCAATAAAAATGTAGTGTGAATACAAAAGATGAATGCAGTTTGATGCGGCATCATAAAATGCGGCATCGAAATGCACAAATGGGATTAATGGGAACCCCGAAAGGGGACTGATAATATCCTATCAAGGGTAATGCTGCGCGTTATATTTTCGGAGCCAAAGTTTGTTTACTGCTTTGCATTTTCGTGTTTATGCGATCCTTAAGTCTCGAAGTGTGCGATTAGAAACATTATTGGACAATGGTACATTGAAGTGCACGGAAGTGATAGCCAAAAACACAAGGGTTCATCATAGTCACTGCCCATTCATTTGAATTTGGTATGCCCTATATCACTTGAAAAGTTGAAAGCTATAACTTAAGTTGCACTATACTATATACCTACTAGGATATTTCTTATCAAATTTTTCCATTGCAAAGGTCATCATTACAATACTGTTAATTAAAAAAAAAACAGAAAATCATGGCGTAATAAATAATAGCGGGTTCATGCAGTCGTCTGTCTCGATTAGCAGTGATCCTCAAGGTTCTGTTCTGTTAACTGCGCTAATTAAATTATTGCTTATGTAAATTTGTGAATTTTTTTCAGATAAACAAATTAATTCACTGATGGTAGTCATATATATAAAATGGTAGTAAGGTGGTCACAACATATGATCTAAGGTCACAGCTCACAGGGTAAACGTAACCACAACCACCAGAAGTAATTAACCAAACAACGTCAAGAATTTGTTGGTTAGAATTTATAATGTTGCCCTTGCGTGTGTTTTGTAGGCGTTTTTCTACAAAAAGGGCACTTGATGCCAGTATTAAGGTAATAGAATTTTAATTTATTTATAGCATTTTTATGTGAGTTTGGTTTAACATAATAATTTAGGTATAGACAACATATCTCCTCTTATAGGTACATAGTAACTAACTAAATGGTCATTATCATTGGGAAATAATTATGGATAATCATTCTCCTATTCAATTACTTTCGTTTGTTTTTGTGTAATTTTATAAGCAAGGTAGATTGATGTCGTGTGATAATTTCATTAGAGAGATAAATGTTTACTTTCCTAACAAAATTTGGTAAGTAATTTATTTCTCGGTTACTTCGAAAAGTCGGTGTATTAGATGCTCCTAACCAAACAGACTTTCATAATATTAAACCTCGAATTAAGCAATAGATCAAGTATGTTTAAAGACCTTATCAAGCAACCCAGGCAGTCATATTATTCTTTTCGTCTTGTTTCTTTTTGTACAGAAAGGTGTAAGCAACTATGACACGTAAAATGTTTATTCAAAAGTTAACAAACGAAAGTCTGAATGACATTATGGTGGCAACTGAACAGAAACTGACAGTTTTTTTAAGTTCCCGGTAATTACATAAAATTGTAATTACAAGTGGTACTAGTGTGGGAACTTGTGGATACAATTCAAAATGTTCCTCTTTAAATATTATGTCAGAAACATTAACATTTAAGAGGATATCCATGTCTTTTTTGTACTAAAAAATCTCGAAAAAATAGATAAAAGAATGCAATTGTCTTGGGTTAAAAAAAAGTTCAAGCATTTTTTCGTTCAATAGAGAATTTGTACTACAGAAGAGGTAACTTTCAATTCAATATTGTTATGTAGAATCCAGTCGCGTAGTTAAACAAATTTTTGGGCAACCATTTCTGAGTTTTGGCTCAATGTTGTATTTTTTAAATGCAACACCCCAACGTCAATGTTTGCATTTGTTTTCTTGATTACCTTGATGCATCACAACCTATATTTTTTATATACATAATTATATATATATATTATATTTTTCGAAATGGCATGTTTCTACCATCAGTGATTTTTATTGATTGGTATCGGCTGCCATAGATACAATAAACAAAAAAAATCTCGATAAATCCATGGCCTATATCATTTAAAAACAGTAAAAAATAATTATTTTTGGTTCATGGGTAAAATTTTAAAAAAGATAGATTGTTACATCAACGTAATCGCGAAAAATAATGCAAAAATTTACGTTAAGATATACAGAGTGTTGCATTTAACTACCAACTTTGGGTCAAAGCTCAGAAACAGTATCTAAAATAAACAGTTTTTACCTTTTTTCTATATTCATATCTCAGAAACAAACATAACTAGATTGATTCTGTTTGTGGTATTAAAAGTTTCACAAAAAAAGTGGCACAGGGTCGCGAAAACCGCAAGTTTCAGCCAAGATACAGTCTCAACCAAAATCGAACACACGGTACATGCGCCTTTGCCTAGGTGTAGTCGCAAATTGACATACGTCTATATATTTTGTAGTTATTTGACGTGTATACGTCCAAAATTTCATTTTCCTAATAAATGGCGCATACGCCCCTATGATCTGATGCCCTTGATATGTAATAATTAAACATATACCCAAAAACCTATGGAAAGTCTAGCCTTACCTTCAATGTGTATAACAATCGATGTGATACACAAATTCTAGCGTCGAGGTAAAACGGGATAGTGTGTTAAATCAGAACAAGGTATGAAAAATCTAATTTTGTCTCTCCCAAATCGGGGCGTTTTGTCAGCTTGTACAGTGAACACTCCAGTTTTTCTTCTATAATTTTTTTCTATCTATTTCGGTCTGCGATATGAACTAAATGTGCGTGATCGTGATTTTTGTAAGAAAACACAAACTCCACTTGTGGAAGTGTGATAGACTGCGCCTAAGCTTGTCGTTTCTCTGACATTGTATCAACCATAAACTGTGCTCACTAGTGCTAAATAAAGATAGGGAGTCCATATACCTCTCATTTTACACCTTGATGGCAATAAAAAAATTGTTTATCAATCAAGTGTTTGCATTGTTCTCCAATAGTCGTTTGACAATAACCCTACCAATTATCTCAATTTCTATATCCAAAAAGGTGTGCACTTTAAGAATAGGTAATAAAAAGTAGTTACAATTTCATCGTTTTATTCAAACTGATCTTCAGTTGACAATCCATATTATTCTATTTTAGGATCCGAAATTGATTGAAAGCCCATTAACCGACACTTTTGGTCGCCACCACACATATTTGAGAATTTCTCTTACAGAACGATGCAACTTGCGATGTAAGTCTCGGCAGCCTGTGACATTAAGTACCTACTCATTAAAATTTTAAGGCCTCTACTGTATGCCTGCAGACGGTGTAAAACTGAATCCTAACGATAAAATACTTACAACAGAGGAAGTAATTCGCATTTCTCGATTGTTTGTTAACGAAGGTGTCACAAAAATTCGATTAACAGGAGGCGAACCTACTGTTAGAAAAGATCTAACCGATATTGTTGGTAATTATGTATCTATAGGCTCTTAAGTTTATTACTAAATTCAATCGTACTTCACAGCGGCGTTAAGGAAAATAGACAATCTGCAAACGATCGCTATGACTACAAACGGAATCGTTCTAACACGTCAATTAGTTGACTTACAAAGGGCTGGTTTGGATATGATCAATATTAGCCTAGATACCTTGAAAAAAGAAAAATTCGAATATATCACTCGAAGAAAGGGTTGGGAACGTGTTATGATGGGTATTGATCTTGCACTGCAGCTCGGTTATAATCCGGTCAAGGTCAATTGTGTTGTAACAAGAGGATTCAATGATGATGAAGTTTGTGATTTTGTTAAATTAACAGAGGAAAAAAATGTTGATGTCCGATTTATCGAATATATGCCATTCGGTGGCAATAAGTGGGAAATGCAAAAAATGGTGCCTTATCAAGAAATGGTTAAAATGATACAACAAAGATGGCCGGATTTTCATAGTCTTATGAATGGACCAAATGATACTTCAAAAGTAATTTTTTTTAATTAGTTTTATTCCACATACTTACAAATGCCTGTACCTATTTAGTATCCCACAAATTTTATTGTAACACTGGAGAGATCAATGTGTTATTCAGTTGCAGAATTTTATATTCTTGATATATTGCCCATTGACACACTTTCAAAAAGCTAGTAATATTAAAAATATTTCAAAAAATCAAGGGTCCGATACATAGGGTGTCCCAACTAAAATGGGAACCCATTGTCAGGAAAATGATTTTGTTCGCTGATACACGAAATTTCTAAAAATGCCACAAGTTGCGTTCACCAAAACATGTAACCTATTTTTTATATATTTTAGGCATGGAAAATACCAGGAGCAATCGGTCAAGTTGGTTTTATTACATCTATGAGTGAACATTTTTGTGGAAGTTGTAACAGACTACGTATTACAGCTGATGGAAATTTGAAAGTTTGTCTGTTTGGGAATACAGAGGTGTCATTGAGAGATGCAATAAGAAGTGGTTGCAGCGAGGAAGATTTAACTGCATTAATTGGAGCGGCGGTTGGGCGAAAAAAGAAACAACATGCTGGTTTGTACCTGTTAGTTTAATCTCTCTTTTCTTAGCTTCAAGCGTATAATACAGGAAACACTATCAACTTTTTCTAGGCATGCTGAATCTAGTTCACATGAAGAATCGGCCTATGATTCTTATTGGTGGATAACTATCTCATAGTATGTACTTTGTGTATATTAACAGCAGTTGCCTGTTAGGGGTGCTTTTTATATTGCATGTTTTCTTAACATCCTTGTGTCATTAAAGATGCTGTAGCAAGTTTTCTTTTAGGTGTCAACTCATCTTTCAAGTCAACTCATATAAGAAGCCTTCATTATAATCCTGGGTCGTTATCACATCTATATGGCAATATTGCTATGCACTCACTGCGATTCTATTCCTCGGAAATAAGTAAACAACAGCAACTGACTCACGTCGACGAACAAGGTAAAGCTTCCATGGTCGATGTCACCAACAAGGATATTACCATTCGTCATGCATCTGCCAAAGCAGTTGTAAAAGTAGATCACCGGATTACTAAACTTATCAAAGAGAATGGCTTAAAGAAAGGTGACGTTTTAACCGTTGCCCAAATTGCCGGAATCTTGGGTGCAAAGAAAACATCCGATATTATACCACTATGTCATAACATTCCATTAACAAAAATCAGAGTGAGTGTACGTTTGGATGAAATACAAAATGCGATTGTTATTATTGCTACTATACATTGTCAGGGTAAAACTGGGGTTGAAATGGAAGCATTAACGGCTGTATCTGTAAGTGCCTTAACTGTTTATGATATGTGTAAGTCTGTTACTCATGATATCAAAATTTCTGATATTTATTTGTTAAGTAAAAGTGGGGGTTCAAAGGGGAATTACGAGAGTGACGTGATTGTTCTGAGAAATTATGAAACTGCTCCTACTGATGACAATCAGGTTGTATTAAGTCATATTTAAGTTGTTGCAAGTTGTTATAGATTTTAAGGTGACAGTTTATATTTTTTTTGTAATATTTGCTACATTTAATTAATAAATCATTGTTGTTTATATACCAAATTTTTTCTTTTTGATGTTATAGTGTGCAAATCCATTGCTATGCTGTTTTTAATGTTTAGAATTGAGAAGCCAGATTGAAATAGGCACAAATTGTGTCCATTTTTGCAGGTGTATCTTTTTCCGCGCGCGCGCAGAATTAACTTTTTTATTTATGAACCGATCTTACTGAAATTTTAACAGTAACACCCTTTACTAAATGGAAATCGATCCATTAAATTAAACATGTAATTATATTGAACTTGTGAAAAGCTGCGCCAGCGCAAATACACAGGTAAATTTCTTATTTTTGGACGGATTTTAGTGAATTTTTAACAGCACCTTTTGGTGAAGATCAATCCATCGATTATATTAAACTTGTGAAAAGCAAGCGCAGAGGTGAATTTCTTATCTGTGGACGATTTTACTGAAATTGATCGATTATATCACATTTGTGAAAATTTTATCAGTAACACCTTTTACCATTGTATTATACAGTGATATTTATTAACAAGTAGACATAGGGATTTGTGTATTGTTTATCCCTATGTCTACTTTGAAAAGACAAAATCGCTTCTGAAGCGCGCCTAATTTTATGCATCCAAAATAACTTTTTAAAACAAATAAACATCTGGCTGTCATATTAATTAGTTTGAATATTGTTATTTGGGATTAACAGAAAAGAAATCTCTTATGCCCTTTAAACTGTTAGCGGCAATATACCAATTGACAATAGGAACTTTTTTTTCCGTTGAATACATCGCACTAGAACGAAAATGAGAATAACGATCAAAGCAACAATATTCAAATTAATTAATGTGACAACAACCAGATCTTGATTTGTTTTAAGTAGTTATTTTGGTTGCATAAAATTAGGCGCCCTTGAGAGGAGATTTTGGCACTTAAAAGTAGACATATAGTACAGTCAAATTAGACTTAAAAGTGCTAAATGGTTAAAAAAGGTCCGGTAGAAGATTTTATTTTCCCGACTTGTTTAAATAGTAAAGTGAGAGAACAATCCAGTTTGCAAATGTGAGAAATTTCTGTGATCAAAAATCAACGAAAATTTCTGACTTTTTTCGGTTTTTCTGAAATAACTCGCCAACGGTTCCTACAAACCTTCCTACGCGACTCCGTTTGGACATCACTATCACTGGGTAACTGAAGGGAGGGGGGGGAGATTATACCTTTCATAGTATTCCAATTAAGAGGAACAAAAGCAATTGTTTTCTACCAGCTACCGTCCTTCTTTCTAACCCCATATTAAAAGAAGGGGGGGACTGGATTTATCCTTCTTGGTACTCTACCCCTTATCGTGATCGATTATTATAATTACTTATACCTCAAGAGCGGATTGTCTGGAAAGTGTACTCACAAAGGGCGATTGAGACGTCTTGAAGAAATATGTTTATTGGTGATGGCATAATTTTAAAAACGAATATCTCAAAAACTATAAAATGCTTTTCGACACATCTAATGTATTTGTACTAGTTGGGAGGTACGTATTAATTTTAATAGTCATGTTGGGTCCAAGACAGTGAGAAGGAAGAAAAGAAGAAAAGGTTGGGAAATGTAAACCATCACAAATTATCCGTCTTATTGTTTTTAGGAGATACAACAAGTAGAAGTTTCAAGTTTTTATTTGATTTTTGAAAAAAATAGACCATGCAACAATTTAAGGATGAAATAAATAAATTTAGGAATTTATTTCTATGTGTACCTAATCTATTTGTGTAAATTTATTTTTAAATCCAACAATGGAAAAGATGGTTTATTTTCAAAAATTACTAAAAAAGCGATACTTTAAATTAGTGTGTCTCCTAAACTATACATGTTAGGGGACCAAATAGAGTATAAAATTAAAGGTACTTTTATACACTACAATTTTGAATAAAACATGATTTTACCCAAGTATTGCTGTTGGTGAGTTATTTTAGAAAAACGGACAAAAGTTAGAAATTTTTCGATTTTAGATTTTTGCCCACAAAAATTTCTCCCGACGTTAGTCGCATTGGCAAACCTGAGAATTTTTCTCTCTCTTCACCAACAAGTCTGAAAAATAAAATCTTCTACCCCACCTTTTATAACCATAAAGTACAAATTGACTGAACTAATAGGGAAAAATAATATACATAAATCCCTATGTCTACTTCTTAATAAATAACACTGTATAGAATGTTTTTACTAAAAGTAATTTGATCGATTATATTAGACGTGTGAAAATCCAGAGGTTAATTTCTTATTTGTGAACTATTTTTTTAAATTTCAATGGTATACATATATGTACTTCTTATAAAAGCAAATTGAACATGCATGTCAAAAATGGCTACTACAATTAGGCACTTCGCTCAATGAAAGACGAAACAATATACATAAGAAGTAAATACATAAAAGGAGTGTTGGGTTTCGAAAGAAACGAGGTGCGGAAAGTTTTGAAGGAAACTCATTTTTACCCTATGCCAACCTTTCACCAAAGAGTAACCATAATACTCTTTGCTTTCACAAAGTGTAGTGAGATAGTAATAATAATAATAATAGTACCATTGAATTAATTATAAATTCAATGATAGTAACACCTACAATGACTCAATTAAGAACGGTGGCAACAACCGAGTATCTAGTTTTTGATTGGTCGTTGGTTCCGGTCGTCCTATTGGGGGTAAAATGCTATACTTTGGTATAGCCATAGTTTAATCTTTTCTTTGTGTTGCGAAATTCTGTGAATAAAGGTGCTGCTTAAAGTAAAATGTCTTTTGTTGAACATTCGGTTCTATATAGACACAGTTTGGTGTGTTTAAAGTCAATAGAAATTAATTACGAAAAGATTATGGGGGTTGCACTCGCCAGCCTTGGGCGGAATCGTTTGCTCTTAAAGAACACGTGTACAAATGTAAACACTTAATGCCAATATGACACTAAAATACTATAACTCTGCATCCCTCCTATATTTACATCCTAGTATTTTCTTACCTACATTGTGTCACACAATTTAATTTAATTGCGTATACAATTACAGCAACTGTTTAATTTAAATTGTTTTACCTAGTGCAATGACATAGTTGAACATTAATTATCAATTATGTCTCATTATGGACAGTTGTTTAGACGTTTTAAATTTGAATGACACTATATAATTAGAGAGCAAAGGCAAAATTTTTGTCAACTGGCCCACATAATCAAATAAGAGTGAAATCTTTGTTTTTCGTACTAAAAAGAAAGAGGATGTGATTCAACAATGTTGGCAAATTTTCATTTAGTGGTGGATTTATACCGGTACATGGGTAACATTACAACAACTCTCAGCGGAAACACACCTGCTCTATTATACTTTTATTATCAAATCATGTAGAATGATTAAAAACTCATACACGTTAAGTTTTTTTTTGGTTTGGTCTAATGAAAAGACTATCCTCTGGCATAAGAATGCTACAAAAATTACACAAATTAACACACCAAAATCAAATCAAAATACTTTACTTACACATTGTTGATGGTAGTAGCCATTCCAGGCATGTTAATAGGCGCCGGCTTATTTTCTTCTGGAACTTTTACTGTCAAAGATGACCTCGGACCTGTTTTCCAAATATTACTGTGTTCATCTAATACTGACGCTTCGATTGTTAAAACATATTGGCCACCTCTCGGGAAAGCCAGTAAAAATTGAGCTGTAAAGAAATCCTTGTGGGGTATGACTGTTTGTGTTAATGTTAGGTTTACGTCAACTCCCTGTAAATATTGTGTAATACCATAATTTGTAGCAACCTACCTACCTTTAAATCTAAGGAATCCTTGTTTTTGTTATTTAATTGCAGTTGTGAAGTGACCGTTACTAATATTCCTTTGACTTGCCTAAATAGTCCTGGTCGTTGTCCATGTTGAACAATACCCTCCACTTTAACTGCCAATTGAGAACCTGATTGAACGCTAATAAATTCTCCTAAGACACGAGGCTGTGGACTAATAGCTAATTTCAGAGTAGTCGACTGAAGAACTTGGAAGAAATATCTAGGTATCGGCAAGGATGAATTAGCAAGGATTTCTACGGCACTCTTCAATACATCAATATGCTAGAACACTGCAAATAAATAATGGTTTTGTTTTATATCGACTACCTTGTGCGTTATTGTTTGGCCACCGTCTGCGTTGATTGTACGGGCTAACTTGACAACATTTTGACAGCCACGAATCAGTTGTTGAGATTCCAACCTTGCATTTTGGACATTAAATTCGATGGGATCGTCGTCGATTTTATTTCCAGGCATGCAGACCATTTCAATGCATTGTTCTACCAATCCACACATTTGCTGCAAGCTGACACAAGATGATGTAGGTTATGAAATCCGTTCAACTATAAAAGCGGCACACTTACATTTGAATATTTTCGAGTGTTGCAGGATCTGCATCAAAAGCTGTTTGATATAATTTCCAATATAGTTCTCCGCAATTTTTAAATTCCTTTACACATTTTCGCATTTGGTTCGTAATGTACCCGTGCCTTTGGTACTCATCCCTAGTCGTTTGCACGATAGATGAAGCGATTGCCGGAGGAGGGACAATGCAAAGAATGTTGGAGGTATGTACCAATTGTACCAGGCATTGCAAAAATTCAGTGCGCAAGCGCATATACTCGGATTGAAATTGAAGACTGTTTGATGGTGTTCCGGCAACCTACACAAAAGTACTTTCCTATCATATTCGCCTTGATATACAGTGTGTTCTAAATAATAGGGTCATCTCTTCTACTGGCGAGATTCGAAAAAAAGATCAAATATAATTTTGTATGTGACTTCACGGTCTATCCAATCACATAGGTATTGAAATATCCAGTAGGACTTCCTATTTCTATATACAGGGTGGTGACTTGTGTAACGCATCATAGGGATTTCAATTTAAAATTCATATCATGCCATTATTGGCTCCCCAAATTATTTTAGAGCAAAAATGTATTAAGGTTTTTTCTAGAAAAAAATTTTTTACGTTAATCAACCGTTTTCGTTTTCAATTTTTTGCATAATAAAGACGGAAAATTGGAAAAATAAAACCCGCATCTTTTTCAATAATCTGCGATGCCATGGAATTTTCTAAAACAAAAAGATATCCAGTTATCAATTAGCAGCAGTTCGAAATGGATTTTATGATCGACTTGGTTACTACCTTGCAGTTAATGGTGACTTATTCGAACATTTATTGTAAATTGTTATATTAGGCTTTTAGTAATTTGGTCTTTCTTTATGTTGAATTCGCTGTTCTAAATATAATACTTTTTGATAGAATTTGATTTGTTTTATAGGAGACATTCATGACGGATATTGGCGTACTTTTTGTATTATAAAATTCCATGGCATCACAGATTATTGAAAAAGATGGGGGTTTTATTTTTCCAATTTTCCGTCTTTATTATGCAAAAAATTGAAAACGAAAACGGTTGATTAACGTAAAAAATTGTTTTCTACAAAAAACCTTAATACATTTTTGGTCTAAAATAATTTGAGGAGCCAATAATCGCATGTTATGAATTTTACATTGAAATCCCTATGATGCGTTACGCAAGTCACCACCCTGCAGCAAAAGCAAAGGTGGATATCTATTGTTCAATGATTTTATAGCAGTACCTAATCCTAATACCTATTGATCATACACATTGGGTATGCTCAGCCGACCCAACTGTTGAGTATGTTGAAATGTACACACAGTTGGTAATAATTCGCACCCATAAATTTGGCGGTGTTTTACCTCATCGTAATATCATAACCTAACATTTTGTCTCCCTAGGACGTTCAATGTCAGCGATATTTTCAACTGCCACTGGAATAAAATTCCAGTTTATATTATCTTCAAATAATTCTGGCACAATAATATCCATGTTTTGTCAGCACGAAAGTAAGGTTAAGATACAAGATGATGAAACGTAGTGTCAACAAAACCGTTCAGGTATATGGTGATGTTTGCTAATAAATACAAGGAAACACGTTTACGGCGTTAGTCAACAGTTACGTCGGCTGAACGAACCCATTTGATAGAATTTTTGATACACTCTTTGATCTTCTAAACCCCCTTAAATATAATTTTTTTCTCAACCTTTTACAAATAACTAGCATCTATTTGACATCTTGTTCTGCTGATAAACCACATTAGCAGTACATTTAAACCCTGAACAATATTGTGTGAAAGCACTTACCTTTAATGCTGCTATTGCTTTGTTGTAATGATTCACAGCTGAATTTAAACAATCGACAACATTTTCTTTTTCTGTACTTGAAAGAGCAGCTTCCGCATCGAACATTTCTTTCAAACAGACCAACCAAAAGTGTAAATTTTCAGAACTGACTCTTTCTGTAAGATCTCTAAGTATATTCAAGGCTACTTCATGATGACTGTATCGCACGGCGGCGCGTGCAATGCGATAGTTGGCCCATAAATTGTTGTTAACCGTGACGATTTTGATCACATTTTTCGTTTCTTGATTCCACTGATAGCCGCACAAGGTCTGAAAAAGTAGCGTGCATAGTAATACTTGGGCATTAGTCTGTAAATCGGTATGAATATCCACAGCCGATAGTTCAGTTAGAATTGCAAGCATATCAGGAAGTAACGATAATAAGGTTTCCGGTTGTAAACCACCTATGGCACCTAAAGCCTCACAAACTGCAACCGTCGACTCCTCTAGAAAATATAAAATATAGAAATATAGAATGAAGTACTAAGTACACACCATTTAAACTTTTCAAATTTGAACCGAGCAACTCCACAAATGTCATACAATGCTCGTGCTTGGCTTCACATAATTGAACAGCGCACTTCAATGCAACTTTCAAATGGTACAGGCTTCTTCCATCAGAAAATATAAGCAGTAATATTAGAGTTTCTAAGGAATTTATTACTTCTTGAGCGCCATGAACTTCTAAACCTTCTGTATAACTAAAAAATTGAATCGATATACCATTATTCATCAAAAGCAGGATGGCACTTACCAATAGCATAAAATTCTAGTCAATACTTGGATTGCTTGTGCCGCTATTGCATTATGCGATGAGTAGCTATTCTTACTGCAAAATTCTCTTAGCTTTGAAAAATGTGAGCTATGTTCGTGGCATATATTTGGCGATTCGGCAAGAACACCAATCACATCTGAAATCTCAGATTTAGTCATCACAAGCTGTGAACAAAGAAGTTTACCCAAAGTCAAACTTAAAACTTTTGGTGCCCGAGTTTGCATGGCCATATCTACTATATTATCAATAGCGCCAATAGGCCACAAATGAGCACCTGGCTTGGCAAGTTGATATAAATATTGCAAGGATTTGGATTTTACTTGCCATCGTGGATCAGACTGCAAATACTTTAATAACAGGGAAACCTGTAATACCAACGTAGAATGAACTTGAGTTATTACACTACCTCACCTGTCCCGGTATATCGACTAAAGTAGCAGCAGCCAGTTGCGTGAGTGTGTTTAATGTTACAAGTACAAAATCTTCAGAAGGATAACTGGGAAGTAAGTCGGTGCATAACTGACGCACCATAGCTGATGTGGTGGCGTCGTGATGCATATATTGCAAAATAGGGATTAACTGCAATTTCATACTTCCCGTAGTAGCCTGTCCTTGAATCATGTCTGATACTTTATTACACATGCTAATCGCAAAGGTCCTGTAAAGCAATACATATATGAAGTGACAGTCATATGTTCGTGGGCTGTTAGGTACTGTATCTACTAGAAAGTAAAAATGTACTTTTGGGGTTAGGTTTTTTCAAGCTCTTTTCTCGAGTCATTTTTCCTAGTTTAAACGGTTGGAATTGGACAGTTTCCGTTAACACCTTCCATTCTTTCAGAGAATCTGAATCTGCTAACAGAATTTCCATAACACGCTAATTGTAGAGGCTACAGACTACTACTTTCTTATTTCTTCTGGACGCCATATTGGATTTTTACTGATAGGGATAGAGCACAAAAAAATTCATTGCTATCCATCGCCATTGGTGATTCAGCAAGATCTAGTTACTCCTACATCATTTGTTTAGAAAAAACGTAAAACATTTGATTTTGAAATTTTTCTTGAAAATTCAAGAAAAAGTAGATAATAGCTATAGAGTGTGACAAGTCATTATTTTTCCTTTTTTGTCTTCTATCCGATTCCGTAAAAATCCAATATGGCGTCCATAAGAAATAAGAAAGTATAGCCTGTAGCTTCCACATCTAGCGTGTTGTGAAAATTCTAATAACAGATTCAGATTCTTCAAAAAAAAAAGGTACCATAGATGGATGTCAACGGGAACTGTCCATTTCCGACCATTTAAACTAGCAGGGGTCGGCAACCTGCGGCTCTTTTGATATAAAGTTGCGGCTCTCCCTATTTATCTAAAGAAATTAGTTCATTTGTTCGAAATTCGCCTTTTTAATTAATCTTATTTGTTTACGAACTCAAAAGCACACTTGCAGCAAATAATTATCTAATTTGTGACACTTGTTTACTTTCTGGTATTCTTTTGTTTTTTATTAGAGCAGCCTACTCTGATGTATAAACACGTAATTAATTAATGAGTAGGTACTTTTGTGAAAAATATTGAATAACATAAAAACTGCGGATTTAGGCAAGGGCACCCCTTATAAACATTGAAGACAACACAAAAGACAATCGAATATCGAAATAAAATAGTGGTAGTTCCATTTGAAAAAGAATTGTTATAGCACTTTGAACAAATGGCATTGAAACAAGTAAAAATATGCAGAATGTTCTATTTAAAAAGATCAGTTATTTATTGACATCGTAACATCGTGTACAGGGTACATTCAAAAATAATTTTTGTAGATCCGCAACCACCAATATTTTTAACAGGTATCAGCTGTGTAGGAAAAACCGACGCACTGTTGCAGGACCCTGTATATATCCAAATACTATAATATTGAATCAAAAATTTTTTGTGGCTCTGTGGAAATTTAGTAAATTATAATTTTTGCCTCTTCCGTTTCAATAGGTTGCCGACCCCTGAACGAGGGAAAATGAAATCAAATTTTTCTGTGATCTCAGTTATTTTCAAACATTTTAAAAAAATTTCAAATACGGTTTTTTTGGCACAAAAAGGAACAACTTTGCCACCATTTAACCTACACTGTACCTTTCACCGTTACTAAAATCCCAATGGTGAACTACTAATTTGAACCAAGTTAAGTAGAGAAAATGCCTGCGTCCACCAGAGGAAAGCCCTTCAAGTGACTTACCATTCACAAAGTAGCGTTTATAAAGCGCTTCTGATTTAGCTTTCTTTGAAGTGGTAGTTGAGCGAGTCTTTCACCAGACAGTTAAGGTAGCCCTTCGCCTGGTGAATGCGAGCCATAATGATTAACGTCAAATTGTCAAATTCTAAATACCAACTACCTTTTTTTATATCTGATCATTTATAGTCCAGTATGCAGATAATTTTGACCTGCAAAAGGTGGTGTAAAAGATTTTATTGTTTTAAATGGTCCATTTGAGTCCAAGTAACATGTATCTGAAGAGTGCACAAAAATTTTTTCCCGGCGCAACTTTTGGCAGCCATTTTCAATTCATTCATTTTGAAAACGGTCCATATTTTATGAATACACTTCTTTAATAAATTGAAGAAAACAAAATTGTACATCAATAAAAAAAAACAAACACAATCGCTCCAATAAAAAAATTTTTACAAGCGTCAAAAAACGCCATTTTTCCAACGAATTTCAAAAATTGGTGAACTCTTGGGGGGGGGGGGGGAGTGGATATTCATAAAATATGGAGCGTTTTTGAGTTTTAAGCGAAAAACTGAAAAAAGTCAGAACATTTTGAGGTTTTTTGGCTGCCAAAAGTTGTGGCGGGAAAAAATTTGTGTGCACTCTTCAAAGACATGTTATTTGGACCCAAATAGACCATTTAAAACGATAAAATCGTTTACACCTCCTTTTGCAGGAATCAGCCTTTCTGACTGCTCCACATACTGGACTATTATGAGCATACTATATTGCATCATATCAATTTTCAAGAGCAGACAAAGTGAGGGGGCTTAGCCCGCTCTTGCCCCTCTCTGGCCCTGATCCAAACTTGACTTTGCCTCACATTTAATATTTATGTGCCATTTACAAATTCTAACATGGTTTTTTTCCCCAAGATTATATTACTCTGTAACTTACTTTGACTGAGCTGCAAATTGAATAGCAGCATATATTGCGGCTTCCACTTCAACATTATCATGCGAATCCAAACTTCTTCTTATACTGTGATGCACCTGTTGCCTTTCTGGAATAATTCCAGCAACAGCACCTAAAGTCCTTAACGTCAATGCCCTGGCAATGGGATCATTACTATGTATAACGCTATAAACTCTCCTCACAAACTCATCAACATTTGAAATTTTATCTAAATGTTTCTCACTCTGCTGACACACTCTTAAAACCCACAAGCGGAGAAAGTTACTTCTGTAATAAAAAAATCTATCGTAAATAAGAGGAAATAAAATCGAAAACTTACCCGACCCTAAAAACATCGGCCAATTTCAAGAACGACGCATTAATTAGAATTGGAAAAGGGTACCTTTCAAAAAGACGTGGAAATCGAACAATTGCTTCACACTGTTCGCCAACAGTTCCCGATCGCAGACCTAATACCAAGGTTTATTAAATACACACAAATTGTTAATTACCTTTGTCTAATTCAGTTAAAGAAAAATTCGCGTCTTGCTCCTGTTCTCCAAGTCCATTGTCACCGAACGAACTTATACGTACATTTAACATTTTAAATTCAAATGATCTTCATTTTATGTGGAAAAAGGAGGTTATGCTGTCCTGTTTGAAAGTTAACCAAAAATGTAAACATATACAGGGTAAGTAACAATGATAGTGGTGTAGTTAATTGTATGTGATATGTGGGCCATGTCAAACCTTCGCCACTCGAGTACAAGGGTCAGTGCTATTGAATACGAGCCGGATTAAAAGTTGTGATTTCGAATGCGGGCGGTGTTAAAAAATCTGAAAATCCAATGCGATTCTTCGTATCTTGATATTGTACCACTCACTATATAGTTATAAATTCAATGATTATACGATTTGAGATGTTGGATTTGTTGCATTTTGTTGTCGTAGTTGATCTATTTCTTGTATTTGTGTTTTCTAGTCCAATGAAGGTGTTTACTGGACTTTAGTAATACAGTAATATATTTGAGTTTTCTTGTATTTTTTTCCTTCCCAATTGTCCCACATCCAAATTTCCCAAACCATTAAAAGAACCACTCTAGTATAACACAATGTAGGAGTACCTACTATTCGTACCAGATCCCAGCGCTTGGGCCTGAGACTCCTAAGATCACTACAGACTTCAAGAGTCGAACTGCGATAAAGGGACCGTTTCTTTTATAATTGCATCGATCATAAACTTTGTAAATTATGTAATTTTTAGCAACAATATTTGTGTTAAATTACCATTAAATAAAATCCCAAAATTCTGTGTCCACTTGACAAAGTGTCCCTTAGATCCCAAACAAAATAAATTGCAACATTGTACAGGATGTCCGGTCTGAAACCTCCATTTGGAATTGTTTATTTCTCAATAAATAATTCAAGATATCGTTTTATTGTTATTTTTGTTAATCTCAACAATTTACTAATCCGAACAGCCTCAGGTCTCTATTAGTTCGGATTAGCGAGGTTCTACTGTATCTATTGTAGTATTTTAATTTTTCTTGCGATATAGTTGTTTCCCTTATATTTTGGGTATACTCACAACCAACAGGCCGTTAAAACACTACAGATGACAGAATGAAAAAGGGAAGCTTCATTGAGGTGCTCTGTTTCGAAATTACACATTACTACTGTAAGAACTCGAGGTTTATATGTATAATCAGACTTGGCATCTTATCAAGTGTATACGATACCTACCTTTACTTTTAGATGAGGGAGTGCTCAGTCCTTAACTGCCGCTGCCATTTGTTTTTCAAAATAAAAGTAACTGTTATCAAAGAGTACTATAGTTACTCTTTGCTGTTATTTCATTAGATTACTCCTCCCTAAATCAGATGCATCCGCTTTTTTAAACCTATGTTTTGTATTAGATACTGTAGTGGAGTAGTTTACACAATCACCTGCTTGCTCTCTTCGAGCACTCTCTGTGTCTGCCATATTGGTTCCAATTCTTCTTTATTTTAGAAAGTCAAAACAGTAGCAATTATTACTCTGCTATTCATTAGAGATGACATGTTGTATCTTGATACATGAACATGAATGCTTATGTGCGATTAATACACTCCATTAATATTCGACCAATCAGCTCGGTGATTGTTTCAAATTCTAACCAATCAGATGATTTTTTATCTGATTAACCGCTAGGTAGCTTTTTATCAGCGAGAATGCGTAAAATATATAGTGGTTGTAAAATTTACTATCTTTTATTAATCTCCCTAAAATACACTCAATCTTGGTATACATCAAGAGAATTTTATTTTTAATTCACTCAAATTTTGTTGCTTCCTGAAAAAATTGTCAGGAATTTTTTTTACCTTCATTATTGTATTTTCGACACATTAATGATTCGCTTTTCTGTGTTGACAGGATTCACGAGTGTTTTCACAAAGAAAAACGATTTACAATTCGTTCAAACAGTTGAATCGACAAACAGCAACCAAATGAACATCATTGTTCGTTCCGACGATTCAAGGGGCACTAGGTATGGGGAAATTTCAAGACCGGAAATTTGAATTCCCGAGTGAAGGAGTTTTTTTAATGGACTGGCAACACTGTTGATATTGGCCTGCACCGACTTGGATACAATGTTGTTGTCTGTAGCTTGTTACTGCCCTTTCTGGGTGATGTGAGTGTTAATGTTATAATTCTTTCTGTTGATTAGGATATCATAGAAAATGTTTCCTGTGTTTCAAACTGATAATAAGTAAACAAATAATGAATGGAACCATATATTTCAAAATAGAAAATATTGACATATAAGCAAAACAAGTTAGAAATGAAACATTTAACTCTATGAACAATAACAGATGTATGATACTTATTAATTAGTTTTTATCAGTAAACCTTGGTCGATTAAATCTTGGTATGCAAGTTCATCATCATTGTACAGTTTGACATGTAGAGGCTCTACAGAGACAATTTCTGCTAATTTATGTGTGCTGCAGTAATCGGACATACATTCCAAAACAACACTTAACTGGGATATATCATTCAATCTGATACCGTCAATAATGGCCTTATATTGTAATACTGGTAACTTAAACCAATGGGGATCAACTGTTTTAATGCAACTTATAGGTACACTTTCGTAGTTTCCAAAATCAATAAACCAGACATAAACCTCATTCCTATCTAATTGGTCCAAGTTAATAATCTCTCCTCTATACCACTGTTCATCTTCTGAATATTTTGCGATGCACGCGCTGCCAATTTGTAGTGTGTTTAACAATGGTTGCGTGTCTCCCTTATTTTGTATATCCTCCGAAATCTCTTCAAATAATTGCCTCACTTCGTCAACATTACAATCACAGAGAATTTCTAACAAAACCTCATTGTAATCCGTAAGTGTGGTTACGGTTACTTCAATTTTTTCTCCCACCATTTTTTGGGGTATAAGGTTTCGAGTGAATGACAGAGGGCTAGTAGAAATATCGTCATATTGTTCGTCCTCAATTATGACATCACTATCACTATCATCCTTGTCCACACCATCTGTGCTTACAGATATTACCAAATTTGTACTATAATTACGCATGTATTCATTGATGTTGACATTATCCAATTTCACAAGGGCTGATATGGGCATGTCTGGTCTAGAACTTTTCTTAATTACGCTAACCTCAATTTCGTTTTCAACTAGTATTTTATGAAGTTCATCCAGATCTGAGGTTAGCCATGTGGATCCTGTCAATGGATGAACTTGATATAATTGAATTTTGTTAGCAAAAGGCGGTAGATGTAAGTACATAACCCCAAAACGTAAGTCATCATGTTGAACCTCCTCTTCATTACCAAAGTCAATTAAGAACACTGATACAATATCCTTACTTACATTGATAATTTTACCCCGATACCATTCGTCATTGAGATGATACTTAACTGTACATAACTGACCAGTCATCCAAACCGTGCCAATCGGTTCAGGTTGGGTTTGTTTAAAATATGTATTCATTTTTTCACCCATATAATTTAAGGCGTCCTTTTTTGAGCTTAGGTGTGCGTATATGGTACCGTTACTCCCCACGTTTGTAACTATAGCGCGAAAATTCTTTTCATTAATGGGTATCGGTGGTAACCAATCAGTAACTTCATTACTACGAATCATATGAGGTTGTTTTTGCATAAGTGAAATGTCTGAATTATTGAATGTAGACTCAGACATTTGCCTTAACTCATCATCACCATATTCTGATAAGTTAATTTGTTGATCTATCTGTAAATTATCTAGGTGAAGATCAGCTGCTGCCCTCTGTGGCAGTTCTTCCCCATTGACAATAACCGTATGTGAATTTGCTTCCATTAATAAATCTTTTTCTACTATTTCGTTCCAATCGACAGATTTTGCAGTGATCGGCGAGGCATTATTTTTTAATTGATTTTCGTTAATTGGCTTAAAAAAAAGTGCATAATAATCGGACGGATTCTGTGCAGACATTTCCGAAAATGTGTGGTTCATTGTTGTAGTTGCTCGTGGGGATACACTAATGACATCTATTGTTCTTTCTATAGGCGCACTAGTTGCTCGTATTGCTTTGCTTGTAGAAAGATCCTGTGTTTTCTGGTCCTATAAAATAAGGTACACAGTAAATAAAAAGCAAGCACTAGAATATTATTTTACACCCTTCTTATTATAGTCTCCCATAAAATGATTTTCTCATATAATTAAAAAAAGAATGTAGCGAGGTAGCTTTAAAAAAAGAGGGGGTTTCCGATTGCACTATGGAGTAAAATTTAAATTATACGCAGCAAATTAGATTTGGTTTTGAATGCGGAGACTTAGGGGGGAATTTTGCATGATTATTGTAAAAAAGAAGAGTCTAGTACATTACACTCTCATACCCTTCCCCCCCCCCCCCACACCGTACCGGAAGGAGATGGTTGATATGGGTTTATTAGAGCCAACCTAAGGGCCATTAATCAAATTAGAGAAAATAGAAAAGAGAGAACTCCAGCCACACTAAAGGTGGGTTTTACCACAATAGTTTTCAGTTGTATAAGATTTAAAAATTCTAGATGAAGCCGTTGAGTCATTACCTGTTCTAGATGAACGAGTAAACCTATTTGTAACCAAATTAGTAAAAATGGGAAAATAGACATCCTCTTTGAGATGAAAGGCAAATTCCAACCTGCTATTTTCTACTATAAAACTAACATATTCCATGCGAATTGCGGGGGATAATGCCCAGTACAAGAAAAGAGCTCTCATTAAGAACAAAGAACTACAGCTTAATCATACATACGCAATGGAAAAACCTTTGCACAATTGAGACAATCAAAGTGAAAATAATACTCGGATTATCTGTGCTTCGTGGGATAATCATACCTTTTACTTCTATGTAGGTTGTGTGTTAAAAAATAAAACTAACCTCTTCTTTGTTTTCCACTGGCACTGCTACTAAATCATCGAATTCAGTCTTAACTTCAGTTCCATTTGAAGCGAGCTTTAAAGCTAATCCATTCTTGACCAGCAGTTTATTAACATTGTGTAAAATTTGTTTGGACCGTTCGAGAGCTCCGCCGAGTTTAGTTTCAGTATACCACATACTCACAGGAACCGATTTGCGATCGCGATCAACTGCCCCATTTTTAGTCATTGATATGTCATGATATTGGTCAAATATATTTCGCAAGAAATCTATAGCGAGACCACTCCACTTGTTTTTATCACCTGCTGGAGTAACGGAAGCTAAATGGCACCGTATTGCGCGTTCTCTATGCTGTTTAAACTGATCGTGCAAGACAAATATGGCAGCTGATGGCACCACTATCTCTTGGACGATATCTTGTAACATGACCTTGAACTTATCCTCTATTTTATTGGTTATAATTCCTCGAAAAAATTGATTACATTTAGTATTGTAGACTACACAAAGATCATCGATTTTCCAATCTCGTTTTTCCGCCTTACGTTTTTTCGAATAATGTACTTGTAACGACGAATGCATCTCTTCATATAGCTTTGCTGCAGATGGGTCTACTAATTCAACAAAAATTTCATCGGGACTTGTACACGAGAGAATATGAATACGCTTTTTTATTACTTGATTGTCACTGTCGGAATCGCTATCTTCTTGTGGTTCATTATCTCTTGACGACTGTATGGTACTTAGCAAATCGATAACATATGACTGCTTGGAATCGGTTAATTTTTTTTTAAAATATTTTGAATAATTTCCTAATTCTGATCTGTAATGAAAATACTTTATTAAAATATTTTCAAAAAAATTGATACATACATGTCACCAAAGGGCTTTGCAAGTTCTTCATCTATAAGGGCCTTATTTAAACAGCTCTCCATAGAGCCAAGCGTTTCAAATAGTACAACTGATGGAATTTCTTCTTTATTCACAACTACTAGACGCAACTTAGTTTTTTTGTCAATATAAGGTTTTAAGTAATTTTGAACATTTTTGTCCATCTCTTTGTCACTTGTGCGCCGTATGTGAGATAATTTCACCAATATAGCCTAAATCAAATGATTAGATCAAGAATATCAAAATGTATGTACATACCTGGCATTCTAAAGTACGAAATTGATTGGGTAATTTTCTTAATAGGGAATAATGAACCGTAACTGTTTTACCATAATCTACTAAAAGTACTACAACAGATCCTTTGCCTTGATTTACTTGGGTTATAGTCGCGCGATAATATTTATCATGAAGATTAACAGCAACTACCATATCTAAAAATGACAATATAATATTTGGGGATGTAAGATGACAGTTTATCAATTACCTGTTTTGGGATTGTAAATATTTTCACCCCTTACTTTGTCTTTCTTAATGTAATAGTCCGACATAGCAATGTTTAAATGCTCCACGTGGTGGAAATGATCAATCTGAAAAATGTAATATTTCTAAAGTTCAATGGAATTACAGAAACATGGGTTTCAAAACACCCATTTTATGATCAGTTTGGTTAAGCTATTTACAATATACTACCTTAATAAACAATATATGCAGTCCAAATTAGAGTTACTTACCACTTGAACATAAATATTTTGTAAATTTATAACATTACTGATATATACTGTTAATTCATCTCCATTTTTTAAGCTTTGTCCGCCAGTGTGAAGTTTGACATTGGATCTAATGCTCTAAAAGACAGCCTGTTATTGTATTGTATCCTTTAAGAAATGAACCAACCTGCATTGTGATACTGCTTGTCGGTTCTACGACTTTCAATTCAGATACACCATAACCTGCAAATAGTAACGCGTCTCGCACTGACGTTGTTTCTGCGCCAGAACATGAGAGTAAATCAACTTCCAAAATATCACTAGCGTATTCCATGATAACCATGATAACTTCTGTGCTGTAAATATACATGAGCATGGCATGAGAATGGCACAAAGATCTACATACTACAGGAAATTGCAGGAAACCAAAATCAGTTAAAACGAACAGTGACTTGTATTTCCTTGATCAAAACTAGAAATGATTTGTGAAATTTCGAGTAATAAAACATAAAATTATGATGCACTGTTGAAAAGCGGTATAGTAATGCGCCATCTATGCACAAGTCGAAAGATAATAATCATTAAATGCAAAAACAAGGACTAACAGGGACCGCGAAATGTGGGTGGTAAAAAAGGACCACATAACCGAAGATTTAGAATGCATGAACATAAAGTCCAAAAAACGGCTTAACATAGGTTTTTGTAAAACTTGTACAGAAGGTGAAAAAATTCAGATCGTAAATGTTGTATCTGGGAATTTTTGAACATAAAAATGAATGAAAAATTTAGAAAATGCGATTCATGAAAACCAAAAAATCTTCAGGTTTAAAACCATTCGGAAGAGCAAAACACATGTTATAAAATCTAATATTTGATGAACTCCTAGAGACTAGGTATGGTGTACTAACAAAAATCACTCTTTGAAACTTGTGAAAGACGTAACACCCAAACAAAACGTTTGAGACCTTTTATTTATTTAGAAATCCAATTTTTATTTATACTAACACCCGCCATAGTGATTAAAAATAGAGGTGAAAAAGCGCAATTGTCTTAATGATTAGTTTCCTTAGATCACTGAAACAAAAATAAAAATTCTTACCCTGCAATAATTTCGGCCATATAACGTGTTTCTCTTTCACTCCAACACGGTGCAGTAGGATGCATGTCAAATAATTTACACCTTTGCGCAAACGGAGGCGGTTCGCTAAATGCGCCGATTATCTCAATGAAGCTAGACACATAAAATTAGGGTGGTTAATAAACTTTCAATTCTTACTCTTTCAGTTCCGTAACTAGCTTTGTGTTGCCATAGTCGATAAATTCAACAGTATAAACATTGCAGTTACTACTTTTTTCAATATCTATAACTCTACCTCGATACCATTCTGTTGCATGATAATTTACGATGTAAAGGGATCCTAGAAACAAACAAGTGAATAATTTTAGAAAAGAAAAATGCTTAAACGTACCTATTTCGGGAATTCTTTTCACACGAGCAGTAAAACGTTTAACATAATTTTGAATTTCTTCATGTAAACGTTGCAGCTCTTTCATTTGAGAATCAACTTGCACATAAAAATTTTCTGGATTGGCTATGTAGCTGATGTTCACAGAATGTCGATCCTCTATAAAAGTAAAAAGTATTTCATTAGCATTACTAACTGCATAAGTTTATTCTCTTTCAGATTAGATATAAAGTTCACTCAAAGTAAGGCATTACTTTTTATGTTATGTCCTGGGTGATTCAAAATGACTGATAAATTTTGAAAATCAAAATATAAACAAGTATAAATTGTGCACAACTCTTGTGCAGATAAAGCCCAATTTTTTTAACCGAAATAGCTTTTGTTTTGACATCACTAATGGATATATTTCTTCCAGACGTCTCAATCGCCCTTTGTGAGTACCCTCTTCCGACAATCCGTTCTTGAGGTATAAGGGAATATACCCGATCACGATAAGAGGTCGACGAGGAGGGCTATGGTTGGTAGAAATTAATTCCTTTCGTTGAGACCTTTCATTAGAATACCATGAAGGATAAAACTAGTTCACATTTTTTTAATTCTTAAAAAATGCGCTAAAAAAGATAAAAATGAGGAAATAACGTTTCATAGAAAATAAAAAGGAAACCTCTGAATTAGGTGTTTACATAGCATCTAAAATTGATAGCACAAAATAAATATGTAGGAAACAATGCAAACAGTGCCGCATTGTGGTTGGTATACTGGTAGAAGATTGTTGGCATAATGGGTGTATCCAGAGTCGCCCTTAGGGTAGAGCGAGTGGAGCGGGCGCTTGAGGCCTCGCATTGAGGGAGGCCTTACTCGCACTAAACAATAAGGTTTTGGTTGAATGAAATTAATATAACAATGTACAGATATCCGTGCTAAAATATTTTGTCTGCGCAAAATGTTCAATTATTGATTAATTAAAAAACCTACGAACAAGATTCTCATTCCTAAAAGATAGTCATTAGTCGCGAACAAAAGAATGCAAATGCAAAACATCATTTGATAGTGATGCCAAGTCATGGAACCTGAGCCTCGCGCCTACTGGTGGCCGGTGAGTGTCGGCGTCCACAACGGCGCACCACATCAAGCCTTGCCTCTAGCATAGTTCGGTCAAAGCAATAACTCAGACTTTCAAATACAAGTGGCCACAACGAAACCAATGTAAATGGAGAAACGAATGCTCTGACCTTTGCAGATAACCCGTATGGAAAGCTAGTGGACGATGCTATGTACGGTGCGCTGTTATGGGCATACCCTGAGCCATCCTTGCCTGATCTCCTCCCCTCCCTTTTCCCGCGTGCTGAAAATGACGACTTTGCAAGTATAATTTTGCAAATATTTCCGGGGAGGGCCCTATTCCCCTTTTCCATACCACCCAAACCTCTATATCACTGTTAAAAAAGGCCCCTCAAATTTGTTTTGCTCCAGACATCGCATTTGCTAAGGACGGCTCTGAGTGTATCAACCACAATGCAACACTGTTCGTATGGTTCCCTATAAATTTATTTTGTTCTATGAATTTCTGATACTATGTAAGCATACCTAATTCAGATGTAATACGCCAATGACGTGCGTGGAAACTTCCTGCTTATACAAGCATCAAATTTAAGAGCCACCATGGTGATCTCGGGAACTGTAAGAGATAGGTAGGTGGTTTAAATCTGGAAAAAAAATGAAATTTTGTAAAATCGTTTTTATTTTTTACTGAAATTATTTAAAAAAATTTTTAAAAATAAACAACACATCATTATGGCCACAAGATGCTAATTTTAAATTTTAAATCCGACGTTTCGTCTCCGGTTAACCTCCACCAACTTTGTTTTTTTTTTATGGAAGTAGCGGTTACTTTAAGTGTCACTTGATAGAGAATTTTTTTAAAAAATATAAACATCACTACTCTTTAAATATTGTTAAAGTATCTTCTTTTTGGCCTAGAAAACTTTGTCTTGGGTAGTATGCAATAGTACATACGTAGTTTTTAGCGTTTTTACAAATTAATAGCGCCATTTCTTATTAAAAGATAGTGATGTTTACATTTTTGAAATCAGAAAAATTCTCTATCAAATGACACAAAAAGTAAAAATTACTTCCATAAAAAAAACAGTTGATGATGGTTGACTGTAGACGAAACGTCAAACTTAAAATTTAAAAGTAGTATCTTGCAGAGGGAAAAAAGTGCCCATAATAATGTGTCATTTATTTAGAAATATCTTTTTAAATAACTTCAGTAAAAAATAAAAAAGATTTTGCAAAATTTCGTTTTTTTCCAGATATCACCGAAAGTAATTTTTGCAGTTTCAAAACTGCATTTTGTATTGCCTGTATAACGTTTGCGCCGTGATACACTAACAACCATAACTGTTCTTATGAAGTCTTTAATTTCAAGTTAAATGGTTTGTTCATCTATTTAGTGTTGCAGAATTATAGATATTCTTCTAAAAATTGCGGGTAAAAACAGACATATTTTCCTTTATCAAATACAACTTTTTATTTTATTATCACGTAGGAAACGCCGCTACTTGTACACAATATAATATACAATTGTATACAATACCCAGGAGAGAATGCCGATCACAGAACACCTGATGCAGGTGACAGATCACAGTTTTAAGAGCTACAAAACTTTATTTCTTTCAAGGATGAGTCACCTTAAATCTCGCCTTAAATACATGGCAAGGAGTAAGTAATCTGAAATAAGTGCAGAAAAAAACCCCACAAAGTGTACATATTAGCCGTCTGGAGTATAGGCTAATGTAAAGTTGCAGAAATTTGACCTTTGCTTTGTCTATCTGGAAATCAGTGATCACTAAAGAGTTCCCACGCTACATAAGTATATCATGTTTAACAGTTAATCAAGGAAAGGGTTGCAAGAATGAGTACCCACAATGGTTTAAAGTAAAATTCTGTGTGAATATGATTGTCAGTGGGTACAATAAACGATTTGTTTTTATTTACTTACTTGGTTTGAATATAGGAGTGTTTATTGTAAAAGTTGATTCGTGAACACCTTTGATCCATCCCTCTACTGCTTTCGTCTTGGGTGTCATCTTTGACGGTTTACTTCGAGTATGTGATACACTGCTATTTTGACTAAGTGCCACTATACAAAAAAAATATATTAATGCATCAATTTATTATCGAGAGAATAAAAACACCAAAAACGATTCTCCAACTTACTTGACGAGTTAGATGAAACTGATTCGGGAGACCTTGTCAAACTTCGATTCAAGTGTACAACTTCTAATGAAGCCAAATCGTCGGGTAACTCAACGTGATAATTTTCGGGCAATTCGTCTTCACGTAAAAGTCTAAAACTAGTTTCGGTTTCTTTAAATTGCGAAGAAACAGTTTCTTCCAAATTTTCAAATGGATCTTCACAATTAAATCTGCAAAAAAAAAGTATGCAACAATTTTATAATCTCACTTTTTTATCTATCACTGGCACTTTGTTTTGCTCGTTATTAGTTATGTTTATCAGTTTTAAATGAGCATTTCACGTTCACCTTCAAAGATCTTTTTAGCTCTTAACCCTCTAAAGTGAGATGAACTATGACGGGCCTGAGATTTACTTTTTTCCACCTCAAGTGAGCTTACTCTGTTTGGTTTGGTAGTGAGTGCGATTAAAATCTGGATTTTGAGATTATAAAAAATGTGAAGGTTAGGGGTGGTTCCCAAACGAAACACGTTTGACCTTCGGTTTATTTGGAAAAAGGCCTTGTTTGATTCCCTCTACCACTCAAATTTTTGTTTACATATATGTAACACCCTGTATATTCGCTATTTTGCAAAAGAAATTTTGACAAATAACTAGTGTAATGAATGTTTAGGAGAGTACCATGCAAAAGCTGTATTCAGACATCCCATCTTCAAAATAAATAATATAAGTACACTTACTGTACGGCGTAAGTAACTTGTTCCTGTCCGATTAAATAACAAGGGACGGCAACGAAACTCTTCAGTTTGTCGATTAAGTTCTGCACATTAACCTTTACTTTATTAGTTTCATCGTTCACATTTAAAGCAGTATCAATTAAACCGTGTAAAGTTCGTATATTGGAACGTAAATCTTCATCGATTTCGTTCAACGCGTCAATGTGTTTGGTTTTAATACTTTCAGAATTACTTCTTATCTGTTTTTCCAAAGATTGCAGTCTAGCATGGAGCCTCAAGAAATATGTACCGATCGCTGCATCAATCGGATTGTTGGAAGCCATCGATGCTCTTTGGAGGTGATATCTTACATTCTGAAAAAAAAGAATGAAACGTTAATAATATTAGTCTAGTTTATTTGGTTTATTTTAAGAAAGACCCTACATATTGTAGCAAGGCGTGGATAGTCGACAAATTACAGTTTGATTCAAGGTCGTACTACTTGGTTGATTATTATACCAGGACTGCTCAACCCCATGCACGCAGACCACAACGCAGATCCGTAAAAAGACGTTGAGCAGTCCTGATCTACACCATTGAACCATTAAAAAAAAAATGTTACACACGTATTTCGAAGCGCCCTAAGTATATGTATTATTCAAATGACTATTTGATAATCTACGGTTGCATAAAAAGTCAAATGTTTTATTTAATTTTCCGGTTAAAACGGAAGTGATGACGATTCTATTCCCTTCGTTTTTATTCCTATTATAAACCACTAAAATTTCATAATCAAGATGCTGCACTCGCGCTCAACGACCTCATCGTGCGAGAGTACCTATCGGGCGAATTTTCTGGAAAATAGACAATTTCTCCGATAGGTATTCTAGCACGATTAGGGCGTTGTGCTGGGGCGCCCCATCCTGTTGAAACCAACAGTTTCCCACTTTTGTTTTTTTGTGTGCCGTTGCCGTTGTATTATGTATAAAAAATGCTGCTCCATACAGTATTTTTTACAGGCCATATAAAAAATTAAGTTGATGATGATTTCTCCGAAACGAAACGTTGTAAGGAAAATCTCTCTACGGCTGTAGAGCCCAAAATGTGGCAATGAGAAAGTGTTTTTTTTTTATTTTTTGTATGTGTTCAAATGACAAATAGGTATCAGAAATAAATAAAAAACGAAATCAGCAAATTTCCGTTTTTCTGGCATATCTTCGGAAGTAATCGGAATTTTCTAGGTTTCTTTAAAGCATGATAATAACTCTTTAATTGCGCATCTTTTCTCTAATTTGACCATCGTCGTACCCTTATATGGTTTCCAAGATCCACATGATATACATTCTTAGCTTGTGCACAAGGTATATGTACAGTGTGTCCTGTTTTGGTTGAGACTGCAGTATATCTCCACCGTTTTCAAAGATAGAGACTTGCGGTTTTCGCAACCCTTTGCTACTTTTTTGTGAAACTTTTAATACCACAAACAGTGTCGATCCAACTATGTTTGTTTCTGAGACCCAGGGTGAAAACGAAAAGTTTGGCTTTTTGGGGTGTTATCGTATCTTACTATGTAAGATAGAAAAAAGATAATGCCTATTCTAGATATTTTTACGTAAAATCCATGGCGTAGTAAAAATAAATGTTTGGACCACTCTGAGATTTGACCCAAAGTTGGTATTTTTTAAGAGTAACACCCTGTACGTCTTAACGTCAATTTTTTGCAATTTTTCCTGGTTATATTACATTAATGTAACTATGTACCTATATTTTGGTTTCATTTTAGCCATGAACCAATAATAAAATCCTTATATTTTTAGGGTTTTTAAATAATAGGCCATGGATTTATGGAAATCGTGTATTTACTCGTATAATTCCAATGTCATTGATCCGTATGTGATTATTCTTTAATAACATTCATCAAAATCGCTTGCACACTCTTGAAGAACTTCAAAATGCGATCGTAGAAGAGGTGATAAACATCACACTGGCAATGTTAGAACGTGTATTTGAAAACATGATCCATCGAGTGCAACATGGTGGTGGACATTTTGAACAGTCATTGTCATGAAGGGCTTAATTTATTGTAAACTTGTGCTGGATAAATTAATGTTCTTTAATTAATCAATTGTGATTATTTTTAATTGTCAATTAAATTGATCTGTCACTGCATTTAAATAAATTACATTTGGCGTGTCACCAACTTTATAATTTTTTTGTTCTGCGGGAAATTCAAACTGTCCGCACTACTTACCTTTAGATCATACGTACTCCATTAGAAACGTATTAATAATAATAATAACTTTTATTGAGCTTCAATTAAAATACATAAACAGCTTTCCAAATAAAAATAAAATTGTGTTCCAATTTGTATTCCAACCTCGATTCCAACCATGAAATTATGAGAAAGAAGAGTTAGTTAGGACACAACAAATGTGCGGAAACACAGAAGGGAAAAGAACTACTACACTTATTAACCAATATTAATTGTGCCTCCGCAACGATACAGATACTAGCAAAAAATCCTGAAACGCTACGTTGATTTTTATGGTTTGTCTAAACAAAGTTCTTATGGGAATAAAGTACACGCTTTCCCAACTGAGAATAGCAGTAAGATGAATAATTTGGAATAAGCTGGAGGGGTACTTACGCGAATAGACGAAATTAACCGCAATAATGCACCCAAATGGAAAATTATTATTACAATTTGCATAATGCACACTTATATCAACGAATCTTACAATCATGAACCGAAAAATGTAATGCGTACTAGAGAGACTTGTGACAAATTTTATTATTATTTATTTTTGGTTTTGACATTAAAGTATTAACGAAAATCGCAAGAGCCTAAATACATATTTTTCTTAAGTCAATTCCAAGGAAGATACGTAAAGACTGAAGAAATTAAAAATTATTTCAAGTTTGTATTCTCGTTAAGACAAAATGTCGATAAGGGCTATTAAAACCGAAAAAACAAATTTGAAAGTGCACTATTCGCCTCTTGCTCACAAGCGGCTTAACGAATTTTTTATCAATTAGTGCAAAGTGAACTAAAGAACAATTTAAACAAGTTAAAAAAGTAATCGTAAACGATTTACAAAAAGCGCATTTCCACTTGCATTCATTTCTCATTTGTAAGATGTAACTTCTCTTAAACTCGTAAAAATCTGGCCACAAACAAGAAAGATAGGGTTGCATAATATGTGCAGTCCATTTTTGACGTGCACATGTGTACCAAATTTCAAAGCGATCGGACATTTCTAAACAAGTTATCGTTCACGTGGACAGATAGATGGACAGAGAGACAAAGGAACAGATCAACGGACTGATCAACAGACAGACAGACAGCAATACAAAATTATAAACGAATATTTCCCTCATATGTCATAAATGCCATATGAGGTGTGCAATTATCGCTCAATTACAGCGATAATTGCACTGTAGAAAGCGAAAGAGCCCTGCGATAATTGCACTGTCCATATCCATGGCAACTGGCAACTCCTTTGGACAATTTCACAATACACCGACAATTTATAAGTAGGTAACGTCAGTTTGACAAGTAATGCTTGTTCGGGAAATATTCATATATAATACCATAAGTAGTCGAAGTATTGTCGAATATTTTTGAGGTGCTCAGCTAATAATAATCTACAAATACTTCGACTACGAATGGTATTCGGAGGACTATTCAATGAATCAAAAGAAAAATTAAGCATAATTACCCACGCGAATGTATTTCCATGACAACAATAAACGTCAAAATAAATTATGGAAGTTGCTTTTCATTTTGCTATTGATTCTATTCGAACTTTTGTGCTCCAAGCTAATTCGTTATGAGTGGTTAAATTAAAAGATGTGGTGATAAGTCGGTTGTCGAAATTGATTAACAAACTAAGAAGAATGTTCCGGTTAATACGACAAAATTTCGCGTCATTTCACTGGTGGAAGTTTGACAAATGTCATTGAATAATCGCATTGAATTGTCGCTGAAATACCACACGTGAAATTATCGCTGAAATACCACACGTGCAAATTATCACTATAATTCGTTCCCATTGGCGCAGCAATTTGAAATCGAGACATTTCACTGGTTGAAATGTGACAAATGTTAGATGAATTGAATAGTCCCCTAAATTACACTCGTGCATCAAAATAAACCTGATAATTTTTTATTCAAGCATGTTGTCAGTAAAAAACTGCATTCGGTCATTTTCATATTTTGTTAAAAGAGCCCTCCACCTTCGGTGTCGGGCTCTTTCGCCAAAATATGAAAATAAACTCATGCAGTTTTTAGACAACATGCTTTCAAAAAAATTATCGGTAATTTTGATGCACTTGTGCAATTACCTACGATAATTTTACAGCACGAGTGATTTTAGTAGAAAATATAAATCACTCGTGCCGCCAAATGATTGAAACAAAAAATAGAATTTTACGCAAAGACTGTATTCTAATTTATTTTTTTTTTCCGGTTTCCCAAATTGAAAAATAATAAATGAGGACATGTACAAACGCAGAATTATTCAAGCGACAAGAAACCTATTTACAACTTTGCTCTAAATTAATTAGGGGAGAAAGTATTTGGATATAAAGAAATTAGCATTGAAATCCCTATGGTGCCTAAACTGTTTCTGTATACCAAATTTGCTTACAATCGGCTCAGCCGTTTAGCAGGAGTACAGGTAGACAGATCGAGATCATTGAGATTTTGTTTGATTCGGATTCCTGGTGCTTCAAAATGGGTATTTCCGTTAAAAAAAGCAGGGAGAATGTTTTGCAAAATAAAAAAGAAAGAATATGAGAAAAACAAAAGACAGTGGTCAAAATAAAAAACTTGTTTTGTGACCAATAAGATTTAAATAAATCCAAAAAATGTCACCGACCATCGAGGAAAAATGAATTCAATATCCACTCTAAACCCTCACATATGTACATACACGAATGAGCAATCTCAATTATGGATTTAATGTACATTTAAAAATCGTGTTCAGTAAAACATGAGATTATCCGTGTCTGAAGGATAAATTTGATTATGAGAAAAACATTTTTTTTTTAAGATGGTGATGGATTCTGAGAGACAGTAGGGGCCAGAGTGGGCCAATCCAACTTACCGAAGGTCTTGCTACGCTAGTTGAACGCGAAATGCAGAGAATATACCCAGTGCTGAAATTGTTATAATGATGTTATACTCCTCTTACGTAGTGTACGCAGTGACAGTTATTTTAGGATATTTTATTGTTATCGGTGAGTAACTATCCAGATAAATAATTAAGAAAATGCAGCCGTTATTACTATTCATTTGGCTCAAAAAAATTATTAAACTTCAATCGTAAGTAATAGATGAAGTTGATTATAATCTGAAAGTAAAAGTTGCTGTCCTATTTATAAACAATTATTGCCGTCGTACATTAGCGTTTGTAAACAAATATTATTTTTTATTATACTGTTAACGACATGTGACAATATACGGAAGAGATGGATTTACTTGGATTGGATCGCGATTTAGAGAAAGTGTATTTTCTTAAGTGGATTTCAAAGATAAAAAAAGAAAATACCGCATCAAACTTTCTTTTTTCTTTAGATGAAATCATTCAAAAATACCAACCTATAAATAATTTCAGTATACCGCATAAATAAGTTCTGTTACAATAATTATTTCAAATTCGCGTTCTTGACCTGAAAATGCGGCGGTTAAATGGAATCGAAGTCTCTGTAGTAAATTATTCATGAAGTAGTAAACAATATTGCATGTACATACTATCAAATAGCCGCATGCAAATTTGAACAAGTACGAAACCGTGCCCCTCAAATACACTGCTTACCGGCATTTTTTAAATGTCGAGAAAATATAGTCACGCAGCATGGGTTTCTTCACACTTTCCTTTACCACACAACATTAGTAATTAACAAGAAACCCTTAGAAACCATCCAAAAGACAATTAACCCACTTATGTCAAAATCGAAAAATGAATATGGATTCTATTTAGTACAGATTAAGTGAAAGGGCAGAAAGAGAGATTATAATTAATATAATACATATAATTCTACTCAAATATCAAAGGTGTGCATCGTATGTAACATAAGTGGCATACATTTAGAAATCACGTTTTATATTTATATCAGTGGGTCGCACAGACAGACTGATAAAACAATTTCGGCATGGTGTTACAAGACAAAAGTTGATAAATTTCAGGTATTTTTTAAATATACACTACGCAATTATGCAATTTTAACATAATTAGAGAAAATGATAATAACATCTGGTAACAGATCATTCAACCGCAGCTAATAAATTAGGTTTTTTTTGTAATGAATCACTACATTACAATTTACGATTATCTAATCCTTATTCCTTCTGATTCAGTCAGCTTACTCTATTGAGCGTCCTGTTTGTCCGATTAGGGAAAGGGATTTGGTAAATTACAGCTGGCTTCGTAGTGGAACTTTTATCATTGATGGATCTGACATCTTGCCCAAAACAGTAAACTTTCCCTACCTCTCCCGTGAGTCCATTGCCTGTAATGGCGGAACCACACGCTTGGCACTTGCCAAAAGTCCAAACACAAATCACAAACGTGGACGCGTCGCAAGCGTTTGCGGCCATTCCCTGATTTGTAAAGGCCCTTGTACACGTTTGGCGAACTAGTTGGGCCAATGAGTTGGTGGTGACCAACGTTCAGTTGTCAGTTTTCATTGGCCATTGACTATAGTGTAGATTTCATTTTGAGTGTCCTGTAGATTATGGATGTGGATGATGTGGAGACTTTAGCAGCCGCGGCAATTTATTTGTACACCGCTTTCAATTTATATAAAAAGGTGCACCAAACAAAGATGATTTTAAAAAAATGGCTCAAAAGAAGGTGCTGGATGCTAACTAATACCTAATTGATAAATACTTATCACCTCACAAGTTAAAAACGATATAAAACACTGAAACCGCCGCATAACATAACCTTTAAAAAAAAGACTGTTGAAAGCCAACGTGTGAACGCTGTTTGTGAGCCTTCTAAACGCGCCCAGATCCTTTGATGTGCGAATGAAAAACCGACAACGTTCGGTTTGTAGGCCAACGCTGGCCGACAATCACAACATAGGCCAAGTGGTCCTGTACACGTTGGCCTAACTTATTGGCCGAACGTGTACAAGGGCCTTAACAAAAAAGCGGCACTCGACGGATCGGCTACAAGCGCTTGCAAACCTACACAAGACAAGTGAAACACTCTGTCCAGACGTTTGAATTGTGGCGGCTTGTTGAGGTTTGCCAAGCGTATGGATAGGGATACGGCATAAGGAAGAAATGCTATGACGTTTGCGTTTATGGCCGTTTGACTTGGCGCAATGGTTTTCTGAATGGAAACCTATGGTTACAACCAGTATCTGTTTTTCTATGAGATGGTTATTAAATCTATCTACTAAGGGAAAAACACTTCTGGACTAGTTGTAGTAGTGTAGACTGCACAAATTGTTCATCTCTTATTAATTTAGACCTTCATACAAACGTACAGACATATTGCCTGGTTAATGTTTGAAACCTCGACATGTTAGGGTGTACGTATGTACATTCAAAAAGAGAGCTAAAATTATTCGCTAAGTACAGAGAAAATAATGCAATAGAGAATATCCATTTTTTTAAATATCTGCCACACTCTGGACACTCCTAACAAAATTAAATTTGATTTTCCTTGTATCTTCTGTCATGTACTGTACCTCTTGCTTTTGTTTAAATAATTCTAGGGTAACATCAGCATTATATTTACTGTGTTTAAACATTATCGTAAATCTGGACACGTCAATTTTTTATGTAGACCAGTCGATTTATTTGTTGTTTCTAACCGGTAGAAATAAAAAGTTAATGATATACGATCTTTAATTATATAAAATAAAATGATCGTTTTTATTTTCCTTCAATTTAATTTAAATAGACAAATTCAGTATGAGTGATACAACATGATTTTGGTAATTGGATTAATTACCGAATTTTTGATAAAATGAGAAATACATTTGAAAATGAACTAATTCGTATATCATTAGATGAGAAAAAAAATCTTCTTTCGATTGGGGTCATTATAAACCCTCTAAAGTTAAGATGGGGAGCAACGATTCCTTAAATACTGGAGCAGCGAGAAGACGGTTTTTAGCGCATTTCCACAAAAATAAAAAATAAATGCGCTATTGTGGCCACTTTGTCCGTCCGTCCGTCCGCTCGTTCCGGCTCGTTCGTTGAGACACTACTAGTTCTTTATCTTAAGAGCTATTGTTCTACTTTTTTCGCTATTTGGTTCGTTATGAGGTCGAGGCTTGCACCAAGGAAGGAATTTTTTCTGCGTTTATTACTAGTTATTGTTAATTTTACACTTTTGCCGTTTATTAACGATCCTAGAGATCGTTTATAATTTTGTATTGCTGTGGTCTGTCTGTTGGTCTGTCCGTCTGTTCCTCTATTTGTCCGTGTGAATGATAACTTTGTTTAGTTAATGTCCGATCGCTTTGACATCTCCGTTAGTTATGAACTGAATTGCATGAAGTTCAATATGGACATAGCTGCAGCCATATAATACGCAATGACAAAAGTCGAATCGATTCAAAATTCTTAGTGCCCTTTTCGCATCTCGGCCATTTATAAACCGAATTGCAAACTTTTTTATTTATGGAAGAATTTAAACGAAATTTGATATATAGGCACTTGGCATAAATGAAAATCTAACGCCAGTTTCAAAATTTGGTTTTGCGCATGCGCAGTGCCAACTTTTTTTTCTATGGAAGCATCATTTAAATGAAATTTGATGCATAGGCGCTTCGAACAAAGGAAAATCTAACGTTAGTTTCAAAATTTAGATTTGCGCATGCGCAGTTCCAACTTTCTTATTTAGAAAAGCATTGAGATGAATTCTTCTTATAAACAGAAATTAAAGTAGCCCGTCAAAAATGGATTGCACTTGTGCAACGCTATCTTTCATATTTGTGGCCGGATTTTTACGATTTTAACAGAAGTTGCATCTTACAAATGGGAAATGCATACAAGTGGAAATGCGCTTTTTGGAAATCGTTTACGATTACTTTTTAACTTGTTTTCTTTGCTTTTGCCTTAGCAACGGTCTGAACGCGTGGACTTTTATTTATCTATTGGCAGTCAGTCTGTGTATTGAAAACGTAATTCGTCAGTATTGTATAAAAGGTTTATGTTATTACATCTTTATACACAGTGGCCCAACGAGAAGTATACAGAGGGTCTTTAGGGTATGAAATTTAGAATCAATAGAATTTAAAAAGCAAAGCAGATTAGTAATAATTGGCTTTCAAATAATGTCCCATTTGCCATAGGATTCCATTTAAAATTTTAGGGGTTAAGCTCCCTACGTAGAGGGGTGAAGACTTGAGTTCGTGATTTGTATTCCAAAAGTTGTCCCCCTCGAATACAAAATTGACGTGTTCGAGGATTTTTCGAAATTTCTAAATTTAATACCCTAAAAGCCCTCTGTATACTTCTCGTTGGGCCATCGCAAACGATAAAGAAAAGTGCCACTTTTCTCGATAGCAGCACTTTTCCCCATCAAACTGTCAGAATGAAATGTCATATGAGTTTTTTAAATGTTTACTCCTTACTAAAAAAATTACACGTGCAATTATTTATTATTATTAGAAAATGTAAGACTAGGCATAGTGTTTCTATTCTTGCACTATGGACTAGGTGACTGCTGCAACGTATCGTGATATACACAATAATTATTGCTTGATATGATTCCGGATGTTGACGGCAAATTAGAGTCAATGACTGATACTTGCGAAAATTGTTGAGCATTATGAAAATTGAAAATCCTGTTTGAAGTTTCCACTTCATTTGCGATACTTTCTTGAACATATGCTTCCGCAAGCGCCACCCACCATGCCTTATTAACGCTTCGATACTCACTCCGAGCCGACGTTTTAAAAAGCAATAATCTTCTTATATTTACTTATGTCAACGTCTTCATGAATTGATAGAAGGCATTTATTTGATCATGGAGTACATCGACCACAACGTTGGCAAAATGATTATATTTTCAAATAAAAGTAACAATTTTAAACTAGACTTTGTCGATCTAAAATCGGATTCATTACTTTTAAATCCGAAGTACACGAAAAAATAGCATGTTCTACACGTAAGAAAAGTGGTTTTCCAGCTCGTGAAAATGTTCACTCACTAAAACACCTTTCTTTACTTGTAGAACAATCTACTATTTTAAAAGTGTCCGTTTTCGGAAAAA